GTGGTTTCTGTTAAAGTCCCCTATAATAAGGGTAGGCTTAAGGACCTATAGGCCCTAAAGCACTCGATCCTCGGTCTAGGGCCGGATTCTAGGGCCTAAAAAGGAGGGGAAGGAAGAAGAGGTAGAAGTGGAAAAGGTAAAAGGGGTGGGGCTAAGGGGCTACCCTCGGCCCATTATTTCAGGGTCCTATTCTATCTAATTATAGACGTATAGAATATAAAAGGTCTATAAATAATAAACCTCTATAATCTACGCGTCTATATCGTCTAAAAGGTCGTCGCGGTGTGAAAAATCAATATTAGAGCCCTTTCTGATATAAGTAAGGACTCTAGGTTTAATTGGAAAAAACTGGGTATTTTAGGATATAGGTATAACGGTATAGAACGCGGGGTAGTTTTAAATAAACCACCCTTATAGCGTTAAGACGTAGGCTAATTCCTAAATAAGGACTATATTAGCCAAAGCCTCTAAAGCCTATTCTAGGATAGCCTCTTACACCGGGGCCTATTTATCGACGTTATATTAAATAAACCGGATATCTTTCGAACTATAAGGCCCTTTATTTATAGAAATAGAATTAGGGTTTTATAGCTCGAAAGACCTTATAGTCCCTGCTAAAGGGGGGGTAATCTCCCTCGTAGTTATAGCACTTATAGGTCTTATACTCGTAGTCTCCGTATTCTTTATACTTGTTATAGTAGTGGTATTCCTCCCTATAGTCTTTAACGGCATAGATAGAGCAGGAAACTAGGCCTTTATAGGTCCCTCGGGTATACTCGAATTTCTAGCAGTTAGAGCATTAGGTTCTAGGGGTTATAGGCCTGTATTTATAGACCTTTAGCCGCTGGCCGGCTATATAGAGCCCCTGTTTTAGGCAGTACTTCTATTCTTTAGTGGAGGGTATAGAAATAACCACTATACCGTAGAACGCATTTAGAGCCCCTAGCCACTAAGGCTTCTCTACTACCCTAATAGGGTTAAAGGTGCCGATTTTAGTGGCTAGGTCCTATAGACCTAGGCCCTATTATAGGCTTCAGTTAAGGGCCTTTTACGGTGGCTCGGAGGGGTCGGATAAAGGGGTATCGCCACCCCTAAAGGCTTTAGAAGGCACCTGTTTAATAATAAGCTTAAACCAGTCGTCTATAGGCTAGGGGGGCTAAAGGGGGAGGTTTAGCTCTTTAGACCATTAATTCTACGAGTCTAGGAGCTATTAAACGCTATACTTCGGCCCCGGGGTTAGAATAAGGTTCCCGTTAGTCGATCGGCTAATAGCCGTAACTACAGGGAATTTTAGGGCCTTATTAAGCTTATTCCGAAGCGCGAGGGGGTCGAAGTTATCCTTAGGGATCGCTGCCCCTGCCGTAGGTTATAGAATAACCTTAGGGACCTTTTTAGGGTCTATTAGGAGGGGTGCTAGGGGTATAGATATCGGGGTAGGGGCTAAGGGTGCTAAAGCCCCTGAAAAAGGGGCCTGGGGTGCTATAGGGCCTTTTTTTCCCTTTACAGCCTCGCTGTAAAGGGGTTTAGGCTATTCTATAAGCCTACGAACTGCCTAGGCTAGTTCGTCGACCTTCTATTCGAGTATAGGAGGCTAGAGGGCTTCTAGAACGCCGTCGATAGTAGATTTAAGCCCTACGGATAGGACCTTAATCTAGGGGGTAGGGTTAAGGGTATAGGCCTATTAAAGTAGCTAAAGAGCTGTTAGAGTAGTTCCTTAGCTTAAGCCTTACTAGCCGATCTAGTCGACTTCTAGGGCTTGGCCGAGGTTTCTCTAGGGGCTTTAGCTGTTCTCGAGGCCCTTTTAGCCTATTTAGAGCCTAAGAGGCTCGGTTTTTTAGTAGGGGGGCCCCTAGAGGCAGGGGGGGCCCTAAAGGGCGTTTCGAAAGCGCCTTCGGCTTCTAAGTCCGAGGGGGATTCGATTCGGGTCCTAGAAAAGCGTCTAGGAGTAGGCGTAGAGGGGCTAAGGTGCCTTTTCGAATTCAGGGGCGTAGCGAGGGTTAAATCCTCTGTATTAGAGGTATTACCTATATCCACCTCCCCTAGGCCCTCTATAATTATAGGGGCCTTAGGGGGGGGGCGTTAGGGGCGTTAGGGGCGTTAGGGGCGTTATTATAGCTAGCGTTATAGCTAGCGTTATGGCTAGTGGGTTATTATTTATAGCGTTATGGTTAGGTGGAGATCGGGGGTGCGGCTCTGCGCGGCTAGGCCTACTACTTTGTTAGCGTGGGCGCACGGGCCACGTTAGACTTTTCCCCCGCACGTGGGGGAGCCGTAAGCCTATTTCCAGGCATTTTCGCACTTATAATACGCCTAAATTAGCACCTACGCGATACAGGACTATAGATAGGCGTATAGAGCTTGAAAAGAGCTATCGATTGATATAGTTTTTGAGTGGTTTAGGGCGTTTGCGCGTAAAACGTAGGTCCCCCACGTGAGTTGTAAGAAGGATGTTATCACCTATAGACGTTGTACAGGTTATAACTGGTGGAATGGAACGAAGCGTACCTTGGTTATTTCCCTTGATTTTTTCTTTATTACTTGGTATTATCGGCATTTCATCTAACGCCCACTAAGTCGGCTAGGATGCGCACAGACTAAGGTACCTAAGGTAGGTAAAGGTAGCGACTAACTGTCAACCTACATCGCCATAGCTACCTTAGCAGGTACCATATCTGGACTCTCCCTCCTAGGTAGAGAAGTACACGTATTATCTATCTACCTACCTTACCTTTCTGCTAGGGTATAAAGTGGCTAGACCTGCTGCGTGTTCTAGAACTATACAGGCCCTGTTGCAGTGAGTGGACGTGCTATTATTCTTCCGAGTACTTCGTGCGAATAATCGATGAACAACTCGCTGGGATTAGTTTATTGTTGGGTGTTCGACAAACCGTATTGTCTGCCTGCTCTAGAGCTTGGGTTGCTCTCCGGAGTTATAGGTAAGTTAATTACTGACTGCTGCAGTTCAGACACACGAGGTTGCCGTCCTACTTACATGCGTTGTAAGGCAGGGGACTGCGTACGCGGGCACTATCCGCCCGCCGTATTCTCGAAACCCCGATTCCTATCTGGAATAGGCATTCCTCTTGGATTTTCATTCCTTGTGTGAAGAGTCCTAAATTACTTCGTACGTTACTCCGCAGTTAAGCTTGACCCGTCTGCCCCTTCCCGCCTGTCCGCTCGCCCCGTTACTGAAGCGGTGCTGGCTTCGGCTCCATCGGCTTCGGAACATGCCTGATTCTCCTAATTGGCCTTACGGAGTACGGAGAGCCTCTATAATATATCCTATATCGATGTGGTGTGTGGTGTGTGGTGTGCGGTGTGGGGTGAGCTGTCAACCCGTGGCTTTCGGTCCTTCGCACTTACACGCAAGAAGCAAATTACCGAGGTATAGTGCATAGCAAGAGAGTTGGTCTTGGACTACACCTTATGTCCCTTCTATCGATATCCATGTATATATCTTAACCTGTTATGCCGCCCTGCAGCCACAAGTCTTCAATATCCGGCCATTCCTCATCGGTCATCCCGTTATTGCGTTGTTGACTCGATTATTTCAGTGTCCCTAACTCGACCCCAACATTCAACTTCATTTTGGCATAAGGTAAGGTACTAACTGGTACGTAAGAGCACAAACACGCCAATTCAGACATATCCCACTGCCCTATAAACAGTGACCCATCCACCGTCAGCGACTATCCCATAACTCCCGTACAACGTACCTCATGCCTCAGGTATCCTATGTACTAATCACCTCCGTACCTGCCCTGCGAAGAAGACATATACGTAGATAAGGCAGGTACGTTGTTGTACGGAGGAGCACCTACGACTTATCAATGATAGAGTAGGAAGTAACAAATACCTGAGGTACCTTACCCAGGAGACCCTGCCCCCTCATCTCACAGTCACAGTTCGCTTCGCCTTCGTGGATCCCCCCTGACCCTAACCTAACAGAGCTAGCACCAATTTTGTTCGTTGTCCAACATGGTCCCAGGTCCCAGCCAAGCATCGGCACCCATTCCCTTCATCGTCGCACCTCATCCACACATCCACACATCCACACATCCACACATCCACACTTCATCCACGCCGCTGCGGCATCAAGTTGGTACCCTTCCCATTTTATCCCCTATCCCCAGTATTGTCCCAGGGACACTGCCTCTCTGCCACGCTGTACAGAGTATGTGGTAGAGTAGCCCACATTCATTCAACCCGCCCTGTTCGAAAAACAGTCCTCCTTCACCTTTTTCATCTGCAAGCCTCTGCCTGTCTTGCTTGTCCATTGACCGGCCGTAAGTCCATGCCCATTCTCGCTGCCCGTTGCCCATTGTCTAGGTATTGTTAGGAGGCAGGGTTCATTCCACCACCGGCCAAAAAGCCAACTGCCACGCATAATTCTCGCAACGGTGGCACTCGTCCGCCTGAACATCACTAATTCGAGTTTCAAGTCAACACCCGTGCTTCTGCCCAGAACTAGAAACAAAAACATACATACCTGCGAACGCAACGAACGAAACGAACGAAGCGAACAAGTCGAACGAAACAATTTCGAGCCCCATCGGCCTGCCTCGCTTCACCGTGCGCTATTCCTCCACCAGCCGTCTCGTGCCCCCGACTACGGCCTCATTCTCTTCGACCGACAGGTGGAGGAAACAACAGGCGAAACAAAAGTTCTCGTGCTCCCCGAAACGATCAGCCCGACAGACTCGCCGTATCACCCGCCCTGGTTTTTTCCCCTCTCTTTTCCCTCTCTTTTTTCTTTTTTCTTTTTTCTTTTTTCTTTTTTCTTTCTTTTTCTCTTTTTTCCTTTTCGGCAACCACCTCGCGGTCTTTCCATGATATGATACTCTACCCCTAGACGAAGACTCTCTTCGCTCACTGCTTGAGGGTCCCTGGTGTCCGACGACCACCGCCGCCGAAGCCCTCGCTCTCGCTACTCGTTCCCTTTCCACCGTACTGGAACACACTGGGAACCATCCTAGATCTAAGAAACAATCGCTTTCACCATGAGTTCCATAATGGACGAATACCTCGACAATGGTCTGGATAACGACGATATCTTCCCCTGCAAGGGCTGCGGAGAGGTACGCTATTGACCTATAACCATACCCCCCTAAATATCCATCTCCTCCTTCACCTCCACCCAATTCGTCTCTGTTGCCTCTGAGGCACTGACCCGTCTTGTTTTGTCTCGTCGATGCAGATACTAGAAGAAGGCAAAGCGTTCGAACTCGGTATGTCTACTAGCCCGTCTGCCGCCCTTTCCTGTGGTGGCGCCTGTCCATCGCGCGGCTTTCTCTTCCCGGTGTCTTTTCCAATTACAGTTCAGCTGACGCGATTTCCCCTTGTTCACAGCCGGCAATCGATGGCACATCAACTGCTTCCGCTGCCACACCTGCAAGACTCTGCTCGACTCCGACGCTAACCTTCTCCTCCTCGGCGATGGCTCCCTCGTCTGCAATAACTGTACATACAGCTGCGGCGCCTGCGGGAATCAGATCGAGGAGCTTGCTATCCTCACCGGTGACCAGTCCTTCTGTGCTACTTGCTTTCGTTGCCGCAACTGCAAGCGCAAGATTGAGAACCTACGTTATGCCAAGACGTCACAGGGCATATTTTGCATGAGTTGTCACGAGTCTCTCATGGCAAGACGCCGGAAGAAATCCAAGGCCGCCGCCCAATCGAAGGCTCGCGAAAAGGACGCATCGCCCATGATCACTGACAAGTCCCTGCCTGCCTTACCGCCCAACGCAATCCCTCCCAACGCCTTCTCCGATACCCGGGTTGATCCCGATTCCGACACCCCCACCGAGCTATCTCCTAGGCCCCGGCCCGCTTACAAGAACGATTCCTCGTCGAGGAGCAGCTCCAGGCCTGCGCGGTCTCCCGAGCGACCTTCGGAGCCCAACGCCAAGGAGACCGGGCCGGGCCTGTCTTCGAGTAATTATCGAGCGAATCGTAACTCGACCATGATCGTACCGAGCAACGCAAGCGACACCAACGGGGGCGAAGCCGATGGCGGTTTCTTCATCCCTGTTGCCCTGGACCCCACCCCTTCTTCCACAGGAACCCCCCGCTCCGTGTCCGATAACTTTGGCGATCCCGCCAAAAGGAGGGAGAGGGACTACTTTGACATACCGGCAACTGGCTCTAGCTCCGAGACGAGGTCCGCTTCCCAAGCATCTACCCCGCACATTGCCTTCCAGAATCGGGGGCTTCAGCCGCCTGCAGATCTGGATCACTCTAACAATTCACACCGAAAACCGCCCAAGCCTCCGAGACAAGAGCCGACCCCACCCCAGCGGTCGACGCCCAACCTCGATGAAAGAACCCTACGGACTACCGTCACGAGCAAGCCGCAGCCGGGCCAGGATGACTTCAAGCTACAGGATGCCCCGAAGACCAAAAGGTCCTCTCCAGGCGTTAGAGGCCATGCACCTTCGCCGAGCCAACAGCAAACAGAAGGCGGAAGTGATAACGGGCCCAACGGGTCCTGGAGAGGAGAAAGAGACGGGAAGTCTCCTCCGCGTCTCGACACAGGAGACGGTACTACGTCCCGAACCTCGCAAGACTCGCGGTTCCGGGACGAAGATCCAGCCCCTCGGCCCTCCACGGATTCCCATTCCACGGCCACATCCCGCCTAGACAACACCACCAAGTCCATAGCAAGAAAGGAACTCCCCCCCAGCGCTTCTCGTCTCCCCGCCGCCGATCAGAAAAAGCCCAGCGACACCTACATGCAACCGCGAGCGCCGCCGCCGCCGCCGCCTCCGCCATCGGGTGCTGGTGCCGGCGCGGGCGCGGGCGCGGGCCCTTTCACTCCAGGAAGGGATGTGCCCGGATCTGCTGCAGATTCCAAGGGCGAAAAGACCTCTCCCAGCCTACCTCGGTGGAGCGCTGGCGGCGACTTCACCATGGACGAGGACATGGCACGCATCCTCGGGACGGACGAGGGTTCCTCCTCCATCTTGCGGCGCGTATCTAACGCGGTCCGCCACGGTCGTACGAACAGCACCGATATGGGCTATTCGCAGAGTCGGGGTGGCGGACACGCCAGAAGTGTCAGCGAGACCACTCGCGGCACCACATCGCCCCGTTGGCCCAAGACGCCCGTGGTCATGGAGGGCCATGCTAGCAGCCAAAGTCACGACATGAGCAGCCCCATCTCGCTCCACTCGAGTGATGACCCTGCCTTCCTCAAGCGTCAGCTGCGCAACTCCGAGCAGAGGGTCGCGGAGCTCGAGAGGCAGTTCACGAATGAGAAGGACCTCAAGAACCTCAACAGGAAGTTGAGCGAGAAGAGGACGGCGGTCTCGGTTTTGGATACGCAAAACGAGCTCATGATCCAACAGATCCAGGCTCTCGCCCGGTACGCGGAGAAGGCGAAGGAGAGGAAGACGCCGATCGACCCGCGGGACCTGCAGGACTTCGTCATCAAGGACTTCGTCCAGAAGCTCGAAGAAGTGAGGCAGTCGATGAGCGAGTCCATTGAGCGGCTCCACCAAGAGCGAGACAAGGTCGTCGAGGAGAAGAACAGAGCCACAGCCGACCGAGACCGCGCCCTTCTCGAGTTCGAACAGCTGTCCTCTAAGAACGCGCAGCTGGCGGACATGAATAACGATCTGACGCACCAGATCCAGGAGCGGTTCAAGTCGCAAATTGGCAGCCACCCCGACCTCAAGTCCCCCGGCGGCCTCGGCATCTACACACAGCAGAAGGGTACATCGGGCTCGTCGGTGAACCTGGGGGATGCTGCGAGCGTCAACACGGCGACGACGCTCATCGCCCAAGACCACGACGATTCCGTCATGGAGGCCAGGCCGACGGTGGTGGACATCAGGAAGGGGCAGGCAAGAAAGTTCAACTGGAAGAAGGGATCGAAGACCATGGCGCAGAACGTGGCCAAGGGCGTCAACCGAGCGGTAGTGGCCTTCCAGCAGGAACGAGACGGCCGACACCAGCAAGGCTTGTCAGGGGACACGATCGGGCTGCCTTACAACATGACGGTGGCGGCGGTGGATTCCCCGGTCTCGGCTACGCCGAACGGACAAGGACCAATCCGTCATCATCAACAACACCACCAACACCACCAACACCACCAACAACAACAACAAGGCCAGCAGAACGAGTCGCGGCAGGGCTTTGGTTTCTTCAAGAAGAACAACGTGACCAAGTCGGCTTCCGCCAATAACCTGACCACGCCTACCGGCGCATCCGACCCCGCCCCCGCCGAACCACCGTCGACTCTGTTCGGGTCCGAGCTCGTCGAGCGAGCCGACTACGAGCGACGCCAAATTCCGAGCGTGGTGACGCGCTGCATCGAGGAAGTCGAGCTGCGTGGCATGGATATCGAGGGTATCTACCGGAAGACAGGCGGCAATTCCCTGGTCAAGATGCTCCAGGAGGGTTTCGACAAGAACGAGGATTTCGACATATCTGACCCCGAGTTGGACATCACGGCTGTGACCAGCGTGTTGAAGCAGTACTTCCGGAGGCTTCCCACTCCCTTGCTGACGTTTGACGTCTACGACCGGGTTCTCGAGTCCATTGGTATGTTGTATCCTGTTTGGCGGAAGATAAGCAGAGTTTCTAATTTTTTTTTTCTTTTCTTCTCGTATAGCACTGGCCGATGTGGATGATCGGTGCGACTTCTTACGCAAGACTTTCGACGATATGCCACAGCAGCATAGCGACTGTCTTGAGTTCCTCATGTTCCATCTTGCTCGCGTAGCTAAACGAGAGCCTGAAAATCTGGTACGTGTTTTTCTACTGCTCTCTTCCTCCCCCTTCCACACTTTACCCATGGTGGCATGGTTCTGACTGAGACGTGTCGTAGATGTCTCCTAAGAACCTCGCTGTGGTGTTTGCGCCGACCATCATGCGAGACAATAGCCTCGAAAGAGAGATGACGGACATGCACGCCAAGAGTATTGCGGTGCAGTTTGTCATCGAGCACAGTGACACCATCTTCACCGATTAGATGGTCCAGCTGCTTGGGCAGAGACCCCAGCAAGAAAAGACCAAAAAAAAAGAGAGAAAGAAAGAAAGAGAGAGAGAGAGAGAACGAGAGAAGACCCGAGCCCAGTAGCCATATGGCACATCGCTCCTTGTGCATACTTGACACCCCTTCAACGATTTGATGCCTCGGTCCTAGTTCATTTCACTATATGGAGTTGGGTATAGGGGGATTGGGATACCATCGGATCTGTCCCGGCGGCCCCTGTTCCATTTTTTATTGTCTCCTACATTTGGCTTGATTCTTTTTTTTTTTTTCTGATTCTCAGCAGGCATGGTCATGCTGGAGAGCGCGGAGGTTCGTTGTTAGAAAAATTTAATGATATCCCCAAACATTTTTTTTGGATGGCTTTCCAGGGGCGGTGATTTTCTTTTTCTTTTCTGTTCTTTTTCCACATTATCTTTTCCCGTCAACTCCCTACTGTTAAGACGACTACGGGTTGCCTAAGACTCCTCTTCTTAGTAGTTTGGGGCTTATTCTGATGGGACGGGCATCCGGGCAGGTCCTCTGTAACTTGAAGGTTGTTCATAGCATGGGCGGAGAAATGTCATTGTCGTAGGACCGTGAACGACGCGTTTGTCGACTCGAGACGCGGTTTTCGAAGACCGTCATGGGGCTTCTGAAGTCGAAGTCCGGACAGATGTAAGATTAATTACCATGAAGGTCTTCCATTACAGACCGGAGTTCTTTAACCCGGGGAAGAAGAACCCCCCCCCCGAATAGAGCATTGACAGAAACCGTAATATGGTCTTTTATGCCCAACAGGAGACCAATAAAACAAACAGAAGACAGGTGCGTATAGACGTGGACCTGTAAATTTTACGCACAAAACACCCAGCGCCAATTCGACTTTTAAAATACCTCGAACGAAACTCGCCTCAACTCTGCTGCACCATCCTCTGAACCTTCTCGAGAATAATGGCACTCTCCCGCCCCAGCTTCCGCTTCTGCGGGCCCTTCGCCTGCTGCGCGTTCTTGCCGCCGCCACCAGCGCCTGGCCGCGCCTTCACCATGGCCCGCCTTAGCCGCGCGCGCTCGGCGACCTTGCGCTCCCATTCCTCCTGGCGGCGCTGCGCCTCCTCGGCGCGGGCGGCGGCCTGGGCCTTGCGCTCCTCGGCCTGGCGGAGCTGCTTGTCGAAGTAGCCCGGCTTGTTCGCCGCGCGCTGGCGGGCGCGGTCGCGGTTGCGGTCGCGGCGGGCCGTGTGGGGGTCGAAGACGTCGGCTTGGGCGGTCTGGTCGTCGTAGCCTCTATTCTTCGCCGCGCTGACTTGGATCTGGTTCGGGTTGGGCACGTCGCCGGGTTCGGTGTCGAGGAGGGCTTGGCGGTCTGGGTGGAGGTCTGTTTTCTGGTCGTCTTCCTCGTCGTCGGCGGTTGGGCGGGGGTGGTGTTCTGACGGGGATGCGGGTTCTGAGGCTGGATTTGAAGCGTCGTCCTCGTCGTCTTCTGAGCCTGCGTCTGAGCCTGAAGCGACGTCGGGGTCGGAAGAATGGGCTTCGTTGTCGTCTTCTTCGTTTGTGCCGAGCTGCTTCTCCTCCTGTTCGGGCTCTTTGCCTGCCTGGTTCGTCGCTGGATTACCCGGCCGGGAAGACGCGGTAGGACCGGGAACATTTGGGGGGGTTCCGGAAGCAGCGAGCTGCCTCTGCTTAACCTTGGCGTACTCCTTCTTCACCTTGGCCTTGTGAATGAGCGTTTGCTTCTTCTTCGCCACTGTGCAGAGAATTAACTACATTTCTAGAAAGGTTGCGTGAGAGAGTGTGGGAGAGAGAATGAGACTTACGTTGCCGCTTCCATGGGCCATCGGGGAGATTGTTGGGCCCAACTCGAAAGCCTCTGCGTTTCTTGCTGGCTTGTGACGGAGCTGCAGATGAGGTGCCCTCGGCTTCATCGCGAGTGCGTTTCCTGGGAGCCATGTCTGAAGTCTTTGCTGAGTGAGGCCGTAATGGCTTGACCCGGTTTAGGCCGTTGTTTGGTAAGAACTAGGAGCGTTTCCTCTTGTCCAGTCTCCAGGTTCAAGCTGAGAGGAAGAGCAAACTAGCTCTATAGAACGGAGAGAACTGGTCGTCTGGCTGTGAACCTGATAGTAGCCGTGGTTTTCTGTCGATCCTGGATGTAAATCTATGCAGGGTGTTTTACTGTAGGCCGGTATCAGGTCGTTCTTTTCACTGCTTCATCCATACAAAGGGTTCCCTTGATGAGTGCCATCGAGGCCTTGATTTTTTTTTTTTTTTCTTATCAAAGCAAGTGGGGATACGTCTAAGGTACTTTACCTTAGGTAGAGCTCTAGAGATAGCGATAAGATAGATAAGAACGGTGGGGCATGTTCGGCATAGAGAAGTGGACATCAGGGTCCAAGTCGGGTCCCTCTAGCGCCTACGTAAAGTACCAGTACCGTAGCTTATTTCGGGTTGACCGGAGTTGTGGGGGGCCTAAAGTGACAGCAAAGCAGTGGAGATGGCCCAGGCCCTGTGACCACCCTATTGACCTGTGACATGCACTCAACTTTGTGCTCCGCATGTGCTAAACCGGAAAAGACGTTGGGGGGAGTTGGGGGCTAGTTGGGTACTAATAGCGCTTCGAACAGGGGACTTTAACGACGGAAGAGAACGGCCGAGATCTAAAAGACAAGGAAACAGAGACAAGAGGAAGAGATATAAGAGACAGTTATTTACAGCCTCATTTAAACAGCTGAATTATTGGGAGAAAAAGCACTTCGAACATGTCGATTAGCACCAAGTAATTACAAATTTAGGTACTGACCTTGCCGGCTTTATGACACATTCACATGGTGGGTCTTAACCCGAGACACCTTTATGACGTCCCTGCGGCAATATCTCGCGTCACTGAGCTTTCAAGACTTACCGCTTTCTCCGTCGTCTGATGAGATTTGACCCCCCCATGAATCCATGACTAACACTGCACGGCCCCTAATTTATTCCCCCTAAAGACAAGGCCAACCCCAACCTCATTATCACCAGCCTCTTTCTCTGGACCTCACCCTTCTACTCATATTCTTCGACTACACCTACACGAGAGAACGCCAGACCAAAACCCATGTCTACTTCAGGAACATCAAAAGCCACCAGCACCGCCAATATCGAATGAAACGACCAGGACAACACACAACACACGACGAGGCATGATAGATCCTGACACGTCTGGATCAGCCGTCTCCGAGAACCACTGGTTTCCCTGCTTCGTCTGAGCTACAGCGGCGTGCCAGGATCGTTGCTGAGGATTCAGATCCCCCCTCCGCAAGCCCCAGACCATGCCCATCTTCCAGGCAGACCTCGAACAACTCGAAGGGCAGGTGATATGTCAACCGCTACCACAGCCACAACCGCCTGATCCTATCACTTACCGAGCACGTGGCTCTCCGACGGATACGTCCTCGCGGCCGCAACCACTCCACCACTCACCATCTCACCTGACTAGGAAGATTTCCGAAGAAAGTATCCGTACCGAGTTTTGCGACGGACCTGTTCTGGATAGTCCGAGACCGGCCACTCCCGAAGGATGCCACGGCCCGGACTTGGGACCTGTGTCGGTCACCTCGGATCGCGCCGAGCTTATCGACAGGCTAAAGAGAGCACAGAGTCCCCAATGGATCTCCAGTTCTCATGTAAGTCCAGAGGCGTCTGGCTTGGCTTCTTTTCTCCCTCTGCTCTCGGGGGAATTCTCACTCATCACTTATCTTCCCTGTCGCTAGCTCGAGGCTCTCTTCAAAAGTCGTGACAGTCATGACCCGTCTTCGCCGATACCGTCACAGTCACCGTACCCTCCCCGATCCCCGTCTAGTCACCTTGTCCATTCGCCCGACCTCCTCCCACCGGCCGACATTACACCAGAAAAGGCCCGGGGACCTCCGAAGGTAGCCGAGGTGCGGTCGTCGGACGACGAGGCCAGGCTAAGAGAAGGGCTCAATATCCAGAGACCGAGGTCCGCTCTCCATAGCGGCGACTTTACCCAGCTTGAGTCTCGTAGTGACCGTGACCCTGATTGTGACGCTGACGCTGACGCTGACGCTGACGCTGACCCTGACCGCGATCGTACCCGTACCCGTGACCGTGACATTGATATTGACATACATCAAACGCGACAAAGGGCCGGTTATGCACAGCCTCGGCCTGAGCACCTCTTCCAGCCGGCTGGTGCGGCCTGGATAGCAACCTCACCTCCTCGCCCTCGCCCTCGCCCTTTCGCCTTTGACCGCCGTCCATGTCCCTCGTACGCCGATCCTACCGAACACATCGACCCTGGTGACGATTTCAGATCAATCCCTTCTTCCCTGTCGTCCTCTTATTCCACGAGCTTTGCATACAAGGCCCCAACCACTCCTCTGGTCCAATCCGAGAGTAACGAAGATCTCGAACCGGCCTGGCCGAGAAACGGTACCGGCGTTGGCGGCGCCGACGTCGCCGACCTCATCTCCAGCTTCAGCCCAGTCATCTACCATCCTCGGCGACATACCCTAACCGCCGCTCCGTCACCGCTCAATCTCCTCAATCTCCCGCCGAGGGGACCAGCCGCTGCCGCCCTTGGTGGTGGCCTGTCCGCCCATCGGAGGGAAGGCTCCCTGCCGTATCAGGCTCATCAGCCACGCCGGTCTCTCACCTTGGCGGCCAGTGGCTCCCCATTCCTGGGGACATCGCCTCAGATGCCCGCCCTCCTGAGGTCTCGGCGGTCGTCTATCAGCGCAGAGTCGTCTTCTCCCCTGCAACACGCCTCCATGGTGGGCTCGTACGAGGAGAGCATCCTCCGCGGCCGCATGTCGACGACCCCGTCGAAACCGCTTGATTTCGTCGCCCAAATCGGTGTCCTGGGCTTGGGCAAGTGCAAGCCCAGCCTAAAGTGCCCTCCACACGTGACCCTTCCCTTCCCGGCCGTCTTTTACAGCTACGGCAATAGTAGCTTATATGGAAGGGCCCCTTCAGAAGACGGCCCGAGTCCGTACGTGGGTCAGATCGATCTGGAAAATGGACTGCCCAACCAGAGCGACGAGAACCGTTCCAGGAGGAAGATGCAATCCCGCTATGCCGAAAGGCGCTTGGCCGAGGAACAAACATCTCCTCCCCCCTTGGATGGGCCGTCTGAAGAAGGTCTGGATCGGGAGCCGAACAGAGACAGAGACAGAGCCAACCGGCCACGTCGCGGATCAGGTGCTCCGCGTGCGCCCCCGGGCGGCCATTATCGGATCCCCGAAAAGGGCCAGATCCAGATCGTGATCAAGAACCCCAACAAGACTGCTGTCAAGTTGTTCCTCGTTCCCTATGATCTTGCCGGTATGGAACCCGGCACGAAGACGTTCATCCGTCAACGCAGCTATTCCATGGGACCCGTCATCGAAGACGCGCCGGTTTCTGAAGCCTCCACGGCTGACCGCCCTATTCTGCGCTACCTTGTCCATCTGCACATATGTTGCCCTGCCAAGGCCAGGTTCTACTTATATAAAAACATACGTATCGTATTTGCTAACCGTGTTCCCGACGGCAAAGAGAAGCTGCGCAACGAAACCACCTGGCCAGAGCCCAGGTTCACGGCCTACAAGCCCGTCCGCGCCATGCACCCCCCGCTGTCCGCCGCCAGCGCCAGCGCCAGCGGCCCGGGCGCGATGCTGGCCGCCGAGACTGCCTTCAGGAGGCGCAGCTCAGGCTTCACGTCTGGTCATTTCCCGCGAGGCCTCGAAGCCATGGACGGCGGCGTTTCCCCATCTCCGCATGGTCCGACGTCGCATCAGCCGCATCATCATCATCATCATCATCATCATCACGCCTCGTCGTCGAACCCGTTCGGGCTCGGGATCAGCACCGACAACCACACGGTGGATCCCATCCCGCTACGCTTACCACCGCCGAGGCAAGACCGGCTCGGCCGTGACGGCAACGCCGCGACCCACGCTGGTCTGCGGTCCCCGACGATGACCGAGTCGACGTCGTCGTCGTCGTCCCAGCCTGGTAGCTGTAATAACAGCCGACCGGGTACCCGGGACGGGCTGGATGCGCAGATTGCCCGATACGAGAAGCTCAGCAAGGGCGATGTCGGCTACGGCGGGAATTCCTTTGCTGGTGCGTCGGGGCTGCGGAGTCCAGGTGGGGCCGAAAGTCTGCTCTCGCAGCGTTTGCGGTCGCTCGGCGTTCAGGGGCAGGATGCCTCGGTCTTCGAACCGTGAGGATCTCACGTGTCGATTTGTTGCCTTTTATTTTTATTTTTATTTCTTTTCTATTTTTCGATGGGAAATTGGATGATTTCTTTGCTATATATACCTATCTATCTACGCGCATGGGTCGGCGAAAAGGAGGCGTCCTATATCTACCGAAGATTGCCCCGGTGCACTTGAAGCATTTGCAAATTTGGGATGGGCTCTGGATATTGCAGTCTCTTTTGGTCATTTACGTTGGGTTTATGGGGATATTCATCTTGGGAATAGGAACAACTACCAGCTTGTGCAAAGTCATCAGACATGAGAGGAATAGGACATTGAGAATGACCATTTGTTTTCTCCCCCAAGCTCTTTTCTTGGGGCGACTTTTCAGACGATTGACATGACCGGTTCATACAATTCTAATCCTACCCAGAAATAAAACTACAGCTAAGCTCGACATGGAATTTACTTGGCCGTAATATTCTTGGGATGGATACATTTGCGGAAGCTCTATATGTCAATCTATCATGCTGGTTGGGAACAGGAACTCCCGAGATTATCCTACACCAAAACCACTGGACTCCGCCAGCATGTGTGTCTGAGTGTGTGAATGTGCGTGTGTGAGAGTGAGAGAGGGAAGAGAACCTAGTAGTATTCTCAAATATCATACAAAGAGCCAGCAAATCCATAACAACAGAGACGCAAGAAGAAGAAAAAACCACAAAAAAAACAATATGTTGATTTACCACGCATCCTTAATCTCCGGCTTAAGAGGACCCTGCTCACTGAGCTCAAGACGCGTCCGGAAAGCGTCCTCCAGCTTGGGACACTTCTTTGTAAACTCGGCAAGGACGCGGCGCGCCTCGTCAGACCACGGCCCCTGCTTTTTGAGCACGAGGTACTGATCCGCGAGGAGGACGAGCGTCTCGGCGTTGGGGCGGAGGAAGCGGGGCGCGTTGCCCATCCGGCGGCGCTCGAGCGGCAACGAGTTCCGGGCCCTTTGCGAGACGACGCGCCGGGCGGCCCAGCCCATCCAGTTGGGCATCAGGATGTTTTCGCAGAACGTGCAGGCCGCGAGCCACTGGCCCATGCCGGCGAGGGCGCGGCAGATGTTGTTCCAGTGCCCGCTATGCAGCTTGAAGCCCGCGCGCGTGATCTTCTCGATCAGGGCCACGAGGCCCCGGTGGTCCCCCTCGGTGTGGAGGACGCGCTGCATCGTGTTGATGGAGCCGGAGAGCGCGTACTGGTACCGTGGCAGGACGCCTGGCTTGTTTTTCTTCTGGTACGAGGCCGGGCGGCCGAGTCGGAGGGCGGAGTCCCAGGCGTACGCCCATGTTTCTTTGACCTTGTCGTGCTTGCCGTCGAGGAGGTCGGCGAGCATCATCGATTCGAGCATCGGGAGGGGCAGTGTCTCCCTCTGCAACGGCCGGCCCGTCACGGCTTTGGAATAGAGCTGGAGCAGCTCTTCGACGGAGACGAAGTCGCGGAACTGGATGAGGACCTCCATGGCTTCCTGGACCGTGGAAGCGTGAGAACGCAGGTGCTCAACGTCGCCTAGGTCGCTGAGCATCGTGCTCTTTCGCTCCGAACCGAACAGGGCATCATCTCGTTGGCCCGCCCGTAGCATCCGCTCGTAGTAGTCCACGAGCGTTCGGCCAAGCTCTCGGGCTTGGTCGGCGTCGATCTCCCCCGAGCCCTGCTCCCACGGTTTGAAACGCCGTCGCAGCTCGGCGTCGACCGCAGCAATCGACGTCTTCATCGACATGGCGTAACCAGTGCGGGACATCAAAGCCACGACAGATCGAACCAGAGACATGTCGCGGCTCCTCAGTGCGCTCGACATCACCATGGCGAAGTGGCGTTCCCGGACGGGGAAGGTCTTGTCCTCGACGGCGGTCTGCAAGAGTCTGTACGCATAGTGGGCTTCCTTGCTGAGGACCAGAGACCGCATGAGGAGATCGTACGTCGCGGCGTTCCATTCCACGTCATGTTCCTTCATGAGATCCAGGATTCGATAGATGCCCTTGAGGTCCCGCCTGTGGCCCTGGTACTTGAGGAGGCAGTTCCAGAGATCCACTTGATCTCCGCTGATCTCCCTCGTGCTCGCATTGATGCAAACGTTCTGAGCCTCCTCAATCTTGTTGTTCAGGCAGTACGCGTTGACAAGACTGGCAAAGACCGCGGAGTGCGCCTGGACCTTCAGTGACCGGGCCCGCTGGTATAGTTCCAGGGTGTAGTCGAGATCGCCCAAAGAACCAGACATGGCCATTATCGTCCCGAAGCTGACCGAATCGGGCTTCACGGCCTGGCAAAGGTCTTCGAAGACAGCAATGGCATCGTCGTAGCGATCCGCCTTGGTATAGGCGCTGAGGAGGATATTCCAACTGACCACGTCTGGCGTCGCCTTGTTGCTGGCAACCATCTCGTCGAACGCCTGTTGTGTGTCCTCCACGATTCCCCGGTTCTTATAGGCGTTCAACACGTGGTTCCAGGTTCCCGGGTCCTGAATGACGCCTTTGTCCTTATACTTTTTCACGTAGGTCGTCCACATCCTTCGGACGGACCTCACATCTCCACGGGAGGCATAGAACTTCAAGTACTTCTGACACCCCCACTGATCAAGACCGCCAAAAGCTTTGTGATAGTCTTCATAGATCTGTTCGAGGCCCAAGACATCATGAGGATAGAAAAGTTCGAACATGTCGTGCAACATCTTCCAGTTGGGCTTGAACCTCGATAATGTCCGGTATACGCGGTAGATGTCTGGGACACAGGCTGTTCGGCGCTCCTCGAAGGCTCGATTGATGTACATGTAGTAGAAGTCGGCCTTCCTGAGAATCTTGAGTATCGGCAGGGCTTCGTTGGGCTGGCAGGGCTGATGGAGGGCGCATTTAGCTAGGCCTTTGAGTAGCCTCGAGATGCTGGTGGGACCAATGTCGGACAGGTCAAGGGTGTGTGCGGCGGACACGGACTCCTCCGTGGGATCGTTTGCTTGCTCCGGTCCTGCGTCGGTCTGTATACTCTGGTCTTCGCTTTGCCTTGCGACTAGGTAGTCCTGAAATTGCAGTACCCGGGCGCCGAGGTCATGGATGGCTGCGGCAACATCATCCAGGTTTCCAAACTCGACAGCCTCGACAGCGCGGAGGTTGCCGTAGGCGTCCCAAACCCGACAGACCATGTCCCAGGCTGAAGTTTGGAGGCCGTGGGTCACGAGGTGAGTAAACCCGCCAACTAAGCGTCTCCAATGGAGACCCGTGTGGTAGACGTCCAAGGCCGCATCCACGTTGCCCAGCCGCAGTTCTGCGGCGACTGCCGCAGTGACGGTGTCTCGATCCCAAGAGTCAATGCCGAGTTGCGAGAAGAGCTGGACAACCCTCTTCGAATTCTCAGGGTTAATGGACTTGTGAAGATAGGTGATAACGCGCGATCGAATCTCTTTCTGCTGTGGGGGTTCCAAAAGACACCAATGTCCCCAGATCTGGCCAAAGAACTCGGTATCGGATCTTGCCATGAGCCTTCTCATCAGATCCAGCCGGGAGCTTGGCGACAAAGACGTCCCTTGCAGATTTGTGTTCTCAGCCCCGGCTGGGCTATCTTGATTTGTCGCATCCTGCCATTGTTGGTGTACTGGCTGAGGCAGGGCATCTTGATCAAGTCCGTTCGGCTGTGGCTGATCCGCAATGGTCGGTTCTGCGGATCCCCTGGCTTCGGAGGCTGATAGAAATGCTTCGCGGGTGGTCGAGGTAAACCGCCGTGATCGCGATTGGACGTGTGTTTGAGAGGCTGACGTCGTTCGGTCCGCTATGGAGGGCGAAAGCCTACGCAAAAAAGCGATAGTGCCCCGGGGGTAGAGGAAGTCGAGCAAGAAGGTTGAAGCGTTTAGCCGGTCTGGAGCATTGGCCGAAGTAGTTGTATCGTTTGCGTCCTGAGGATCCTGGGCAGTAGCAAGCCAGAGAGGGGATAGGTCTAAGGCAGCAGCACCATGTTGCCAGAATCCGGTGTGGAGCCTGCGTCGAGTCCTGACCGATGCTGGGATGGAATGCCGAAGGGTGCATGGCTCCAAACTCGAGGCAGCTCTTTCCAGCATCGGGTGCAGCTCGATTCCGGGGCCGTCTTCTGTTCGGTTATGTTATTGTACGCAAGATAGAGCCGCAGGAATAGACCCAGGCATGCTGGCGTCTCTTCGGATGTTGTTCGAATGATGTCTCCGTTGTATGCGGCGAACGAGCCTTTTTTTTTTTTTTTTTTTTTTTTTTCCTTGTGGTCGCAAGGAGCTCGACGAGTCCTTTGGATAGGCCCAAAACAAACAGACTAACTGGAGTATGCTTCAGACAGCATGAACCGCAAAGGAGGACAGAATAATGGTGACAAAGTGGAGGTGATGGTCAAGCCCAAAGAGTCGGACTTTTTCGGGGAGAGGTCTCGATGTCGGATCATTCTAGTGAGAAAAGAAATCAATTGCGTACAGAGCAAGTCGCGGTTCCGTTTCCATGCCTGAGGAGTGTGGCGTAGTGGCGCAGATGAGGCTGAACGCATCGGATTAGTAATTACCTTACAAGTGTTCGGCTCCATGCCTTACCTAATACTATCTTTTGTGTGCCAGCCACTGTGCCAGTGTAGGTGTAGGTACGTATCCCCACCAAAGGCATCACTGCGCTTGAGGAGGGACAACCAACACTGAATTTGTCCCTCTCGCAAGCACTCCCCCAGGAATAGCTATTCGACATGGACATCACTCAATTCATCGTTTCGAAACGGGACGCCGCCCTCCTATACGGTGACTATTCCACCTACCAAGCGCAACTCGGAAAGAAGCTTTTGAAGGCTCGGAAGAGGCTTGGTATTGCCACAAAGAATCGCGGCAAGTACCAGAAGAAGGACCAGTTCAGTGCTGAAGATGTTGGGCAGAATCACGAGTACGTCAACGAAAAACTACACTCCAGTCGATAAGACGTCAGGTGCTAACTGATTTTTGCTTTCGACAGATATGCCCATCTTATTCTCCTCACGAGCGAGCGTGCCTGGGCCAATGCCATGAGCATGAGGGCCGCCCACACTGCTGATACCAAGGGAATCAACTCTCGAACTCGAAAGCATATTGTTTCCCGTCTTGATAAAGCTGCTCGATTGGCCGAATCTCTTGCCGTGCTTCTGGCCCAGCCGGAATCTGGTGCGACTCGTAACGACAGGCTAGAGTCGCAAGCCTATGCTGCCCTCATCAGGGGCGCCGCTCTGTTCGAGAAGCAAAGCTGGGAGCCTTGCGTCGAGTCCTATGCTGTTGCGCGCATCGTCTATAGCGCCCTCGCCACCGCCACGGCGAGCGACATGTTCAAGGACCTCTTATCCGAGACCATCGACCCTTCCATTCGCTACGCTGCCTATCAGCTTAAGACGCCCCGCACCGTGCCTGTTGCCACAATTGCCAGGAAGGCCTTCCCTCAATCTGACGAATGGATCGTACAGCAGGTAAACGAGCTTGATGCCCGTGCTTTGGGCCAAGGCGATGCCCAGTCCCGACAAGACGCTGCAGAAGAAAGCGTCCCCAGGACGCTGACCTGGCGCTCCCGTGAGGTCAAAATCGAAGATGCCGCCATCGCACTTGCCTGGGGTCGGGTCCAGCAGGCGAAGGGACGCCTGGTTGAGCAGCTTTCCTCCCTTGCCGATGCCAAACTTAAGAAGGTGGCTAGTGCCTACGATTCGATTCTCACCGCGACCCAGGATGCCGTGGATGCAACTAAGAATGCTATCGAGGAGCTCCGCGGCGAAGGCGTATCACAGAGCGATTCTCGGATGCAGAGCCTGCAGGTTACCCGAACAGCTGTCAACTACGAGATGATCAGTTGGCGAATTGGGAGGAACCGCGTTCTCACGGGTGATCGGGACGGAGCTGTCGAGAACTACGAGAAATTGTCGGGTAAGAAAACCAAGAAGGAGCCCTCGGCGGCCAAGAGAAGCAGGGAAGAGAGGCCGCGGTACAAAGCAGGCAAGTTGCGGGAGTTGGTTGCACTCTACGAAGGTATCCTGCAGAGTGTCGAGTCGGTCAAGGAACTTCCTGGTGTTGCGGCCGATGAACCTCTTACCCAGTGGTTGCATGCCATAACGTCCTACTTCCAAGCCCTCAAGTAAGTCGAATACACCCGACAGACCTTTGTCCTCCCTCTCCCCGGCTTTGGCCCCCCCCTCTCTCACCCCTCAGCACTGACACATTTATCCAGGGTTCTTGCCATTGCCCGCTCCCACGATATCATCGGCAACACCACCAATGCCCTGGCACTCATCAACCACGCCCACGACTTGGCTCAGACAGCCGCGCCCGTCCTCTCCCAAGCCCCGCAGCCACCAGCCGGCTCGCCACGCAACATCCAACCGACGGCCGAGGACGCAGACTTCCTCAAGACCTTCCTCTCCGGCCAGGTCTTGCGTTTCCGCGCACTGGTCCACATGGAGAACCTGCAAAAGAAGGCCGAGGAAGAGTACGCTGCGCAAGGCCCACGCGCGCCGCTCATCGAGCGTCTCCACGAGTATCCCATCGGCCCCGTCGACCTCACCAACCTCGTGGAAATGCCACCGAAAGTCGCTCCCATCCCCGTCAAGCCCATCTTCCTCGACATTGCTTGGAACTACATCCAGTACCCCGAATTCGACGAGCCGGCGAAGCCCGCGGCAGAAGCGAAGAAGGAGGCCGAGGCCGAGTCGGCCGAGTCGGCCGAGGCCGAAAAGTCTCGGAAGAAGGGCTGGTTCGGATTTGGGAGGTAGATCAGATGACGTGGTGGTTGCATTCATGAGTCTCACCGGCTCCTTCTTGTCATGCCTTGCTGCTCCTTGCTTCTGTGCATGGCGAAAACATCTGCTACCTCAACAGGGGAAAGTTAACCGCAGAGATGATCATAGATTGAGACTATGAAATGAGAAGAGAAAAAATGACAGCATATGACAATCAACGACTTGGTCACTTGTTCGGACCAGATTCACGTTCCGTGCTGGGCAATACTCTGAATTTAACGACATGTTGAAGTCAAGCTCTAGATCAAGCGCTCCCCGTAAGGCCCTGAATAACATACGTAGGTTTCCCTCTCGTTCCATCTTAATGTTATCCATGTCTCATTACGATATATGGAGTAGGATAGGCACAAAAGTTTTATCTTAGAAAGGATAAGGTAGGGAGAAGGGGAGGATTTGACAGGTACTTCGTATGTATCTCTTTGTAAGGTAGGTAGGTAGTAGGTAGGTAGATATCAACCTCCATAAGGCAAGATAGTAGTTACCTAGGTAGGTAGTGAAGGATCCATTGCGTTAGTGATAGGCGACTCAGTCCGGTCGGGACTGTCCTTGCCAACTTCTGGACAGGAAATGGCAATTCGCGGCTATGCAGGACTTGTGAGAATCCGGTTGCCTTGATGTCCAGGTCATGATAAAACTCGGGGCGACTCGAGAAAAGACAATCAAAGAAGAAAAGGGAAGGGGGGCAAAAGAAACCTGGAAATGCGGGATACGGACACGGGTAAAGCCTCTTTTTTTTTTTTTTTTTTTTTTTTTTCCTCCTCCCAAAGAAAGCAAGCATCCAAAGGTCTTTTTAATGGCCGGCCAACTTAAGAGTGCAAGACGACGGATCCGGCGATATCAAGCCACCTCCCACACCGGTCCCGATCCTACGGGGCCGCCTGTACTCCGTATGTACACGTGTACGGATACATCCGGGCCCCAGGCTCTCGGTAAGCAAGGAGAGACTACGTAATGTTAGTTCAACGACTTTGTTGTCTTCCGAGAGGTTCTCTGGTAGGAGCCCGGATGAAGCGTCGGGCCATTATTAATTAAAAGAGAAAGCCAGACCTGGGGGTTTGGAGAAGGGGGGGGGGGGAAGCACTGTTGATGGCGATCGGGGGATAATGGGATCAACCATGCAGGTTCACAGGAACGTATTCCCACGGCAATCATTCGTCGCAAGACTTGTCCTCTGGCGATTATGACCACACTTTAGAAGCATTGGATGTGTGTCTCCGTATTCACAATCCAGAGTGCCGCCCTCGGGTAGGTCCGTGTCAAAGGTGGAGCAAATGCTGTCGGACTGGTCGAGTTTCTGCAAGCGCGGGGGATCGCTGGGACTTGACCATCATGAACTGGAAGCGGGCCGAGGCCTAGAAGTCGTGTTCATCGGTTGGGGGTTGATGAAAAGTTCTCTACTCGGACGGGAAGGCCGAGGTACCTTTTGCGCGAAGTGTAAAATTTTGTAATTTCGTGGTCTTGTATCCGTCTGCGTCGTTCCTTTTTCTCTGGCCTCGATGTCTTGGAGTTGGCTAAAGCGACCTCACTAGCAGGAACTAATAACTGCCAGAGGGAGGTTTCGCCCGAATCTCATACCCACTCATCTAATTTTGTCTTGTGAAACGTGTGTCTGCGATATATGCCGAAAGGTCTCGACCTGGCGCACTTGTGGGGAGCCGTGGCTAGTTTTTCTTTCTTCTTTTTCCTTTATTATTTTCCTTTTCCCGGATAATGACTACATACGAATAGTATTGGACCGGGGAATCTCAAAATCTGTGTGATCCGTGCCTCTGCACTAGATGCGAGTGCCCCTCCGGTTCTCCGGTCCGGACTGCATCCGATAGTCCAACAAACAGATTATCAAGTCTTGTCCTCATCTTCCGCGCAGAGTGCATCGGCTGGTGGCATGAACGGCGGCATGAACGGCACCGGCGAAGCCGTCAAGATGTAGGTCGATGCAGGAGTAGATGGTATCTGCAGGACAAAAGGGGTTTCATACATGACATTATGGAACCATTTGGGACACGTTAGATTCCAAACACATCATTCAACCCTCGACAAGCCATCTAATGACCGTAGATTTTTCCCACGTATTAGACGCGCAATAAAAAACCAGAGAAGCAAAATGTGAAAAGGGCACTCTAACCACTCCGTACTTCGTATAGCGGGATGTCCGGTTGATTCCCTAGAGGGACGCCGGTATCAGTTACGAAGGCAGACAAAAGCTTCGATACTCGGAGAAATAATTACTGTTCTTTCAGTTACAGAGCTCGGTAGCCAATCAGTCCGTTGCATGCGATTTTGATTGCACCTCCACCTAATGCAGGTCCGGTTCGCAATCGTCAGATCGGTTTAGGGACATGACTCTCCGAATGCCGGGATTGGAAAGGAGTGTCTCCTATGAGATGTGGTCGTGGACGGATAGGGAAAGGATGCATCCGCGCCAGGAACGCCGCCTGGAACTACCATCTAGGAATGCACCGCTTCTTTTCTTTTTCCAATTGATTGACTGGCTGTGGAGTCGTTGACGGTTGCAGATTCCAACACACCTAATACCTATCTTACCCGTACTCCATAGCCGTAATACGCTATGGCCCTCCGTGGGTTGGTGGCAGGTTTACGGAGGACTTTGAATTGGATCTTCGGTGTGTGTACAGTGAGTGATCAAGCGGAGATGGCAATAGAGCGAGCAAGCGTTTGATATACCTTAAGGCAAGAAGCTTGAACTAAGAAGTATTACCTTATGCATACTAGCTTTTGTCGGTTAACTACCTACCTAAATATGATTTTCATTCCGAGGTTGGACAAAACGGTGGCTTGCCCTGTATCGGTTGCGTCACTACTCCGTCGGAGGTTGTTGAGTTGAGCTACGGAAAGAGAGAGCTTGGGCCATGCATAAGGTACTGTGTACTCGGATTGAAGACGGGAACTTGAATGACAGAATGGAATGGCCGTCATTTGAACTTTCCCGAAGGTCACGACCACTGCGAACCTGGCATGTCGCACGCGTGAAAAGCATATAATACATACAGATTCCAAAGCCATCAGCACTGGATTTTCTCAACCACACAACCGCAACCCCCCATTCCGTCCCCTTCGTATTCATTTCAGTAGGCACCGCCGGATGTTTCAGACGTCGATGTGATGGGAAAAACATTCACACTTGTCTTTGGCCCAGTGTCATGATTCAGGACTCCACTACGTGGGACAGAGGACGTAGTATTAGTGTATATACAGGCCGGCTGCTGACCACAAGCCTCCAAACGCAAGTCAGACGTTCTAGTTTATCCATTGCTTGTTGATTGGTTTGGGTGGTAAAACTCGGCGCGGAATGAGAGGAGTGCTGGTGCCTTCTTTTTCCTTCTCTTATTTCTTCGGTGTTTGGTTCGCCGGAAATACGGCAAAAGCAAAGCAAACGGATATCAAAAAAATAGAAGAAAAAAAAGAAGAAGAAAAAGGCAAAAGCGTCGAGTTGCGGCTAAATATCATGTTGATCGCACTCACTCTGAAATCCAAGAGAGGAAACACTGGAACTTATTTATCCCTTATTCATAAGCAACCGCTGTACTTCGTACTACCGTTGACAGCTGCTTGCTCCGTTTCTGTGTGGCCCCCTCTGCGGAATGCATGTATTGGTTCATTTTGTCCGCGATGATCCCCGTATTTCAATTTTTTCTTCTTCTTATTCCTCGGCTTATTAGTCCCTTTCTGAAGAGGAAGCGTGACTTCCATTCAGTCTCACATGCCTGCCTCTTCAAAGGCACACAAATCAGCTGTATTATTCTCTTTTGCCTTGGGCAGCCACAAGTTCTGTCTACCTAGGTACCTTAGCTTTTGGAAGCTCGCCACGAAAAAGCACTACCGAGAATCCGTGCCCCATAAGGTACAGAGTACAGCAGTACTTCGTAATACTTAAGGTTGGGTAGCCCACGTCACTCACCTCGGAGAACGCACCAATTTAATCATTCAAGTTTGATTCGAGCCACAAAAGCCACGGAGACCCACTATCATGCCCACCAGCCCCTGCCTGTCTGCACATTGTAGGCAACATCCCAGCAGCCTTTCGCGGTCCCCGCCTCTGCTCCGTCAGAATGGAACCCATCGGCCAGATCTCATCCTCCCCCCCCATCCCCAAACTATCTCTTTTCTGGCCCTAGTGACAATTCCAGCCGCAACCCGGAATCCTACACCTACCGGATAACCCAACGAGCGTCTCATTCTGTTTTCGAGTTTGGCCACCCCTCCACCTCCGACTCCATCTCTTATCCGTCTATCAACTACGTGTAGAGAAGGCCCATCAATCCAAGCTTTAACCTTTCCAGCTGCCTCTTAACAACCAAACAACCAAACAACCAACCCCTGCGCTACGCCGTGTGCTGTGCGGTGCATGTAGCGTGAAGGAAGCAATACCTGCTGGTCAAACTGGCCCTGTTTGGCTTGGCCGCCACCCATCCAACTGTCAAAGCTGCCTACACTTATTCTTACTATTCTTTCTGTTCTCATCCCTATTTACCCTTCCTCTTCTTCCTGAACACCGTCAACATATCATACGAACTATCACCTTTGCGCTTACACTTCCCATACTGCCATTTCTTGTGGCTGATTGGATCCTCTCTCTTGTTGTCAGCTTTCGATGACGGCCTCCTTTTGCCTACCTGGCAAAGTGTGACCCCACTGCCCTTTCAAATCGGACGAGGCAGAGGAGGTTGCCTCATCCTGTCTTTGTGTCCTTCCAAACTCCCAGCGTTTACTTCGACAGCCTCCCACGAAAATTATCGACAAGGCGCAAGGTACTGCTCCACGGCAGTGCCTTTTTGTCGCATGCACAACAAGTGAAGAGATAATTGCATTCCAAGCGCACGCAGCACCATACCATGCAGCGCGTCTCTGCCCTCCTCCCTTCTCGGGATAAAAGGAAATCTCATACTAGCACGGCGACCAAGTCATCCCTCGAAAGATTATTCGGCGCTTCCGAAAAACGGCGATCAGCTCATCTTAACAGACTCTCCACAGCCCCCTCCATTGTCCGCGAAGATTATTGGCCTGCGACGCTCGACAGAGAATGCGATCGCGCCGCCAGGATCCTCAAGTCCTTCTCCAGTACGGCAGTGCAGTCCCTTGCTCCTCCAAGACGTTTTCTCGTTCCTCGTTCCCTGCTGACCATATTTCTTTCCACCCACAGCTGATGGCTACCTCGCTCCTCTGCACGATGATGACGAACACCACGACCACCGAACTTCTTCCGCTCCCTCCGAACCGCAAACGCCCATTCAAGTCTTCAAACGAATTCCTCGGAAAATCATTCAAAATGCGGCTGGAATTGCCATCTTCACTTGCATGCGGTCAGGCCTTTGGATGACAGGCTCGGGAGGATCGGGCATTCTGATCTCCCGGAAAGCGGATGGAACATGGTCTCCCCCCTCAGGCATTCTGCTACATACCCCAACGTTGAGTTTCATCATTGGCGTGGACGTTTACGACTGTGTCTTGGTCGTCAACAACATGACGTCTCTGGAGACCCTCATTACGAGGCCTAGTGTTACGCTGGGCGAAGACATCGGCCTCACCAAAGGGCCGCTCATTCCGCTTGATTCGACCGACGAAAGCTTGCAATGGAGAGAACTGGACAACAGTGTCTTGACTTATCTCAAAGCCAGGGGTCAATCTCGGAATGTTAATCTCCACGGCTGTATCTTGACCGAGAGGGGCAATGAGAACGAACGGTTCTACCAGAGCAGCGTAACCCCCGCGCAGATAGCTGCCGGGAACGTGTCAAGGCGCGTCGACGAAACCCGACCGCTATCCGAGGTCATCAAGATGGCCGAAGGAAGGATTGATGCCGACATGGCCGTTATCAACAAACTCGCTACGCAACCCAGTCCCGGGGACGCCATGATCGCAACACCACGCGAGTCTCCCTCGTCGCCCGTCTTTTCTACCTTTGGCGTCCCGAGCTCCGATGATCCCGATCCTTTCGGTATCCTCGCTCTGGAGATGGCGGGCCTGGAGATTCGAGAAGCCGGAACCCGTCATAGGCCATGCGACCGCCACTTCGAATATGTCCCAAGTCCTTCGAGTCCCGCTTTCTCCCGATTCAGCCGGCAGAGCGAGACTAATGTGACGGAGAGCAACCGAGCCAGCTATATGTCGGGTAGGACGGAGAGGACCAAGATGTCGGATGCATGTACGCAGACCGAAAAGAATCAGACGCCGAGCACAACGCCGAATCTAAGCCACAGTGAAGATGGCATGGACGAACAGACCGAAAGTGAGAAGGCCGGATGTAAGGACTCGAAGGAGCGGGAACAACGGGAGGAGCGGAACCAGCGGGGCGAGGTTGAAGAAGAAGTGGATTACACCAAGGTTGACCTCACGCCACTAAGGCACCTGAGCGGTAGTTACTCGCCCCGCAGCGTCGTTGTAACAGACGGCACCGCGAGTGCGGATGGGCACTCACGAACGGATGCCAGCATATTCGACGACGCTGCCACAAAGGCATCGAGTGTTTACGAGAAGGAAGACGACGATTCACGCGACTCAAACGGCAACGATGACGATGCCGACGATGAAGATGAAGATGAAGAGATGGATGATGACGACGAGGAACCCGTCATCTTGGAGGTGGCGTCGGTGCAACCGGCTGCGCGGACTGCCGTGGTTGCTTCTCCGATAAACGTAAGAGGGGCATTGGTGAACATCCCGAAGCGGATAGCCCCGCCCCTTCCTACAAGAAGCCCAGCTCGGATGTCTCGCGCCAGCAAGAGCGATCTGGCGAACGATGATCACGTCCCTATCGCTACGCAGACGGACTTGGAGCCACCGCCCCAGAAGCCTTCCGACGAGATGACGACTGACGAGCCAGAAAGGATCCCCGTTGTCTCCGAACCATCATCGCCAGGGAAAGCGAGAGAGGCCGTGGCCATGTCGAGCGAAGGCAAGCATTCAGATAAAGAGGCCGCCAAGGAAGAGGAGACGACCCTAACGATGGAAGCTTGCCCGGACGCTTCGGCCAACCCGAGTCATCTCACACCCGTCGTGTTTCCACCTCGGGACACATCGGAGACTCTGGTTCCACCAGAGAGGAGCGCGAGGAGACACTCAAAGGCGGACTTTAGCGCAAATCCCACAGCGGAAACCAAGTCCATGTCGCCTAGGCCTGTTTCTGTGGCTTGATCGACTCGGCGACATATATTTTTCACCTCGCCGACCTTTTCTACTTATCGTTTTTTCCGGTCCGCTTTTCAGCTGTCGGACATTCCAGGCGACTTCTCGAGGCCTGATTTTTCACTTTTATGTTTACCGTGCATCGATCGGTATGGTTGTAACGATAGATGGCAATGAGGGAGCTTACAGGTTTGGTACCGCGGTTGCCTATGCAGGAAAGGGAATGTCATTGAACCGGAGGACAGGGCAGGGCAGGGGTATTGGCAGCGAATTATGGAAGTACGGCTCTTGACAATGATCGAGCTGACTTGACAAGATATACCGGACGGGGTGTTTGTGACTGGCGACAATGTATCATATAATACTTTCGTACCTTAGGAAGGAGTCGGCATGGGGGGATCTCTTGAGATGGGAACAAGGCTCGGCGCAAGAGAGGCACCATCGGGAACCATATCATGAAGAATCATGAGCAAAATGTCTTTTTCTTTTTAAATTAGGAAAAAAAGTTTCTTTTGTCTTTTTGCTTGGACGGTGTGATCTTGAACTACGCGGCGCAGGATTTCAAGGCTGAAGTGAAAGGTCGGGCAGGGTCAGAGCTCAACCTGGGCCCCGTCTACTCAGATGGTTGAACGGGGCTCGGATCCCCAAGTGGCCACATTACTCACATTACTCACTTCCACATCTCGCCGCGCTTCACACCAAACATTGGAGATTGAGACCGTTCGGGGGAGGGAACAGGAAAGAAAAATAGGGCAAAAATTCAAGGGTCGAGGGACATCGGATTTGAGCCGATAACTTTTGGGAAGCTCCATGTCTGATCTGGAATCCAATGCGCTACCGTTGCGCCAACCCCCCAGTGATGCCGGTGATGCACTCATTCTGGTTGCTTCTGGGTTAGTTGGTGTTATCGAGGACTATCACGGCGAATGCTAAAGGGCTCAAGAGCTTCACCCGGATGCTCCATGAAGCGCAACGGAGTGATGTGTAACCCCTACGTAGGCCCACGATGCCAGCAGGGCAACTTTTCCTTGTCTGCCATTATCAAGTTGACTGGGCAGTCGCAGATAGGAACACGCCTCAGTGGGCAACACACCCACCCGAAAACCGGCGGTGGTGGCGGTGGCCCTGTCTGTCGGTTCAGGTTCTATCTACCTTAGCCTCAGGCTTGGCGAATGGCGTGGCTCCGACACGTCGTCTAACCAACCAATCGGCAAGGAGAGCAGACCTGTGGCTCCACCGACAAGCGCCAGGGCGGCTGAAAGCACGGACCAAGATGGGACTCCTGCTGTTGTTCCGCCATTTCGTCCTGTTCCTGTGTCAACTCTGCGAAAGTACCAATTACGCCGCCGACCGCGTCAAAATCCGGTCAAGCACAACCTTGCCACGCCCGCGCCCACGCCCACGCCCACGCCCACGCGACGCAGCAGGACCAGTACCAATCCGCCCGCCGGCACCCCGACGCCAACCCCAACGAACAATCGCAACTTTGACTTTGCAACTCTCCAGCCACCAACCGTCGCGTCTGCCAGGTCTCCGAGGACCCCAGGCACAGGCAAAGGCACAGCAAAGGCAGAGGCACGAGAACACCGAAGATGTCGAGCCAGGCGGGCAAATGGCGCGAGGATCAGGTCCTCGTCATCTGCCCCGGCAGCAAGACCACCATGGCCCAGCTGGGCTGTGCTGAGCTTACGCCGCCCGCGCATCGGTTCCCCACGCGCATGTTCAGGGACGAAGAGGGCGACAAATGGCGGCCGTACCATACTTTCAAGCGCAAAAAGAAGGTCACTAGCAATGGTGCCGCTACGGCTGTCGCTACATCTGCTTCCACAGCTGCTGCCTCGGCTCCTCCTGCGTCCTCCACTACCGAGATGGACGAGTGGGAATGGGTAGAGGATACCGATTCAGAAGAAGGCGCCGTGTACCCCATGCAAGGTCAGTGAACCCCAGGGGCGGAAGAGATAATGGGGTGGGGAAGGAAGAGATTTTCTTTTGTAAGGTTTTTTTTTTTTTTTTTTTTGGGTGTCTTTCATTACTGACTTGAGGCTTTCTCGACAGGCGGTCGCATCGTCAACATGGAGGCATTTCTCGCTTTTCTCGATCACATACACGGCATTCTCACGACGACATATCACAACACGCCCATCATGCTCATGGCATCGCCACAGTGGACGCGCCCCGACACGGAGACTGTAACTCGGTACATCTTCGAAAAGACCCGCACGCCGGCCCTCTGCCTCATCCACAGCGGCATCGCGACGCAATACGGCCTCAAGTGGGGGAACATGACGGTGGTCGACATTGGGTACGAGAAAGTCGACGTGACTTGCATCTACGAGGGCCGCGTGGTCAACCACAGGGCGTTGGGATACCCCTCGCCGGAGCGCGACATCTCGGGAGGCGAAGTGTTCACGCGGAAGCTGCTGGAACTGCTCGAGGGAAGCCGCTTCACCTACGACATGGCCGAGCAGTTGAAAAAGAGCCCCATTTGCGAAGTGCTACCCTATGCCCCGGACCACCCGAAGTTTATGGAGCTGCCGACCGAGTCGACAGCAGCAGCTGCGCCGCTCGGCAACGGCAGTGGCAACGGCAGTGGCAACGGCAGTGGTAACGGCAACGGCAGTGGCAGTGGCAGTGGCAGTGGCGGCACCAGCACCAGCACCATTACCACCGCCACGGCTGCGCCCGCGGGTCCTGAAGTTCCCAAAGTCAACGAGCCTTACAAGCCGGCGGCGGCTGATGGCGATGAAGCAGACGTCCTGCCAGGGGCCGATGCCGATGGCGTCTTGGACGTGGCGACCATCGTCACGAGCGGCAACGCTCGGGAGTTCTTGGCGAAGAAGGAGAAGGAGAAGACGGAAAAGGGAAAGGGTCGCAAGGCCAAGGGCCAGGAAGCCGACGCTGCCAAGACGGCTCGACTACCCAACTCGAAGAGGATGCGCAATGTGTTCCAGTACGAGGAAGTCGTCCAGGAGGAGGTGCCTCTCGTAGATACTACGGGGGGCGCAGGTGCCAAGGAAGGAGAAAATAGGGGGGGCGAGGCCAAGCAGGACGAGGCCAGAGAAGGTGAAGCCAGAGAAGGTGAAGCCAGAGAAGGTGAAAGCAAAGAAGGCGAAAGCAACGACGTGGAAATGACGGACGACTCGAAGCCTGCCGCTGAAGCCACGGCCACCGAGGAAAAGCCTACCGCTACCGAGTCCGCGCCAGCCTCGACCACCGAACAAGTGACGGAGCCGCCGACCGAGGACCAGCCCGCACCTGGTGCGGCCGCCAGGGAGGCAGCAGCAACAGCGGCAGCAGCAGCAACAGCGGCAGCAGCAGCAACAGCGGCAGCAGCAGCAGCATCGCACCAGACCGTCACGCACAACAGGAGGGTGCGACGTGAGATCGAAGTCGGCCTGGAGCGCTTCACCTTTGCCGACCGCGCGGAGATTGACCGCATCGTGTGGACCATCTACAACACGATCCAGAACGTCGACGACATGTACATGCGCCCCGCCTGCTGGGACAACCTCGTCTTCGTCGGCAACGGCGCGCGGCTACGCGGCCTCAAGGAAAACATCGTGCAGACGCTGAACGCGCGCCATCTCATCTCGCCGAGCACGGCCACCATGTTCACCTCGGAGCTGCCGTCCAACCTGGCCACGCCGACAGGCACCGGGTCGCAGACGCCGACAGGTTCCGTGTCGGGGGCGCCGCACCAGCTGCTCCCCACCGGCGCGTTGTCGTCGTCGTCGGGCGTCAACCCGCTCCTCCAAGCCGCCACCACGGCGTCGTCCCTCGGCGTCGTCCCTTCTACGCCCGTCCCGCAGGGCAGCGCGGCGGGCGAGGGCGCGGCGGGCGGCGGTGCGCAACAGCATTCGATCCACTTCCACAGCCAGACGCCGACGAGCATCAAGCTGGCGGCGCTGCCGACGTACCTGTCTGAGTGGAACAAGAACGGCTTTGAGGAGGCCATGTTCCTGGGCGCACAGGTGGCGGCCCGTCTTGCGTTTTGCGTTCATAACCTAGATATGGCGGGGTTGGAGGCGCAGAAGCTGATGAGCTTGAGCCGAGTTGAGTACAAGTATGTTGTCCTTTTCCCTCTCTGTCTCCGGAAAGCAAGAAAAGAAGAAAAGAAGAAAGAAAAAAATTAACTTGGCATGAACAGTGAACTGGGACCCAAGGGCATTCGGACGCATTCGATGCTGCAGTAACCCCCCACAAACCCGGACCGACACACCAAAAGTTACGTTTGTTTCTCCGCAAAAAGGAGAGCAAAACATGATACATTCTTGACAGGAGGCGGGAGACAAAAGAAAGAAACAGGAAGAAGGTTCTGAGAACCTGTAGCTCACTGTTGGCTACTCTTATAACATTGGCTTAGCTGTGTATATCCGTCCCTTGCAGCTACGATTTTGACCACCGGGAGACTCGACAAGGTCTGATGGGAATTACGGTAGTGGATTCAACCCGAAATATAGTAGGGCAAGACGGTGGTTATTGATCAAGCTGATCGACCATCGTGGTGATCCATCATGATAGCGTGGTAGTATGTGTTGAAAAGCGAGAAAATAAAACAAAATAAAATAAACAAAAAGTGAAGAAAAAAATGGAAGATGCTTCGGCGTCAACGGTGTACGTTAAGACTGCTCACCAAGCTCTTGCATGAGGCCTTTAGATTAGCAATCACGATAGTCTAAGTAAGATCGGGTTAATTCGGTCTTGGATGCACATCCATTCGTATCCCCTGTTGGAGGAAATGAGTCAGAAGGGCGTAGGGGACGAGCTGGTTATCTACCCTATGCGTCCCAGATCCGTAATTGAAAAGGACATGGAGGGGAAGAAAAGAAAAGAAAGGAAAAGAAAAGAAGGACAACAGGTTCATACACCCTACCCAACACCACAACGCATTTAAGCTTGTTGTCCGATTCACCCGTCAGCTCGAGGAAAAGAAGAGACGAACAAGGCAACGGCCATGTCGCGAATCAACATCAGCTCGGGGTCCGCCTTCGAAGCGCAGATAGCATACTCTCGTGCCGTGGTGACCGGAGACTACATCCACGTCTCGGGGACCACAGGGTAGGTGGACGAATTCCGGGGAGACGCCGAATGTCAAGGCATATAATATATAACATATATATATAATCATGGGACGAGAAAACGGCGACTAACATACAATGATCGCCGATCCGAAACAGCTACGACTACGCAAAGGGCACCATATCCCCGGACATCGAGGAACAGACGGAACAAGCGCTGCGCAACATCGCGGCGGCCCTGGCGCAGGCGGGGGGCGCTTCGCTGTCGGACGTGGTGCGGGTGCGGTACATCCTCCCCGACCGCGCCGACTTCCCCGCGGCTTGGCCGGCGCTGCGACGGTGCTTCGGCGACGTGCGGCCGGCGGCGACCATGGTGCAGGCGGGTCTCATGGAGGAGGTCATGAAGATTGAGATTGAGGTTACGGCTTGGAGGCCTCGGGAGGGGTAGCGGGCATGAATTACAGCATGGTTGCCTTTGGGTCTGGGCTGAGAGAAGTGGTCATCTCGGCAGTTGACGGTGGGCGAGCGTTACGTTAGGGGAGGGCTGAAAATTAAGGAATGAAGGAAGAAAAAACCCGACTAATAAAATCCACAAAAATCCATGGACCGCAGACATGTTTTTTCTGGTGGCCGGATCGGCGAAGTCTGGTCTATGTCGTGATAAGTACTCCGTAGTCCGTAGTCCGTAACCGTACGGGGTACAGGGTACAGAGTACAGAGTACAGATACAGAGTACATCAAAGTCCCCGATGCCCGTGCTTTATAGCCGGACACGGTCGGCGATGTCAGCCACAGGCCGGCCGGGGTTTACCGAATTCGTACCACCTGGGAATACCAAACACAGATGTCGCTCCAGGTGTGTCTCAGATGCAGCACCCGGTCAAACGGCATATCTAGTGTAACAGGCCGACAGAATTCAATAACAACCATCATTCATCGTCATTAGATACATACAGTACAGTAGGTCTGAGATGCGAGCTCCTCGTAACGGACAATTTCCCGATGCCTCCCTCTTAGCGGAACAACAAGGCGAGCAAGGCCCCCGTCCCGAATATACTTGCTACGGTAATAAAGCTCGAAGTCGAGAACATAGACATACCACTGATGCCATGCCCCGAAGTGCAACCCCCTGATATCCTAGCGCCGACGGCCAAGCAGACACCCCCCGCGACCGCAAGCAGGGGCGAAACAGGCAGCAGCCCATCCCCCTGCGCAGCCGGGACGGCAAAAGCCGGGTCGGCAGCCTGGACAGCCCAAGCTCCGCCCGCCACACCGACCGCGAACAGCACGTTCCTCGACGAGGGAAGCGCGTCGCGGGCGCCGCGCACCAGCCAGAAGAACAACCGGCCCGCCTCCTCGTACGACGCCGAAACGCCCAGCATCGCCTTGCGGGACACCATGGACACCAACTGCGAGACGCCGATGAAGAGCCCCCCCGCCGCGGGGGCGACGACGGCGAGATGCGAACCGGGCGCGTACTGGGCGCAGGCGTAGACGGCGGCGGCGCATGCGGCCTGGAACGCGAAAAAACCGGCCGCTCGGCTGATCCCCGCGCGCTCGTGCACCGTGAGGCGCGGGTCCTCGGGCGGAGCGGAGGCGGCGCACCGAGAGAGGCGGGGGCCCAGGAAGCCGGCCCAGGCGACGCCCCCTAGGAAGGTGCCGGCCAGGGCGTAGAGGCCTGTGGGGAGGCCGACGGCTGCTTGCGGGATGACGGTGCCGGGGCATGCGCCGGCGAGGACCATCCCTACCCCTTGGAGGGCGCCGCCGAGGATGTTGCCGTCGTACGGTCCGAAGAGGCCGAGGCGGGAGGCGGAGCGGGGTTTAGGGTGCAGGACATCGAGCTTGTCGAGGGCGACGACGACTAATCTGTATTGATGATAACATTGTTTTGGTTAGAAAGGGAATGAATGCCTTTGAGTGATCATCTTTCGTGTAAATTGTAATCCGCTCGGTGAGGCAATTCAAGACGGTGTTCGGCATGGGCTTACGAGCTGCTAGCAGCGGCTGCTAGGAAGGTTTGGAGCATGTGCCAGTCTTCGAACTTGAGCTGGCCTAGGATGACGGCTGGTTGATGGACGCCGGCGGCGACGAGGGCAGCGCCAAATGACGCACCCGAGAGGAGGGTTGTCGCCATGGTTAAGGAACGATGTGACTGATCGATTTTGAAGATTTGCGTGAAGGGCCTTCTTATGAGGAGGTGTAAAAGGAGAAGAAGAAGCGGACTCTTGTTTATGCGACCTGGGATAGTTTAGATGATTTGAGTAAGACGTAATAAGTCGAGGGGAGTAATATGTCGGTTTATGAGTCTTTTAAAGGAATGGGCAAAGCTAAGAAAAAATGAGAGAAGAAAAAAAAAATCGCCAAAGATGGGCAGCAGACGCATTCGTCTAATCGGCCATCGGGCTTTGTCGAGTCGGTCCATCCTTATACAATTCCCTGGGTTTTTTTGTTTTCGTCGGCGACGCTCATCAGTCTAGGGAGATTAATAATAATGCAACGTCTTAGGGATATTCGAGAAGGATTTTTTGTTCGCCGACACCCGGGGGACTTTTCCTCCGGGGTCCTTTAGAGTTCCTTGGCGGCGTCCATTCGTCCATCATAGGCGAAGAACCTTCATGGTCTTAGGCCATGATAGCTGAATCATGACCGTCCGTCGTTGGTAGACCGTGTACCTCATTGTAGACCTGTCAGTTGTTCAGTGCAGACGATGTAGTGTACCTTAGGTACCTAGGTAAGGTAAGTTAAGGCAGTGTAACTGACACCGCTGCTAGCATGAGCATGAGACATTCCAGTTCCTCGGTGCCTTCCAATAAGAGAAGAGCCCAGCTGCCCAGGTACCTACGGCGTTCTCGACTTCCATGCGACAGCACACAATCGCTACTACCGGTACCTCTGTACCAACGAAATAAGGTACCTAAGGTAGACACTACCTCAAGTATCCCGGTTGCCCGGCCCGGCCGTGACACCGGAAATGCCGAGGTCTTGACCCCCGCAATGGGATTTGGTCACCGTATCCGCGGGGTCAGTCGGCCCCTAACGTCTCCCAGTACCTGGTAATTACAACATAACGTCCCGCTGTCAAAGACGTCCCGTTCATTGAAGGCCACCTACCGGAATTTCTAACGGTCCTTATAGTTCGGTTACATGTTGATTTGTCTGTGTGGTTGAATTTCCGTGAACAACTTGACAGCGCGGTTGTCAGTGCCGATAGACCTTCAATTGTATAAGGTAGGTACTTTACTTTACTCGTATACTTTAGGCTACCTTACCTTACCTCTTCCACAATGCCGTATTCCCTTACCGTCAAAAAGACAGAGGGAAAGCCCGGTAGCGTCTACTACCCGTGAGTACTCGAGACTTCGACACCTCTACCTTCTCTCCCTCCCTTCACTTTAAAAGACGTACCCTAATAATCGCCAGCCTCCAACTCAAACAAGTCCCAAGACCAACTCCTGGGCCCAACGATGTCCTCGTCAAGATCGCCGCAGCCGCTCTCAACCACCGTGACCTCTTCATCCGTCGCCATCTGTACCCCGGCATCTCGTTCGAGCACCCCCTCCTCAGCGATGCCTACGGCGTCGTAGTAGAGGCCGGCCCCGGCGCCTCCCCCACCCTCCTCCACAAACCCGTCATCCTGAACCCGACGCGAGGCTGGGACTCCGACCCCATGGGCCCCGAAGACCCGGCCAGCTTCACAGCCGTCGGCGGCAGCAAGCTCACCCCCGCCGGCGCCGCCCAAGAGTTCATCGTCGTCCCGGCCTCCGAGGTCGAGCTCGCCCCGGACCACCTAACCCCCTCCGAAGGCGCCGCCCTCCCCCTCGTCGGCCTGACCGCCTGGCGCGCCCTCGTCACCAAGAGCAACGCCGCCTTCCCCGGCGCCAACCTCCTCATCACCGGCATCGGCGGCGGCGTCGCCCTCCAGGCCCTCCAGTTCGCCGTCGCCCTCGGCTGCCGCGTCTTCGTCACCTCGGGCGACCCGGCCAAGATCGACCGCGCCCGCGCCCTCGGCGCCGTCGGCGGCGCCTCCTACCGCTCCCCCACCTGGGACAAGGACCTGCGCGCCCTGCTCCCCGCCGACCGCCCTTTCCTCGACGCCGTCATCGACGGGGCTGGCGGCGACGTCGTCGCCCGCTCCGTCCGCCTGCTTCGCCCCGGCGGCGTGATCAGCCAGTACGGCATGACCGTCTCCCCCAAGATGGACTGGCCCATGCAGGCGGTCCTGAACAACATTGAGCTGCGCGGTTCCACCATGGGATCGCGCGCCGAGTTCAAAGCCATGGTGGACTTTGTCCGCGAGAAGAAGATCCGTCCTGTTGTGAGCCGCGCCGTCCGGGGTCTGGAGAACCTCGAGGCCATCGATGGCCTCTTTAAGGACATGCGCGAGGGCAAGCAGTTTGGCAAACTCGTCATTGAGATAGATTCGATAGATTCCCCTGATTCGGCCTCCAAGTTGTAAACATGCAAAAGTGCAAAACGAAGAAAGGCCTAGATGCCCAAATTTGTTGTTCTGTAGACATGCATTGTATGTACCTAATATATACACGCGTGCAATTTATCCCTTAAAAGGGGTGTCATTGGCACGATCCCACCAAGACAAGGATAGAGAAGTTCACACATCTAAAGGGGGACCCATATACCCAGCCCCAGACCCAGTCCTTGTGGTCAACTTCCAACCATCGCGCTTGTTGGGATCAATATCTGTCGTCGTATGTCGTTTGATGTCTTTCCATCTGCAAACTAAAACCCCGCTGGTTTTGATCAATTCCTTTTCGTTGCGACCAGACGTGAGAGGAGCCGCCCTGGGGTCGATGTGCAGTCGTCGTCTGTCTCATAACCAACGCCTCGTGGTTTGTCGGGCTGGAAACCAACAAAGCCGAGATTCTCAAATGTCCATCAGAACGACCATGGACTCTTCCACATAAGAAAGCTCCAATTCCCAATCAAAGCAGGACAAAAGACCCCCAAGCCTCGTGAACATGAAGACAATGGTGGGCTTGCCTCGGATGGATTGTGATCGCCCTTTTCCTCCCCAAAGAGCCCATGAAACCCTAGGAGCTTTTTTTTTTTTTTGCGTAGTAGACGATACGCAGGATGGAGATGTGCCGGTGTCTTTGGTATCTTTCTTCCCCACTCCCGCCGATGAACAGCAACATGGCCTATCCCACCTACTCCTCGTCCGACCTCTTCCTCTTTTTCTCCTTCTCCTTTTTCTTCTTCTTCTTGTCCGCCTCTTCTTCCGGCGCGATAAAGTCCTTCTCCCGTTCCCGCTGCCTCTCTTCCTTCTTCTGCTTCTGCTGCTCGGCCCGCTCCGCCTGTGCCGCGCGCGCCTGCGCCTCCTTGCCGAGGAAGTACTCGCCCGTCTCGATCTGCTTGTCGACCCTGCTCTTCTCCGGCGCTGGCGGGAATGGCGTGTACGTCTTCTTGCTCTTGTCCGCCACCTTGTGCGGCACGCGGCGCTTGCTGAGCGTCTTCTTGCCGAAGTCGGGGAGGAACCTGTCCCAGCTCTCTTTGGCTAGTTCGGGGTCCTTGGCGAGCTCGCGCTTGATCATCTGTTGTTGTAAAGGTCAGTGAACTGGCGAAAGCAGCAGCAGCAGCAAGGGGGGGCCGGGGATGAGCACGTACGAGTGTCTTGAGATGGTAGATAGGATGAATGCCCGTCATGCAGTCTACGATGACCCGTCTTGCCTCCTTCAGTCCCTTATACGGTCCCATCACCGAGACGGTATTGCCATGGACTAGGATGTAGGTCTCTGTGAGCAGCTCGAGGGCCTTGAGGGTCGAGCCGTTGGGTCCCAATATCCTCTGTCGCCGCTTGACGAAACGCTCCTTGTTGCGCACCAGACTGCGGATCTTCACAATGTCGCATGCCACGCCGTCTTCGAGGATCTTGACCGCTTGCGGGGCAGGCACGCTTCGGGCGAGCAGCTTGACGAGGTCTCGGGCATTGAGAATCGCGGCCGGGTCGTAGGTTTTGCGGGCTGGGGAAAAAGGAAAACAAATCCAGTTAGTACTCGTCATGATCGCATAGATTCGCCTAGATAACCCATACGGTGTGCGACTTACTTGTTTTGACAGTCATAGAACCCTCAATGAGATCCAGAGCGCAGCTGATGCCACACTTCTCTAGTGACTTGGTAATTAATGGCCATGCTTCCTTCAGGTAGACTTCGCGGTATTTAGGAAAGAGGACGGAGAAACTGGATTCCTCGGTAAGGGTGCCAGCGGTGCTATCGGCCGGGGTGAAAGGGTCGATTTTCCATTTGTCGACATCTTCCGTATCCCACGGCTTGTCGGTCTCCTTTTTGTTGGACGGCATGTTAGAGCGGTTCTGCGTGAGTGTAGAGAAAAATTCGTTGGATTCGTCGGATTCGTCGGGGTCCGCTGAAGGAAGGAGTGAAAAGCGATGTTTCTTAACGTCGTCAAAGCCGAGGAGCTGGCTTCGAGAGCATCTTTCTGATCAACTTTTTTTCTTACGGTGATGGGCCTGGAACTCCACACCGAGGGACATCGGCCTCGTTATCTTATCGCAAAAATGTAACCAATTAACATTGGACACTGGGATAGCTGGCGCAGTTGTACTGGGTACCCTTTTTACAACTCATTTATGTGTAAGACGAAGTACTTCGCACCTGTTGAGTTGGGTGAGAGCAAGAAGTACATAGGTACCACGTCGACGATTCGAGTTCTACTGCTTTCGCGTGCTGCTAGACCTCAATTTAAGAATGGATACAAAACAGCGAAGGATTTAATTACGTGCAGGCAAATGCTGCTCTAGATATGCTACGATTCCGGTAGGAAAATGGTGTGCATACTCAAATCAATACCTCGTAGGTACTTCGTAGGGCTGGAATCTAAGGTACCTTACAGGTATGATGTACGATGGTACAAAGTGTAGGTACCGTTCGTATCGGTTTACTTGTATTCCCATTGAAAAGATTGGCTACTACTTCATCTTACGTGACCAATGAGCACTTGCATCCTCAGCGGGTCATGCGTCCCGAATGGGCATCTGGGATCTGGCTATTGATAAGAGGTGATCAGATCAGTGCTTGATCGATTCATGTTATTTTCCCCCGATTCCTCCTTTATCATAGTTACTCCGTACATGGAACTCACTCCTCCTCACACCATATCGACTACGCTTCTCCCACGTGTCAAGTCCTATGTCTGGTAATGATTAGTACAGCCATTGCCTTTTACTTGATGAACCGGGAGTAGTACCGCGATCGCGTTTCATGGAGAGTCCACCCACTTTTGTATTCATTTTCGCGTTTTAAGAGAGTCGCTCCTTCGGGGACCGCCCACCTCCCCCTCCAGCCACATCGCCCAGGAATAGATAGATCTTGCGACGTCCACAACCGGCACCTACCTATTTTTCTCCGTCTAGGTACCTTAGTCAACACTCTGTCAAACTACCTATTCGACGTCCACGGTCCAACCCATCACGCGTCGATTGTTCCACGCGTTGTTCAACCCGACCGGTCAGCTATAGTATCGGTCGTAAGTCTACCCGTCGAGACCGCGAGTTCCTCTGCTCTCTTGTCGCATCGGGAGAAGAAAGTGCGGTCTGGCAAGAGGAAAACAGAAGCACAACGCTCGCCATGGAAGAAACCAACGGAATCTCGCCTCTTCCAACCACCCTCGAGGCCGAACCGGTGCCGCGTCCCAGTTCTACCTCGACCAACGAATCCGTACCTCAGTTACCGGGGATCTCATCGCTCTCTTCGGTCAATTCAGCCACCAACTCACCACAAATGAGGTGCGTCCATCTCGGGGAAGAAGAAGGGCCGTGGTCGCTTTTATTTTTTATTTTTGCGTCGGGTCAGTCGGGCGTGCTTGCGCAGGACTACGGAGGCAGGGATATGTAGATGGACTTGGGGTTTGCGCGGTGGCTTGGCCTATGGCGAGGAGAGTGGTCATGGCGGCGCTCCCCTGCAGGTCTTTCGAACGCCCTTCGATGTCTTGATTTACACTTGCCTCCCCCTTACAGACTTACGCTGACCAACTCGAATGCTTTGCAGACCGACAACCGCTGCCCTTCCTCCCCAAGATCCCTCTCGGACGACAACACCGCAACCTATGTCGCAACCGGCACCACCACCACAGCCGACACCACAACCGGCACCGCAACCGGCACCGCAACCCGCACCACAACAGGTACAAGAACTACCAGTCCAGACCCAGCAGCAGCAGCACCAGGCACAACAACAACAGCAGCAGCAGCAGCTACAGCCACAGCCCGTGTTACTTCCTGGCCCGTCGCCTACTCCTGCAATTGCTGGAAGAGGACCGGGTCCTCAAACTGTAAGGAATCCCCTCCGTTGCGCCAAATCACACTTCGTCCCACACATTCTTGTCTGTTCGCTTGCTTTTCTTTTTACGCACTTCCCTTCCATGTCCCGCTACGAAACGACTCAGTCCCAATTCTCAAGTGGCATCGGGTACCTGCAACATCCCTCACGTTTGCGTGGGATGAGGCATTGGGGCCGAATGGTCTCTTTACCTTGGCGTTTTGGAGCTCTCTACATGAAAGCTGTACCGGTACCCCCTTCGCAGCAGAAGGATACCTTTGTGGAATGTACCTGGACTCGACTCCACTGTTGACCTCGACCGGATTTTTTTCTGCCTCTGCTGCCCTCGCATCCTCACTTGCCCTTTTTTTTTTTGCCCCCTTATCAAATGGGTTCGTCTTATCAGCCCCATTTTTCCGTGTAATCGGTAAGGTATCTGTTACTTCATCACAAAATCATGTCCGATGGGGCCCCCACCGACAAAGATAAACCCAAATTTCCTGGCGTCAAAAGTTCTTATCTACGCATCACATCCATCCCTATCTCCCGTGCCCCCCTTCGATATCAGTCTTGCCTATAGCTACAATCATTGCACAAACATCTGCCCAATACTGGTCGCGATGATGGCCACACCTGCTAACCATGGTCGCGACTCAACACAGCCGACTTGTCAAAATTGTCAGACCTCAACGACACCTTTGTGGCGACGCGATGAATATGGTGCGGTTCTGTGCAATGCATGCGGCTTGTTCCTCAAGTTGCATGGCCGCCCGCGCCCCATATCTCTCAAGACGGACGTGATAAAGAGCCGAAACCGTGTCAAGACCATGCGCCCTGATCTTGCGAACAAAAAGAAGGTCAGTCATACCTCATCTTGCCCGCCACAGCTCGATATCCGCACAGTCGCTGACTTGAGCCCTGCAGCAACAGCAGCAAGCGCAACAACAGCAACAAGCCCAGCACCAATCACATGCCTTTTCAGGAGGAGACCCGAACGGTTTCGATCTTCATGCGCAGCCTGGCACAGTCGCGTCGGGTCAACGCCCGGTGCAGAAATCCGCCAATGGGCAGCAAGACGGGGGCAACTCGCCGGGCTCACGCGCCGACACACCTTCTCTATACAACCCCGGCATGCCCGTCTTTCAAGGGCTAGACGATCCCCAGTTCCAGTCATTCGCCATGTCTAGCAATTCCCCCAATCGGCCGGCGTCACCCCTTAACGGCAATCGGCACCTAGACCCTCCCCAAACCCACGAACAGCTCATCGCGACCAACTCGGCGCTGAAGACTAGGGTTAGCGAGCTCGAATTCATCAACGAACTCTTTCGGGGACGACTGGGTCAGCTGGAGCACGACGAGGCCAACGCCAGGCGGGGGCAAGAGATCAACGGGCAGACCGAGGCTCAGCTTCGAGCCGAGTTGGAAGAGAGCCATCGCAGGGAGAACAACCTCAAACGACGTCTAGACGAGCTAGAGCTCGAACTTCAGAACGTCAAGGACGCGCTTGAGGCTACCGAGCCTGGAAGAGCCACCAAGAAGCCCCGTCTAACCGAACCCGAAGAGTCGAACAATGACAACCCCGTTCCCACCGAGGAGAACGTCAAACTCGAACAAAGTCAGCCCGAGGAAGCGCCTGCTGCTGCCTCTGCTGTTGCCTCTGCTGTTGCCGAAACCGTGGAAGCTCCGGCGCCTCAGCCTGAAGCCGCATCTGCCTAGAACGGCACTGGGGGGGTGGTCGCAAGACGAGTCCTGGAGAGGGGTTTTCAACATATCCTTTATTAATTTCAACCTGCACTCTTGTAACATTATTCGGAGCCAAATGGCGGCCACGGCATCGACCATTCGATTAGGTCCACGATGACGGAACGCTCTGCATGCAAAAAAAGGAACAAAAAAAAGGGCGAAATGCAAATTGCATATCCTTCCCTTTCTTTGGTCGTCGGAGACTTGAGCGCACTTCTTCTAAAATCACGTCGTCATTGTCATCGATTTAGCCTGTCCTGTCTGGCTATTCGTCTCCTATCCTACGGCAAGAGGTGGTCATCAGGGGTTAAAAGGTACATGTATAAGGTTCTTGATTGAAAAAGGAATGCTTTTACAGTCTCCCTGTCGCACTCAGGGCACGGAACGAGTTGCATATTAGGGGGTCTTATTTTGCGTTAAGAGGGATGAACAGTCTGGACCGCGGATGGTCTGGAAGCCCGTTGAGGCTATGACTTGGGAATTCGAGGGTTTATGGAGGAAGCGAATAGGTTTTCTGTTTGTAGTACCATAGTACGGATACATGGAGGTCCCTCCCTTGAGGTCAGACCCCTTCCCCCGGCTTTAGCGAGGGATACCCAAAAAGTTGCTTTTACCACGAGCCTCGACTGGTCGTTTCTGCGTGCTGGGCCGAGATGATGAATTCCGTCCACCACTCTACCTTATGCTCTTCGGAGGGATCCCTCCCCACGGTCAAATTAACTTTTGCTGTCTATCTCCGTAGGGCTTGAGCATACCGTACACTGTAGCTGTATCATGGCGCCTTCCTGACGAAACCTTATTCGAATACGGACCACTTAGAGTTGGAGATGTCGACGACGTACCTTATATAATGCTCTCTTGACTCCGTATTTAATCCCTCCTCTTTTCGCTTTTGGCGCTGTAAGACCGACCGAGGAGGGAATTCGTGAAACCCTGGAGTGGCGCCAGGGGGGGGCGAGGAACAGAAGCACGGAAATTCATCTCCTTTCTAGGGGCCAACATTCCAACAACTTCAGAACTCGGAACATATCCGTACTCGTCTTTTCTATTGTGTTTTCTTTACCAAACTTCCTCCCGACGTCTCACTTATCTACAACTCCAGTTAAATTTTCTTGTTCTCCTCTGAAAGACGCGCCCGAAGCTTATTTAGTCTTGCGGTCTTATAGAGGAATCCCCGAGTTTGCACCTATGGACCACCAGCCCGATTCTGAAGAGATCAAGCTCTCCAAGAAGAGATCCTGGGCCATGTATAGCCCCGCGACCCCCTCCCCGCTTAACCCAAGCTGCAATTCGCATGGGGAAGAAACACCAGAGAGGGGGAGAACAAGAAACCCGTCACCGTCCCCGTCTCGGCCAACGACGCCCGGGAGAGAAGGGGAGAGACACCGGCCCATGAGGGTGGCAATCAGCCCAACGGAGATGTTGTTGAGGCAGAAGGCAGCGCAGGCCTGGCAGTCGATAAGGAGGGCGGGTGGCAGAATGACCCAGCTCGATGAACAAGAGTGGCTAGACGTCGGCGAAGTGGAGAAAACACCGATAGAGCAGAACTCGGGGTCACCAATCCATCCTGCGCACTGGGAGGACCAAGAGGACCAGTTTTTCGTCAACACCCAAGACGAAGACGGGAGCGATAGCGGCGGCGGCGGCGACGACGACGACCACGACGACGACGACGTATGGAGCCGCTGGACGATCATCACCTTGGAAGATATCACCACTGCCTGGCCTTTTACCTGCTTCAAAGTCCCAATGACGCGTCGGTCGCTGTTTGTCGCTATGCTGTGTCTGGGGGGTTGCATCCCCGCCGTCGCCATCCTTTCGTCTAACGGCCCATCCGCCAGCATCTGGGCCCTTCGTCAACCCGTTGTCCAAGCTCTGGCCCGACAGGCGGTCTGTCCTGACATACACCGCCTATAAGCAGGGATTAGGAGGCACACCTCGTGCGTAATATACAGACGCGGATGCGGTCTTCCAAGTGGAGCCCAGAACTGAGCTGTGTATATGGACGCCAATTTTCCGGAACCGAAAACCCATCTATACGCCAGTCTATAAAAAAAAACAGCGCATGTTCTCATTTGCGAAAGAACATAGACAACATCTAACGGAGGAGGAAATACTGTACTGCAAGATCTGGGAACAACAAGTTGAGATCACTTCTTCCCGTCGTCCTTTGACATCTGGGAAGTTGTGTCCGTGGTCGAGGCCGGTTCAGAACGGCGGCTGTTGTCTTGCGATGTCCCATTTGGGTCATGATTGACCTGCCAAATGGCCCTCTCCATTTCGATCTTGAGCTCGGGCAGATCGAGGGTCTCAGCAATCCTGGTCCCGTCGTTGTGCGAGAGGAGTACTTTTTCTCCAACGTCGGGTGAGCCGGACGCTTCTTCCTCGGAGCTCTGCGCAGCGCTCAACGTCTCTTTCTGCTGCTTGTCTAGCGTCGAGGTCAAGGGGGAGTATATGCTGTCCAAGAGGCTGGAAGGGGCCAAGTTGATGAGTTTGTTTTTGCGGAGGAACTCGATGTGAGCGCCACCCGCTATGGCGCGCCAATGCGACCAAGCGCGGTAGGCGAGATAGAAAAACGGGAAGTTGGGAATCCTTTGCGGGACATGATTTGTTAGCGAATGGGTCTCATCTGGCGTAATGGGAGAAAAGGGTTGATATCTATAGGCCAACGTACACTGGCACCAGAATAAAGGGTATGGTGATGGGCATTCCGACGAAGCACCACACGAGCCTGTTCTTGTGGAGGGCGGTTCTTTCTGTGGCTAATTTGGCCAAAACCGAGTCGACAGAGTCCGGAGGCATGATGGATCCTGGGAAGACGACCTCAACCTTGTCCCCCTGAAGCTCCTGGTATTTCCGCCGTGCCGACAGAGGAGGGATTGATTTGAGGCCCCATTCCTGGTATGGTATCCTCCTGAGAAGATAGTTTCCGTAGTTGACGACAGTCTTCTGCCATCCCTTTTCGTGACTTTCCCATCCGGCCCATAGTTTGGCGGCGCGGTTCGTCGCCTTGTCCGCCAGGCTCAGCTTCGCGGTTGCGACATTGACGCGTTGGCAGTAGAGCAGAGTCCGGGAGGTGGTGAGGGGCAGGAGAAAGAGGCGCATCGTGAGGAAGGTGCAGTGAAGATGGATGGCCTGTTGCTTTTCAATCGTACCGTGCGTAAGTCGAGTGGTTGTGTGCTGCTTTGCATAGGGTGCCAGCTATTTGAAGGAGGCCGTTGGGAGATGGACCATTTTTCTCCCCTAGGCTGCAATAGGCTGGCTACAAGAGAAAACAGTGAGGGAGGCCTCGAGTAAACACAGGGATCGTGGAAAAGTGGGAATCAACGAAATTTGATATTTGTTATGGCTGTGGTGGAAGACTTCCGCGTCAGATGAAGAAATTCCATGTCTAAGCTCTGACGTTAGTTATACTGCCACCGAAGTACCCCTAAGTGTAGATCCGGGTTGAGCAAGGGCCATGTTAGGTACCTTATGTACGAAGTTCGAAGCAGTTAATAATAAAGCAAAGCTCTCAGCTTTGAGCTCCAGTTTTGACCAAACGGTGACGCAAATGGTCGTCACATCCTACCTGTCTGGTAAATGGGCCGTAGTAGCGGTGTTGTTTCCGGGCAGGACTATGAGGTACCTAAATACCTCCTATCGCCTTTTCAACGAGCGTTGCATTGTATCTACCTATTGTACCACGTGCATCCAGAGGAGGTTACCGATCAATAAGTCTTTGTACCACCCTGGAAGCGCTGCGCCCCAGACGGGAGGACCTGGGTGTCAAGCTTTTTCATTCTTTTTCATTGGGTCATTCCCAAGACGAACCAGACAAGGGCTAATCAATCAATACGGAGTACCGAGCTACCGCGCCCGTGGTGGTTACGCCCAGCTTCTTGACACAACCGAACCCGACGACATTTCTTCGAGATGCGACCTTCGCTGTTCGTATGCCCCCCCGCTATCGAGTCAAGCTAGTGGCATCAAAATATCCACGCGACTGCTTAGCACTGTGTAATGGATTGGGCACTTCTGCCTACTGGTGTATCTCTCCCCAACTCCCTAAGCTGAACGCTCCATCCATCCTATCTATCCGTCCGTCAACCGACAATCTTCGAGGCCGTCACGCGCCCTGCCCCCTGCGAACATCACCTCTCGCCTTTGCTTCATCCTCCACTCCCGACGTCTCCGGCGGGCTCTTGTTCCGTCTTCTAGCGCTTGTTTGAATTAGACGTACGGTATAGAAGTCATTGGATTGTCGTTGGAATGGGCCCATCGTCTACAGCCTGACGCTTCTTCTTTGTCCTTCCGGGACAGACGTATCGATCGATTCTAATGCGTCGTTCATGAGGACTATGCACCGCTTGGCTCAAGTCAGGGCGCTTACGACTCTTCATCGCCCAACTTGATATACTTGAATTTCCATAGCAGGATCCCACTGATTCACGCCGGCAACCTTCAGCATCAGTGCCCCTCGACTTTGTCCTCGGGATGGACGACCCCCCTGGCGAGGACCTCCCCCCAATCTCGAGCCCTCGCACACAGAGTCATCGTGCCTCCGTTGGCGCGGCGAGCCATTCGACAACATTTGAGAACCACCAATCTCCTCGCCAACGAGTACCTCGTTCTCTGCCTCGTACGTATTCTTTCTTCCTTTGCCCGTATAGTCGTCAATCTCATACTAACCGAGGCTTTTTTCGGCTCGCCCAGCGTGGATCGACTCGTTCGAATCGGAGAATGGATTAAGTACGGAAGAGCAGCTTCGACTGTTGAACCTGCCTAGTCGGGCCCACGCCGCGCAACATAACTACGGCCCGAGCGATACGGAACGAAGGGTATCTCGAGATGGCTTCGTCGACATTGGCCTAGATCCGGTCCCAAGTCATGGCACCACCTCACAGCGGAGACGGTTGACCGTGCAACAATTGCTTAGAGGAAGGAGGGGGCAGCAGGGACGGAAATGGGACCACCTGCGCACCGCCGAACCGGTTATTGTGCCGGCCCACTTCTTTCAGAACCAAGACCCCGCGCTGGCCTGGCGGAGCTACCTCCAGTCGTCGGTCTACGGGCGGATGGAAGGGGAGGAGTCGGAGGTGGTCGACCCGGAGTTTCTAGACGAACTACAGCCCGATTTTAGCCGGCCGTTCGATAAGCCTCTCTACCCGCACGAACAGCCACACGCGCACGGAGCAAACGACCGGCGGCGGCGGCGGCGGACGTTTTGGGAACGAGCCTGGCGCGCCATCCTACGACACCCGCTCGTTCCGTTGATGTTCCGGCTCATCGTGCTGGTGAGCTCGATGAGCTCGTTGGCCGTCGCAGCGCGCATCTACATGCATGAGGACCGGCAGGACCGCAGCAGCGCCGAACGTACGCAGAGCGTCGTGGCCATCGTGGTGGACACCGTGGCCGTCCCCTACATCGGCTACATGCTGTGGGACGAGTACACGGGCAAGCCGCTGGGCTTACGAGCGGCAACGCAGAAAATCGCCCTGATCCTTCTGGATCTCTTCTTCATCATATTCAAGTCGGCGAGCACGGCCCTTGCTTTCGAGTCGCTCGTGTATCACATGGACCGACAAGTGGCGGCCATCACAGCCCTCTCGAGGGCGTTAACGTCCATGATGGTCGTGGGCCTGGTGGCATGGACCATGAACTTTATGGTCAACATCTTCCGGACGGTGGCGAGACTAGGACCGGGTGAAGGATAGGAAGGATTCGCTTATAACTGGATTCGCTTATTCGCTTATAACTGGGATACAGCACGGCAGGAAGGCAAGGGCGTTTTAGGAATGGGTAAGGGTAAAGAGAAGAAAAAAGGTTGGGGGTGGGGGGGGGCAAACACCGCATTACGCAAGATACCTTGTTTTTTTTCTTCTTTCTTTTCCTTGGGGTTTCTCTCTGCACTCGGTACGGTCAGACGCAACACGACGAGCTCCGCTACTGGGCCTCCCGTCTCCTTTTGTACAACAACCGGGTAGGTACAGCTGTGGGGGTGACTCCGTAGTATGGGACCAGCCCATCCTGGTGTCATACAGAATATTATCTTCGTCGTAGTGTACCTTAGTCAGGTTCGCTTACCCATGAGGAGCTAACACTCCGGATCACGTACTGCGTAAGGTAGGATAATGGAACAAGTTAGGCGACGAGTTCTTTTCTGGTCGCCACTGGTCCGACGTTTACCTAATCCAACCCCGCCTGCCTTGTTGGCGGAGGAGTCACATTGTACACCGTACTCCGTACCTGTCTTACCTAAGGTAAGGTAACCTAAAGACAAAGGTAAAGGTACCTTAGGTAGTCCGCTCGGCCTCACCTCTTCCAACATACAACGTACCTACCCATCTTCTTCAACCACCTCTTCATCATCCTATAACACCAGCAGCCCTAGATCGACGGATCGCGAGGCCATCCCCATCACACGCACACAATACCACTGGGCGACACCTTCTTACGACATCGGGTGGTGGAATACAAGGTCTTCATCAAAAACGCTGATCCGGATTTCAGTTCGGTGCCACTTACGGTTTCTGCCTTGGGGGATCTACCCCTCGACAGCACTTCCAAGTGGCCGCCACGTGCCTAACCTAAGAATCGCCGCCGCGCCGCATCACTCGGCTGGCTGGCCTGGCTGGCCGTTGACGTCTTTCTGTCCCTCGTCGAGACTCCGGGTTTCTTCCTCGCGACACAATACGAATACACGCGAGCGTTCTCTTTGTCTCACTCTACACCATGTCTGCGAACACACGAGGCGCCCCGCAAATGCCCCCGGCCCCTAATAAGGAAGATGCCGTAGCAACGTAAGTCGTCTTTCATGATACAGGAAGTGTGACGCAAAAAAACAAGAATTTAAAAAGAAATTGGGGAGGGATTTTCTGACAGAAGTTCGTACGTAGGTGGAACTATCTCGAAGCTGGCATAGACCGTGTCATGCTACACTTGGAGCATGGCATCGATATGCACACGGTAAGCTCTCGCCCCCCCCCCCCCCCCCCCCCCCCCCCCCAAGATGACTCGCCTCTTTGAATGAACAAAGCAAAGCTGACGCAAATTTCTTCTTCCTTCGTCTAGTATATGGGTGTCTACACGTACGATGCGAACTCCCCGACTTTCCCTACTCCCTTCTTACCCCTTTCCTCTTTGGTCGCAGGCAAGATTCTGACCACGATGCTCGCAGTGCTGTCCATGACTTTTGCACCTCTCAGAAGGCGGTTGGCTTGGGAATGTCCAGCGGGGCGTCGATTGGCAGTGGGAATCATAGAGGGGGTAAGGCATCTCCCCCCCACCCTGGGTCGTTTTGGAACTACTTTCTCGAGAAGGACCATGCTGACTGCCTTGGTTTTTCTTTTGCATCACAGCACATCTCCTCGGCGAGGAACTCTACCGAAAGTTGTCGGATTATCTGACAAAACACCTCCACCAGGTCCTTCAGGAAGCGAGGACTCATTCGAACGAGGCTCTCTTGGCCTTCTACATCAAAGAATGGAACAGATACACCAACGCGGCCAAGTACATCCACCACCTCTTCCGCTATCTGAACCGCCACTGGGTCAAGCGCGAGATGGACGAGGGAAAGCGGAACATATATGATGTCTACACCCTACACTTGGTCCAATGGCGCGAAGAACTATTCAAGAATATCTCAGACAAGGTCATGGACGCCGTTCTCATGCTCGTGGAGAAGCAGCGCAACGGCGAGACCATCGACCACAGCCAGATCAAACAGGTCGTCGAGTCGTATGTGTCCCTCGGTCTCGACGAATCCGACCCCACCAGATCGACCCTCGACATCTACCGCTACCACTTTGAGAACCCCTTCCTTGCCGCGACCGCCAAGTACTACGAGAACGAATCGAAACAGTTCTTCACCGAGAACAGCGTGGTCGAGTACATGAAGAAGGCGGAGACACGCCTGGACGAGGAGAAAGACCGCGTGGACATGTTCCTCCACCCGGACATCCTCCATGCACTACAGAAGACGTGCGAGAAGGTGCTGATTAGCGATCACGCGACCCTGCTGCGGGACGAGTTCCAGGTGCTCCTCGAGAATGACCGCGAGCAAGACATGGCGAGAATGTATGGACTGCTACAGCGCATCCCCGAAGGACTGGAGCCGCTGCGTCAGCGGTTCGAGACGCATGTCCGCAAGGCGGGCCTCAACGCCATCGAGAAGGTGGCATCAGAAAACCCGGAGAAGCTGGAACCGAAGATCTACGTGGATGCCCTGCTGGAGGTGCACACGCAGTATTCGGGACTGGTGACACGCGCCTTCAGGGAGGAAGCCGAATTCACGAGATCGCTCGACAACGCCTGCAAGGAGTTTGTGAACAGGAACGAGATCTGCAAGTCGGGGTCTAACAAGTCCCCCGAGCTGCTCGCCAAGTACACCGACGTTCTCCTTCGTAAGAGCAGCACGGGCATCGAGGAGGCCGAGCTCGAGGGCACGCTGGCGCGCATCATGATCGTTTTCAAGTACATCGAAGACAAGGACGTGTTCCAGAAATTCTACTCGCGCATGCTCGCGCGGCGACTGGTGCACAGCAACTCGTCCTCGGACGATGCCGAGACGAGCATGATCAGCAAGCTCAAGGAGGCCTGCGGATTCGAGTACACCAACAAGCTGCAGCGCATGTTCCAGGACATGCAGATTTCCAAGGACCTCAACAACAGCTACCGCGAGCACTGCGACAGCCTGGAGAGCAACAAGGCGATACTCGATTCGCAGTACTCCATCCTGGGCACCGGGTTCTGGCCCCTGCAGGCGCCCAATACGAACTTTTCTCCTCCCGGGGAGATCAACGAGGAGATCGAGCGCTTCACGCGGTTCTACAAGAACAAGCACGAGGGCCGCAAGCTGACTTGGCTCTGGCAGCTGTGCAAGGGAGAACTCAAGGCCGGGTACTGCAAGTCTAGCAAGATGCCGTACACGTTCCAGGTATCCATGTACCAGATGGCCATTCTCCTCCTTTTTAACGAGAAGGACGTGCACAGCTACGATGACATTGCCGCGGCCACACTCCTGAGCCAGGAGGTGCTCGATCAGGCGCTCGCCATCCTTGTGAAGGCGAAGATTCTCCTAGTCTCGCCTGAGGGCAAACCAGAGTCGGGGTCTGAGCTCCGGTTGAATTTCGACTTCAAGAGCAAGAAGATCCGCGTGAACCTGAACCTTGGCGGTGCCAAGGAGTCTAAGCAGGAGGAGGTCGAGACGAACAAGACCATCGAGGAGGACCGAAAGCTTCTCATTCAGGTACGTCTTTATTTCTTCTTTTTTTCTTGATTATACGACGAGTCTTGTCATGGAAAAGCTAATTGTCCTTTTTTTTTTTTTTTTTTTTTTCATAGTCCGCCATTGTCCGTATCATGAAGGCGCGAAAGCAGATGAAGCACATGCAGCTTGTCAGCGAGACGATCAACCAGATCAAGGCGCGCTTTGTGCCCAAGGTGCCGGATATCAAAAAGTGCATAGAAATCCTCCTCGACAAGGAGTATCTCGAGCGACTAGAGGACGACGACCTCGGATATCTGGCGTAGACGAAGCTCGTCGAGATGAATAAAGCGAGATGTTAAAAATGGGCAGGGAAGTTTTCAGCCCACCTCAATCTATTCCCTTGCACAGGGTACGCAGCCGACTAGGGCCCAGGACTCTCTCCAGACTCGTTCATCACAGATCTTCAGAGCTCTCGTCAGATGGGTACGCTGCTGCGAGACTGGCGACTAGCCTTCGTCCTTGGGTGCCTCCATGAGGCAAATGAATCAAAACTCGGACAACTCCCTACTCCACAGTCCCCAAAACGAGTTCGGACATGGGAGCGTGGAAGTGTTGTTTATCCTTTTTCTTATTTATTTTGACTTCTGCTTTCTTGGACGCAGGTACGATTCAACAGAACAGGATAGGCAAAGCGGTGGTGATGAGACGCCGGAAGCTGGGAAGCCGGAAACCTGGGTCATAGAGGATTTGTGGCAGGGCTTCCACTCGAGCTCATGGAATGTTCATAGCAAAATCGGATCAAGGGATCCTACTGGTGAGCGGGTTGCTTTGCCCCCCCCCCTTCCTTTTCTCATTCCCTTCTCTCTCTCTCCCTATTCACATCCGATCACGTCTTGCGAAGCGTTTTGAAACCTGGCGGGAGACGACTAGCGACGCTGCAATTCCAGGCGCTTGGCAGAATAGTTAGACAGGCGTATGGGGCAGAAACGAACACGAAACACCTCACATGGTGAGGTTAACCTCATAATCCCCATCTGAAGAGACTTGCATGGGATGAGAGATGAGAATACGTTTATATGAGTATAAATAAGATTTCAAGGGTTGGGATGGAGAGCTGCATGAATAAACATCCCCCCCTTTTCTTGCTTCCCCCTGAGCATAACAACGAAATCGAGGTTAAAGCGTGATACAGAATGTTTCTTGTTACAAGGAGCTATTGACTATCTGATCATCCCCCGGGGATCATTGTCTCATCATATCCTGCCCCTATCCAGGAACTTCTTGGGTAGATCCACGGTCTTGGCTCTCATATATTCGCCGGCCAACTTGCCCAGCGTGTCATAGTTGGAGCAAGCATTATATCCTGGGGGGGCGGGGGGGAGTCACTGTGTCAGCTTTGAGCGCGGAATTGTCTTGTGATTCAGTGTATGGTGGCATCCACATACCTCGATCCAAGTGGTCATGCAGGAGAAAATGAACAGCGTTGATGGCGGGAATCTCGAAGCGATCGATGGGCTTGCCCTTGTACTCGTTGGGGCCGAGGAGTTCCTTGACGCGGTCCATGGTCATGAAGGAGCGGAGCCAGTCCCACTCGTCGTCGTGGCGGACGAAGAAGCCGACGTTGCAGTCGGAGGCCTTGTCGCCGGAGCGGGCCATGACGATGTAGCCGAGCGGGGCGCGGACGGTGGGGCCGAAGGAGGCGAGGTCGACCGGGTTGGCGGTCTCGTAGGAGGCCTGCTGGCGCGGGTAGGTCCGGGTGACGGGGGGCACGGGCATGGCGATGACGCCGGCGGAGGAGTCGTCGTTCTTCTTCCAGAGGCAGTGGACGCGGTGGCGGAGCTCGGACTGCGGGAGGAGGGCGACCCAGTACTCGTAGTAGGGCTTGGGGACGACCTGGCGGAGGTCGTTGCTGAGGGAGGCGCCCGGGGCGCTCTGCAGGAAGACCTCGAGGACGCGGCGGTTGAAGCCGGTGGGGATGTCCGGGCGCATGATCTCCGGGTCGCGGGACTGGGCGAAGATGCGGAAGTCGACGGTGGCGAGGTCGAGGCTGGGGGCGTCGATGGGGGAGGTGCCGTTCTGGTGGAACTTGAGGAGGGAGAACTTTTTGATGTCGTCGCCCAGGGCGTAGCGGACCTGGTCTTCGGTGATCTTGCACTTGTCCTCCATGTCGAGGCCGCAGAGGTAGATGTGCCACTCGGCTTGGAACCCGGCGGGGGCGGTGATGCCGACCTTTGTGGTGGGAGGGGGGGGCAGGCCCTTGACGCCGGAGACGTGCACCTTGTCCTCGTCTACTTGGACCATTTTGATGTCGGAGATGTCTGCTACGACGTCGCAGTTGTAGTATAGACTGTTGGCTTTGTATTTCAGTGGTGGCCGGGAAAGGGGAGAGGGGGAGAGGGGGAGGGGAGGAAGGGAGGAAAGGAGGAAAGGAGGGAGTGTCAAGAAACGTACGGCCCCTGAATCTCATAAACCAGCTGAGAAGTCGCACTCGCAACCGTCACACAACCGCCCGAGTTCTTCTCCTTGACGAGGGTGCACTCTCCCTTGTGGTCGACCTCGGCGATGGGGAAGCCCATGTTGAAGTGCTTGCCCTGCTTGATAAGGTCCTTGAAGCCACTGTAGTAGCCGCCAGTCACGTAGGCCGAGCACTCGATGAGATGGCCTGCCACCAGGGCGCCGGCCAGTTCATCGAGATGGTTCCATTCCCAGCCATGCCACCAGCTGTGTAGCGCTGTCAATACCAAAGCCACCGAGTCTCGTCCAGTGCAGACGGACGGAATAAAACAAGAGAGAAAGGGGAAAGAACGAAAAACTCACGCAGCAACCCCAATCACGGGAGCAGCATCAGCCACCCGCCCACAAATCACAATATCAGCGCCCTCCCTCAACGCAACAGCAATGCCCATTCCACCCAGGTACGCCTGCGCGCAGACCGGCTCCATCCCCCACTCCTCGAGCTTCTTCCCATGCATCAGGCTCTCGAACTGCTCCCCCTCCTTGGCGAGCCGCTCCACCTGCTCCGTGACGTCGTCGCCCTCCACCCACGCCACCTTCATGTCGTAGCCCGCGTCCCGCACCATCCTCTGCACCACCTCGGCCAGGAGCTCCGTGTCGCTCGCGCCCGCGTTGACCGCCAGCTTCGCCTTGTTGGCCGCCAGCTTGGCCATCGCGGGCTCGAAGCACTGCAGGAACGTCTCGGCGTACATGGCCGTCTTCTGCCGCTCCTCGAGCGTGAGCTGCTGCTTCGGGGCGCCTTCCCGCGCGTTGCGCGCTTTGCCGCTGCCGTGGACCGTCATGGTCTGTCGTGGTGGTTGTGGTTCCCCGGTTAGTTTAAACGCCCACGTGAAAGGACGGAAAGGGAAAAGGAAGAAAAGAAGGAGGAGAAAAACGAACGTGGAGGAAAGGGGAGGGAAACAAGCAGACAGACCATTTCAGAGAGCCAGTCGCCGATGATGGCATCGACTTCCGGGTCGCTCGCCAGAGACTCAATGGCACGCGAACGGTCCGTGAAGCCGCCGGAGCAGCCCGCAATACGGACGGGCCGCTTATGTGTGCTGGACTCGGCCATGGTTTGTTTCAATTGTAAAAGTTAAGGTTGCGCGTATGTGTCTGCGTGGTGATGGTTGACGATGGTTCGGAGTCTTCCTGTACGGCGATGGCGAAACAAAACTCTTGCCAGATAAATCCTCGCTTGTTCAATGTTCAATCCCCTAGGTAGAAGATAGTGGGACATGGCCCTTTATAAGCCATCCCAGCAGCCGAAGCATGTTAGCTGATCCATATCGTTGGGCCCCCCCCTCTCCCTTGGTGGTTTTGCGGAAAACATCGTCCGTCCAAGTGGCCAAAGTATCCAAAGTAGGAAGGGGAGTTGGCACAAGACCAAGACCACAGGTCAACAGGTAAGCATCCCAATGGACTTAACAGCGGGGTTCATCAGCTTCGAGTGGAGCGAGCCCCTCCATCGGCTGGCTCTTCTTAACCTCTACAGAGTACGGAGATAATGCACTTACAGCATCTACGGGAGAGGCCAGAAAACGTCCGAAGAACAACATGGGGTTAACTCCGTCAAAATACACACGTAACGACGGAAAAAGGGGTATCATTATCATGATATCTGCTGCCAACGCTGCACTCTTTGCCGTTTCCGTGTCCCTGATCATACCCTACCCTGCCCCAGAGTTCACCAACCCAATTCCACCCTCGCCCAGTCGACCGCCCGCAAAGCTCGTTCCTTTATTCGTATCGCTTTCCCCTTGGAGAACAGAAGCAGCGACGGTCGTCTTCTCTACCAAACGCCACCAAGCGTATGAATCGTTCGAGACGTTCCAAACACTTCTTTTTCCTCCTCTTCTTCTTCTGTCTCTTTGTGGAGGAGAGCCGTGGGAAGGTAGGAAGTTGACCCTCCCGTGTGCGGCATAAGGGTATAAAAAGTAAGGTAGACATGAATCATGCGAGAGAGATATCTCGTGAGAGCAAAGCAGGCGCGCAGCAAGACGACAAGTAAGAAACAGAAAGAAACGAATGCAGAAAGACGAAGCACAGAAAAAAAAGAACAAAAAAACCATTCGTCTCGAGCATCGAAAAAAAAAAGAGAAAAGAAAAAAAAAAAAGAAACTCGGCCGACCGATGCTTCCGAAGAGACGTTCCAGGGGTATTTGTACGCCAGGGTATATCCAGCCGGAGGGGGTATTTTTTTCCTTTTGCGCAAAGAAAATTGTCTAAACAGACGGGGAATCTAACGAAAAGGCCCAAGGGGGCCGGGGTATCCAGAATTCGTAGAATGAGACGTAGAAGGGCGTCCGCTGTCGCCCGATGTTCGGGCGCTGTGGCGGGGGGTCATGTCACCCGCGTTGGGGTGGTGATAATGGTGGTAGTGAGGGCCGAGCTTGCTGTCGCCGCCGCCACCACCGTTCCCCATGGGCCGGGGAGCCCACGGGTGGTCCTCCTCCGTAAGGTTCACGCCGCTATCGTTCCAGGGGTTGCGGTCGGCGTTGAAACTGCGAGACGACTCGATCGAGATAAGCGACGACTTGGACACGTTGCTCGACCCCTTGAAGAAGTTGCCGTTCGCCGAGTTGGAGCTGTTCTTGCGCCGATCGAGGAACGACGAGATAGACGACATGCTTCCGGGCTTCCGCAGCTTGTCGAAGATGGTGCTGCGCTCTCGCGCGACCTCACCCTCGAACGCTGCCTTGACCGGCGAATCCGTCGCAATCGGCGTCGGCGCGTGTTGGAGGAGTTTCGAGTCGAAGTACTGCAGGGATTCCTCGAACGAATCCGACTTGGGCCGCGGAATCGAGCCCTTGATGATCGTGACCTCGAGGCCTGCCGTCGTCATCCGAGATAGCAGAAAGTCAACGGCATCCCGCAGCCCCCCTGCGTTGTTGCGAGTGAAAGAGAAAAGCAGCGAGACGGGAGGCGGCGAGCCGTCTTCGCCCTGCTCCTTGTGGTCTTGGTGAACCGAAACTTCCACCTCGTACTGGCTCTTTAGTTTCGACACCAAATCACGTACAAAGGCAGGCGACTGGAGGAAGTTGACCAGGTCGGTGCTCCGAGCCAGAACCAATTCGTGCTTGTCGGTCACCATTCCCTGTTATTTCCGAACACGTTAGTCCGCACCTTCTGGGACGAGAATGCAAAAAGAAAAAAAGAAAAAAAAAATCATATACAGGGCGTGGTGCAGCCACGTACTAGCAACTCGTCCATGCAGTGAGGGACCTGCCACTGAGGGCCGTTGATGGTCACCTCGTCGCTCGCCTGCTCAGTGCTCGGAAACACAATCTTGCAATTGTACTTGTTTTCCAATTGATCAATCTCGTTGAGCCTCGCCAGTAGCTGGCGGTGGTACAGCCGGTCGACGTGGACAACTTGGGTGGTGTATTCTGAATCCTAAGTCGGAAAGGTCAGTTCTCTTGTCGTGTTTTAAATAATAAAGAAGGAAAGATGAGATCAGCACGTACAGCTCGGTCAACCATCTCGAGAATCTCGTTCTTCACTGCGTCCAGGTTTTGCGCATTCCGCGCCGGCGTCCGACAGATCACGTTGTCGACCTTGATGTCGTCGTCATCCCGTCCTAACCCGCCGCGGTCCATAGCGTTGGAAAACTTCACAAACACAGAGTGCTTCTTCATGATGCTCTGAATATGTTGACCGCCGATGCCGATGATGCGCTTGTGATACTGGTCCGGCACGTGGAACGAGATGGAAGCAGGCATCTCTTGCTCCACCAAAGCAAGCCCCTGCTTCATGGCGTCGTAGTTAGCCGCCCCGACGTCAATGTTGAAGTTGTAGTCGTTGAAGCCGTCGAAGATGATAGTCACGTTGCTCTGGCTCATGATCTTGTTGATTTTCCCGTTCTTTTTCCCGCTGACGAACTCGCGATGTTCATTGGCAAGCTCGATTTTGACGCGGATCTGGTGGTTACCCTGTACGAGAAAGGGAATGTCCGACATGACCATCAGCGCAGTCTTGACTGAATCGTCCGAACCCGAGAGGAGGAAATTGTTGTCGAAGGACACGTCGGCGTCCGAATTGGCGCACACGTCGCCCAGCAGTGTCCGAATGTCGTCGGGGCTGGGAAGCTGGCGAGCCATCTGATGACCCTCGGGTGGCAGGAGAAACCACGACGCACTGTAGAATTGGCCAGCCTGAAGCCACTAGTTAGCCCCGACATGCTTTCGCTGCGCGCATTTGGGATACCCACAAGAGACATGATTTCGCGAACAGTACGCTCAACATGCAAGCCCTCATTGCCCTGCACTCGAACCATGCTCTTCCCCGCTGCAAGAGTAGGGAACAGAACAAAGGTTCCATTCGCCTCAAGGATTTTGCGCACTTTGTCTAGACGATTAAGAATAATGCTATCGACTTTGGCCGCAGGAATGTTAACGTCCTTAATGTATAGCCGAATACGAGTAACCGTGTCGTGAATCTTCTGCTTAGCCAGCTCGATGGCCTGGGGTGTGTCGCCCGTGATGAGGATATCATTGGGGTCTCGGCGCTTGGCATTCGGCGGACAGTAGCGGTACATCTGAGAGAATGGAGAGGGGAAGTAGATGGCGGTGCCGGTCGACGACTCGATGAGCTTAATGTTCTTCCGCTGACGTCCACAGATGACCTGATGGAGAGACATGTCGAGCTTGACCGCATCAACAAGTCGACCCAGCTATAGCGGAAAGTTAGTGCCGCAGCTTCAGAGACTTATCAGGGCCAGCCAAGGAGGGACAGAAGCACGCAGTAACATACGAGTGTGTCAATGTGAATGAGAACACGGGTCTTTGCATGTTCCACAGAGAGGATATCACCATAGATGGCGACCCTCCAACGTTGGTCCCTACGCAGTTCTGAGTCGCCAGTCACGCCATCCACAACAGGTGTAAGGCTAGGGCCGAGTAAGAATATATCGACACCACAGTACTCGGAAATGCCGTCAAGAGTGTTCGTGACCTGGGGGTTAAGAGCAGGGGCTTTGCTAGAGAGGTCACAGATGAGGTTGCCATCTACGTCTACCGTGGTGCATCGCTAGTGGAACCATTGTCATGTCAGCATAAAGAATTTACCGGATATAGATCTAAAACAAAAAAAAATGAAAAGCAAAAGAAAGAAAAGAAGACGGCGAGAAAAGACGACAGTAAAGGAAAAGAAAGGAACACAAGGGGCAGGAATGCATACCAGAAAGGTTTGATGATCGTTCAAAATCATTTCCCTTGTCTTTTGAACCATTTCCTGAGTACCCGAAAGACAGACGGTGGTGACCTGGTTGCCCTTTGCATTCTTCGGGGAGGTAGAGATGACGTGCGCTTCAATGTTGAAAGGCCCATCGGTGATGTCTTTGCAGGTCTTGCGAAGGAGGGCCAAGTTTTGGGCGTGAGCAGGTAGCTCGAAAACCGGAACATCATCCGGGGCATCAACCGAGTGCGTCCATCGTAGCACGGCATCCTTAGTTGCGTGAAGGATGTCTTCCGTATTGGGGCCCGCGATATCAGAAGAAAAGGGAACGTTGAAAGCGTAGTGGACGATGGTGTTGGCCGGAAGGTCGAGAGGCTGAGGCATGGGTATCGAGGCAGCCTGGGGGGGCATGGGATCTCGTCGAGGTGGATTCATGGGCATGTTCGGTCGACTCATGCCAAAGTTGGGGCCCATCCTCTCGGACCAGTGACGCATGTTTGCGAGCTTATTCATGATGGGCTGCGGATCATAGGTCGGAATTGATAAGATGCCTGGTGCTGACAATTCCGTGTCTATACAAGGGGATCGAGGGCGAAGAAAAAGAGAGCCTCGCGGGGGGGGGGGGGGGGGGGGGGGGGGGGGGGGGGGGGGGGGAAGCAGGTTGACTCCCAGGGAAAATAGAACTGCGGCGTGTCAGAGCTCTTCGGAGGCTCTTGGAAGGGGGTATCGAGGGTTGGGTTGCCGGCAGAGTAAATGGGGAGGAGACGAATAGAACAAGGAATCCAACAAAAAGAGGGGAGTCAAAGGAAAGACAAGGGAGAAACGAAAAGAAAAGAAGAAAATGCTCGAGTACGTGCTCCTTCCAGGGTATCTCCGCACTCGGTCGAAATTGCAGAACGGGTGGTAGGAGGTTGGTTGGGTCGGGCTGTGTAAAGGAGTGAGGGAAGGGGAAAGGTAGGTGATGGGATGTGATGTGGGTATGGTGATGGTGATGGTGATGGTGGAAAGAGGATGAGATGGATGGAGGTGCTTGCTGATTGATGGTCTGGGGGAAAGTCCAGGTCGTCAGTGGGTGTCCACTGTTTCCCACTGTTTCCCACTGTTTGGGGGAACGACTGGTGGTGCTCGGTGGAGAACGAGACCTCTCAAAGTGCTGTCGCTGACCGGGCCTTGTTCTTACTGGTCGATTTGTGACCGGCGCACAGGACATACTGCACACGCACAGGGTTCCCTATACACGTAATTAAGTCAAGTTGAGAGTCGTAATGAGCTGATTGATTAAGGTACCTTACTTACCGTACCTTACGTTATAAGGTAGGTACCTACCTAAGGTAAAGTACTCCGTACTCTCAATTCATCGCCTCAGTCCATCAGCACCGCAGTACGTTGTACGTACCTTATAGTACAGAGTAATCCGTAATTACCTTATGCAGGTGAAGCACCTACAGACTCAATCGCGTAGGATTCCGGGAGTCAGGTGCAGCTATGGCCGAGATGGTTGACGCTGGACCTGGGCCAGGGCAAGGATAAGGGCTCAGCCCCATCAATGAAGATATGTAGGAAGTAATTACTCCGTAATACATGCATGCCGTCTAACAGGCCAGATAGGACTGACTGTTGAGTATCCGTACACGTACTACCCTTGGGGTTATGTGTGGAGTTGCTTGTCTGACGAATCGAACTACTCGGTGCTGAGTAGCTGGAGTGGGTGTTCAACTAAACTACCTTATGGAAGTCTGGAACTGTAGATGCCTGCGGAGTACGAACGGTGGGAAGACAAATGTCAAGACCGGTTGAAGAAACATAATCACATCGTACTTTGTTTTTAAAGACGTCCATGAGCACGAAGTTGTCCGTACGTTTCGTGGTACGGAGTACGGATACAACTCTGCAGCATTATATTTATAAGTCTCTGTACTCCGCAGGTATGGCTACTACCTTATTAGGTCGGTTCCCCTCAGCATCTCCCGGTTTGTTCACTCTGTACCTTAGTGATTTCCTGCGTCGTACTTCGTACCAGAGAGCCCGGTCTCACTCTCCCTCCACGCGCTTCTTGTCTGGCGTGAAATTTCCGCTGCGTGAGTGGGGTCGGATCGCAAATAAGTTACAAGGCGCCCACACTGCCAGACCTGTTATGGTACCCGTCGATCATATGGCGTCTGTACCCGTTTAAGTACTCAGTACAACGTACGTACCTTACAACGTAGGTATATGCATGAGAGGTGTGAACTGACACAGGTGCGGATATCGGACGTGATGCCGCGGAGTACGAGGTACGGAGTACGGAGTACACTCATCCTGTTCCATGACATGGCCAACCAAGACTTATGGAGACGGTCAACCCGCCCAGCGATTTCAAGCCCATTACGGAGTGTATTATTTACCATGAAGAAGATATCCGCAATCGATACCTTTGACCTAAGGTATATAAGGTATTAGGCAGGCAAAGTAGATAATCTCGAGCGATGCCCACGAAATGCGGCCGACCAAACTTTCATGGTCGTTACGGTTGGGGCTATCCGTGGCATTCTAGCTTAAGGTATATTACGAAGTAGGTAGGTACCTTATCATACAAAGCTTCGTGATACCTACAAATATTAACAAATAATACTTCCCGTACTGTTTAGTACGAGGAAAACCACAACCCCCTCTCGCTCTGGGATCTGGAACGTCTTGTCTCTATCTTGCCCCACTGCACAGCCATCCTCAACCAAACCCGTCAAGGCTTGGGAAATAATAAAAACAAGAAAGAGTCGGCAACAGATAATAATCAGTAACTCACCGACTGGAACCGACCTCGGGAGTCGGAAACGCGGAAAATCGCACGCCGGCAGTTTAAGGCAACGAAAACACCATAGATCAATGTTGGTTCAACTTGCGAGCTGCTATGGAGTATACGAATACTCAAAGCCTCGTTATCCCCACAGATGGCCCAAGTAAGCAATCAATTACTCGAAGCATCCTCGGTACGAACATAATCGGTCTTGTCCAACCCTCCACTTGCCACGAACCTTGCCCGCGTTTCTTGTCTCTCGGCGACGCGAACTATGCGTCCAAGAATTACGGTCCGTTCCAGCGCGAGATCCTCTCCTCTCTCCTTACCTTAGACGACTCGGACATTGCGGCGGCGATGTGGCGTTTCTTCGCTTCGCACCTCGTATATGAAAATCAACGCCCCTCCCCATTCGCCCCCAACGATGATTTTAGGTGGCTTCGTCTTCATTAATAACAGCCCTTTTCTCCCTACCGCCTCCTTTCACCCTACAGGGGGATTCCCCGCGTCCTTCGGGTATTCAGGTAGCACCCGTCCACCTCTTCCGTACTTTAAAAACCCGAGGACATATAGACAAGACCAAATACGAACAAAATGATTACCATGTCGAACAGGCGCGGGCATGCATCCAGCCGTCCTGTCTTGAATTTCTGTCCTTTATTCGTTCTCTTCGTGTAAGGAAACGTATCTCTGAACAGGAATAGTGACGTGAGTACCCCCGGGACGACACATTATAATTATATGACGAGACGCAAGCTTGGTTGCGAGCTGAGTACCCCGTACAATGTTCCCTCCCTTCATACACAATACATTCTCCCCAAAACACCTCGCCGTGATATTCATATGTCCGAGTATACAATGGAGCGTACGCATGGTACGCGAGACAAGCTAGCAATGAACCCTCAACTCCCAAAGTCATGAAATCTATGCCTCTTCTCCTGTTACAGAACCATACAAGGTCTTGTGCGTGCACTACATATACAACCAGTGCGCTGCTGCTGCGGGACATATGAAGAGACCAGTGTTGCCCTTCTCCCACCCGTACTCGCCACTCCTCCAAGCAACTGCGGCACAAGCAATCATTACTCGTGCTTATCGATACCCTCCCTGTCGGACACCGTCGCCGTACACAATCTCCCGCGGGGGACCTTGCGGGAGCTCATCGACATAGGCCACCTCATTTCCCATAGGGACGGGCTGTCCGTAATACTGCTCAGCTGGCCGAGCGCTGAACTCGCGCCGCACCATGGAGGGTTCGGCCGGCCGCACACTGTATGCCCGAGGCAGAGGCTGCATCGCCTCGCGGCGCATATCGACCGGCGCCCCGACCGGATAGACCGGGGAGGGTTCGGGTCTGACCGAGTGCTGCACCCTCTCATACGTCCCGGGCATCTCGTAGCGAACCGATTCCACCGGCCTCGCCGTGGTCGCCCGCATGGTGTACTCTCGTGGGATCTCTTCAATGGGCCGGCGTTCGACAGCCCCGCGGGACGAGATGTATTCCTCCATCGGCGGAGGCGCGACAGGCCGAGCGGAGTACTCTCGTGTCCGGTAGCCTCGATGCGGGTCGGCAACGGCATACTCTGGCTGGGTGATGACGCGCCGTGGAGCTGCGTAGGTCGGCGACGCCCTCCGATAGATAACTCCGTTCTCTTCCCATTCTAGGGCCGGTCGCCGTGATTCTGCTCGCACGGGTCTTTCGTAGATGATCTCTGCATCGTCCATGCCCATCGGAGGCGCAACGGACTGTCGAACAACCTGCACCGGAGGGGGAGGGGCGGGTTCATAGTATCTCCGCCCATAGGCATCAACCACAACCCGAGCGGGGGGGGCTCTGGGTGGTCCCATGACCGACGTGGGCCGATCTCGCATGACGGGAGATCGAGACCTCACCCGACTGGCTTCGGGGTGAACGCTCGTCCTGGACATCTCATAGTTATCCACGTATGTACGCCGTGACTCTTCGTTGTAACGATCTGATGTCACAGGAGGAGGGACAGACGCAGGTGCATAGGTCTCTACTGGACCGTACTGAGCCGGGTACGGTTGATTGCCGCCCGAGACGCGGCGATGCTCCACAAAGGATGGCTCGTAACTGTAGCCATCCTGAGGAGCCGCTACTTGCATGACTGGTCGAGATCGATATCCCTCTGGCCCGGCTGGCCCGGGGTGAGACGAAGCAAATGCAACCGAGTCGCCCCCATACGTGTTGGAATTCTGGCGCTCATGCAGCTGATGTCTTGGTCTGTCCGCCGCCTGTCTCTTCTGACGCTTCTGCGGCCTGGTGAAAGGAGGGGCATCCAGAGGTGAGGGCGATTGAGGCTCATCTTTGATGTAAGGGCTGTCTGGCGGCGCTTGCCGGGCATCCTTCCTGCCGCTTCTGTCCCTCTTCTTCCCCTTCTTCTTATCCCCTCTCCGAGGGCCTTGGGGTGAGCTGTCTGGACTAGAAATGACATTCGGCTCATTGCGGAGGGCGGCGACTTGGGCACTCGTTCCCTGGGGGATGCTAGTCCCAAGCGCGAGGGGAATAGGTGGTTGCCGCGCTACAGCCAGGGGTGACACATGGAACGGTTGGGGGGCGACTGGCGATATATGCTGAGCAATAACCAGAGGCGACGGAGGACGAGAAAGGAGGGAGTCCCCGAGCTGTCGTCGTCGTCGTCGTTGTTGTTGTTGGCGTGCACCTGGCATACGCCTGCTAGCATTCTCGTCAATCTCCACCACGTTACCAGGGTCCGACTGGCTCGCCTCTCGACTACGATCTCCAACAGAAGTAGACTCGCCAGCTGTGGTAATGTTATCCATGGCCGCGTCAGTGTTGTTCTTCTCTGCTCTTGCATGCTGAGCGTTCGCGGAGGCCGGAAAGCCGTCGTGCGGGCGCGAGGGAGTATACGACGAATCACGAGTAGAGACTCGATCCTCTTGATGATAAGCAGCGGGTTGGTGAGATGATATTGGGAGAGCTGGCTGGTGCAGATGGTTGCTAGCCACGCGTTGATCGTCGGACACAATCGGCTGCTGAGACTGCGGTTCTTCCGGTTGATACACCGCCTCCGGGTCATAGACCGCGCTGGCACTGGAGCCCGCGTGGGAGGAATCGGGCGAATTGTGCTGCGAGGAGTAGTAGGAGTTCTCATCAAAAGAATCACTTGCGGCTGATGTGTTTCTGTTAGCGGCCGAATTGGTATCGACGGGGAGGGACGCAGAAGCTTGGACGAGGGTCAGAGCCTTGGACAGGACATCGTTGATGTCGAAATCTGGGAGTGGCTCCAACTGAGCCGATGCTTTCAAGGCGGCACGACGCTGCTCGGCATCCTCCCTTAATGATCTTTCTATTCTTTGTCTCTGCAGCTGAATCTCGGCCTTCACGAGATCATCAGATTTCTCGAGCAAGACAGGGTCGATTTCTGTATTCCCTGAGCCAAACGGCCTCGTATTCACGACCGAATTAGCCGCAAGGGGAGTCGAACTACCCAATCCTGGGACGAGACCCGGTACGACCGGCGTCTGGGGCTTGGAAATGGGCAACTGGCCATTCTGGGCAGAAACCTGTTGTTTTAGACCACTGCTGGCATGCTTTGAGATTGAAGGGGCAGTTGAAGGTTTAGGCGATTGAGCAAGAGTGGAGGAGGGAAAATTGGTTAGTTTGCCAGCGCAGTTGGAGGGGGCCTTGATCTTGGGATGCGAGCCAGCAACAATCGCATTGCAGAACTGGACGATCTTCTCGCACTCCTGAATCTCGTGTAGAGCGTCCCTGTGCAAAAAAGACACCAGGGTAGGACGTGCGCTCTGACTTTGGGCCATGATCAAAGGAAATGAAGAAGAAAAAAGTAAAATAGAAAAAAAAAAACCACCCCGACAAGAGCTATTTGTATGTAGTACACGCGCAAGTACGCAAACAAGCGCGGTTAGTCCTCTGTTGTCGCTGTCAACAATCAAAGCAAAATAATACCAGAGCGAGATGGTCCAGTGACCATTAGAACACTCTTTTTTTGTTCAACTAGGCCCTGCAGTAAATGTTGTTTTTCAGTGCTGGCAGTGATAGGGTGCAGGGTGAAAAAAGTGAAGAAGTTAACCGGGTTACGGATAGATTCGCGAAGACGAGTTTGGGCTTGTCACGGAATTTAACCAGTGCGTAGGCGAACTTGTTATTTTTGGCGAGTCACAGGACACAAGGCTTTCGGTTTTGATTCAAAAGACCCTATAGTCACATGTATTATGCCAAAGATACCCATGTATGCAGTTAGGAAGGCCTACCTAAGCTAGATAAGCTTCTATTGAAGTATCACCGACGATCACGAGTCGACAACCATTTTGTCACCGTCCATCTCGGGGCTTGCTGCATGCTTTGCACCCAGGACCAGAATGGGAATGTGCTAAATCGCATCGTGTTCATTGCTTTCGTTGATCATCATCCAAGTAATATCAATCCCCTGCTCTTTGGAATTATCTTTGCAGGGCAAGTTTAGGAGGAGTCCCTTATTCGCCGGTGACTCGATTTGGGAGGATCCCACGACTCCACGGTGTAGTAACTAACAAATGAAATTCCATCCCCTACTGCATATTAGGCTTTCTGCACCTCTACCATTGCAAGGAGTCTAACATCTGATTTCTACTTTCCTCTGCAAGGTATCTAAGTGCCTAGTTAAGGTACTGAGCAGGGTCACCTACCTTCGTCTTTTAATACCCGGGTCCGCCATCCAATTCAAGGAAGGGCAGAGTCTCTGACAAGGAGCCGTCTGCCCGAACCTCTTCTCCTCTTCTCCTCACATGAACCTCAGGCTCTGGGCTAACTCTAGAGCCTACCTGCTACCACCAAAACGCGCGATATCTGTTCGTGCCTTCAGCTCTCTAGGTTTTATCAACCCAAGGCCTCGATATCAGGTGGTCTCCTTACCTCCCGGAACTACGCCCCCAGTCTCTGGGCTGCCTCGGATCACTCACAAGATTCGATTTTACACAATGTCGTCTGACAAAGTTCAACCAAATGGAATGCCGGCGTCCAAACCGGTCCTGTTCTTGTAAGCATACACATATCCAATCGGTCTGCTGTTACTCGGTCGCTGACCTATCGCTCATCACAGTGATATCGACAACTGTCTCTATCCTAGAAGTATGTCCCTATTAATTCCGCTCATCCATTGTTCCTTGTTTCTCGGATGGCAACTAACTCTCACTCAAGGCACCCGAGTCCAGGAGCTCATGGCGAAGCTCATAGATGAGTACTTTGAAAAGCACTTATCCCTCAGCCAGGAAGACGCCAATAAGCTGCATAACGAATACTACCGCAACTACGGCCTGGCCCTTGAGGGTCTGGTCCGCCACCACCGCATCGACTCCTTAGAATACAATTCCAAGGTTGACGATGCTCTTCCGCTGGAGGATGTTCTGAACCCGAACCCAGAGCTTCGCCAGTTGCTAGAGGACATCGACCGGAACAAAGTCACCGTGTGGCTCTTTACGAATGCTTATGTCAACCATGGCCGCCGGGTGGTACGCTTGTTGGGAGTCGACGACCTCTTCGAGGGCCTGACGTATTGCGATTACGCTCAGTATCCCCTCGTATGCAAGCCTTCCAAGGAGATGTATCTCAAAGCCATGCGGGAAGCGGGCGTTGAACGGCCAGAGGACTGTTTCTTCGTTGGTAGGTCCACTTATCTGAATGTCTTCTCTCTCCCTATTCCCCCTTACTTTTTTCCCGTACCATTAAAGTGCTGCCATTAATAACCGCGACAAAAAAACAGACGATTCATACCTCAACTGCCAAAAGGCCCAAGAATACGGCTGGACAGTAGCCCATTTGGTCGAAGAGGGCTTCCCTCTGCCCAAAACGCCATCATGCAAGTACCAGATCCGCCACCTGCGGGAGTTGCGAGACACTTTTCCTCAGTTTTTCAAGTCCACGCAATCCTAATCGTCTTCCAACGGGCTTTTGGTTTCAGGGGGGATATGGGAAGAGAAGATACTCCTCAAGGATTTAGATGAATGGGGATAGAGCCGAACAGGAGCATCATTCTTCTTGCCACATCTAGGACAGTCAGTCGAAGAAGACAAGAATCAATAAAAGAACCCACAAAGCGGGTAGAATACACGGAGGTGCCTCCTTCCAAAGAACTATCTTAGGAATGCCAGTTACCGGCTAGTGGATACTTGATCCCTTGCCAATGCCACCTTGTCTAAGCCCCTTGAACGCCGTAACACCTCGCTGCCGTAGGATCGATTTCCCTTAAAAATATGCTCATCCCAAGTCACTCTCATGGTCGTCGCACGTTCCGAATAACCTCGTCCAGCTTTGCGAGAATCTGGTCCTTCTCCTTCAAGGCCTCTTGGCGTTGCGCCTCGGCGGCTTTCAGTTCATCCTCCAACTCTCGGACGCTTCTCTCCTGGTCGGCCTCGCTGGTGTCGAGGCCAGGTAGCGTAGAGATGAGGACTTCGATTTGCTGCTCTTTAAGAATGAGGTCGCGTGATAATTCTAGCAGGCCGGCGTGGAATTCGGACGGTTCGACGGGCTCCACTAGATGGAGAGTAAGTCAGCCGTGGCTTCGTAGTTCGCGACGACCACTGGGGCTATGGCGGAATGAACGGAGAAGTCGGAAGGTCAGCGCTCACCCTCTCGTTGATTCTGCTCTTGTTTGACATCCCTAATCTTATCATGAGGTCCGAGGGTCTCGAGGTTGTGGTGCCGGTTGACATAGTGGAAGCAGGCGACGAACTGTTGCGCGAGCTTTGGAATTGTCAGTCTCCCTAGGTTTTCGTAGCAACTAGGATTTCAGCTGGCCTACCTGGTCAACGGCATCTTGCAACTGTGTCAGACGATCGGTCATGGTGACGGATGGAATCAGACAGTCGTCTTCATGGAATGCCTGGAAGGCTATGATGGATGTACGTACGGATATCCTCATCTACCGGGAGGGAAGAAGAGGGTGGGGGCTGAAGTCATGCAGGTACAACCGTCAAGGTACTGGTACTATGTATTACGTACCTAGGTACCTGAGGTATCCGGAAAGCTGCGTGGGGGTGGAGATGAGAGGCGCACTGACCATCAACCACTAAACGTTATCGACCAATCTGCGAATAACCTCAACCGACGATTCTTCGTTTTGAATATGTGCCATCATTGGAATGTATTAAATACACCACCACCCCCCCATCGTTTGTCTCTATTTGTGACGAATATGTGAGAATGCGTTTTTCTCGCTCACTACTCCCCTGGCTGCATTCTACGACCTCCAACCAGTTCAGCAGAAAATGGGCACCGGCAATTTCTCACAGGTTCACTGCTGGTCGTGTCTTTGGAAAAAATGCCGACCCGCCAGAGGAACTTCTGTATCCGCAGCCGTCCACAACGCGCCATTCTGACCTCAAGTCATTTTTGGCCCATGCGGACCGCACAGGGCTCGACCCAATGTCGACCGTCTACGTTGGCACCCACTACGAGTACACCGTGGCCTCGACGCTGTCGAGATACGGCATAGACGCCAAACGATGCGGCGGTGCTTCCGACCTCGGCGTCGACCTCCTCGGAACCTGGAAAATCCCCGTACAGGCGGAAATTCAACCCCCACCGCTCCGCGTTATCCTGCAGTGCAAGGCTTTCTCTCGCAGGATCGGCCCCTCGCTTATCCGCGAGCTGGAGGGCTCCTTCGTCGGAGCGCCCGTCGGTTGGCGGGGTGCCGGAGTTCTGGCCCTCCTTGTCACGGAAGGAACAGCTACAAAAGGCGTCCGGGATTCACTGGGCCGGAGCAACTGGCCCATGGGCTTCATCTCGTGCTCAAGAGACGGCGTGGTCCGACAGATGCTCTGGAATAGGAGAGCGGAGGAAGAGGGTCTGGAGGGTCTGGGTGTCGGACTGCGTTATACCGGAGCTGTCGATAGCGAGCCTGAGATTATTTTGACATACAAGGACATGAACGTGCCGCTGCTAGATTCCCCGACGTAAAACCCCAGGTTTGTCTCGACATGGCATATGAGCTATCTAAGGTGCCGGATATTAGGCGTCGACTACCATCAACCCGGTTAATTTTCTTCTCTTTTCGCTGGTCGCCATACTCTCCTTGTCTTGGCAATGTCTTCTTCGACTGTTCTGTCGACCTTGCGACCTACATACCCAGACCAACCTTCGGGCCCGAGCCACACCACATCCCTGCTCACAGAAACAACTATGCGGCCGGTATCGCCTTTCAAACTGCACTGGCAAGTTTGAATTTCCGAAAGGCAGCTCAACGGGCAAGGCATGGAAGTAATGACTGGCGGATGCTCGCTAGCAGCATGCAGCTGTGGCAACTAAAAGCTGTTCGGCTCATGGCCCATTGGCCCAGGACGACGACATACGGTATAAGTCTCGGTTACTGAACTGGAGGCTCCATGCCGATGCTCGATATTCTTCGCGCATCTTTTGCTGCTCCTTCAATATCTCAGTCCCGCCCATGGACAAGCTCATCACTGCCAAAGTCAGGCGAGGCATAGGATTAAGACGTAGCGGAATCCGGATGAACGAATAAAAGAAGAATAGCGATCTCACGAGACCACAGGCCCAACTGAAACCCGTTCACGCTGCCTCAGGGCGTCCCGTTGCTCTAGCCGAAGGGCCCGCCGTTGCATCCGTCGTTTCCGAGCTTCGAGATCGGCAAACCTGCCTTTAGCACCATGTTTAATCTTAGTAATCATATCTGCGGCCCGGCCCTTAGTGATCTCGGCCGCAACAAGGGGCTGCTCTTTCGGCCGCAGCTTGTTGAGGAACTCGAGCTGGCCAGGTGTCGGCGGTTCCTTACGCCACCTCTGGTACCGGTGGATGAAGACATGCGGGAACACCTCGGAGGCATACTTGTCGCTACCGTGGACGGCGTCTGCGAAAGTGAGAGCTTTCAGGATCTCGCGCGGAGCTGCAAAGGGCGACTTGGCCACGCCTGGTGGAAGTGCTCGGACTTCGACGGCCCGGTACTGGGCTTGGTGATCCAGCTGGGTCTTCTCGTCGGCGGCGGCAATCTTCTCGAGGCGGATGTAGGAACCGCTCGGGGCTGCCAGTACATAGCGGTCGCGGCCAACTTGAACCCAGGCGTACTGGCTTATGGCTCGTATGTGTTTCTCGCCTGATGTATCCTCGATGAGATCGAAGACGGAGGAGTAATCGGTGAAGGAAACAGAACCAGACGTTTCAGAGGTGTTGTCGGTTTGGGGAGGACTGTAAGCCTGCTGCCGTCGGAGTGACTCCTCGTCTCTTCGCTCTTTCCACGATTTCATGTCATCGACTGAGGACTTGTCGAGAAGATCTCCCGGGTCGAGACCAAACAGGGTCGGGGTGGTGACAATGCCAGTTTCCAGACTCGAGACCATGTCGACGATGTGGCAGTTAGACTTCTCTTTGTGCAGTCTCATGCCCCGGCCAATCATCTGGACTAGCAGGTTCCGTGACCGGGTAGGACGGGCGAGAATGATGCAGTCGATGTTGGGTATGTCGGTCCCCTCGATGAAGACGCCACAGTTGACTAGGACGGGGAATTCGCCCCGACGAAACGCCTCAAGCGTGGCGGCCCGCTCAACCTTGCTGGTGTCGCCGGTGACGAAGCGGGCATCGACTCCGTAGCGGCGGAAGGCGTTGGTCAGGCCGGCGACATGGGCAAGGTCGACACAGAATACGAGAGTAGACTTGCGATCGGGAGCTTTGGCGAACCAGCTACGAACAGTGATGTCATTAACGCGGTCCGTATTCACGGCCCGAGACAAGTCTCCCGTCTGAAAGTCCCCGGTGGGTCCACTGCGAACGCAAGATATGTCGGCTGTGGATGTGACGGTGGTGAAAATGACATCGGACAACCACTTTGCCTCGATCATGTCGACGTAGTCACGGTGGTACACAATGCGGTCGATGGCGGCGCCCAGACGGAGACCGTCAAACCGGGAGAAGGTAGCGGAGACACCAACGAGGGCTGGACAGGAGGACTCGCCATTCTCGGGGCTTGTGGCTGATTCGGCGGGGGTGTCAAGACCGAAGTGCTTCAGGACACGCATGTAACCGGGGGCCACAATGTGATGCGCCTCATCAACGAGGACAAGCTTGAAGCGGGCTGAATCAAACTTGGTCAAGCGATCCTTGGAGATGATGCTCTGCAGACTGGCAATCGTAATGTCGGCATGTCCCGAGGCATGTAGAGCCCCCATCTCAATGTCGACCGACGCATTAGGGTACGTGTTCGTGCAGTGCCTGGCGGCCTGCTCAACGAGCTCCCGGCGATGGGCGAGAATAAGGGTCTGCGTTGCTGATTCGGACCTAGCCTTGACCCTCTCAATAAGCTGTGTAAAGATGACCTGAAGGCAAATTCGTGAGCGGTTGATCCCCGGTTTTACAGTATCAACCCGAAGAGGACAAGTGAGGGCTCACGGTTTTCCCACTTCCAGTAGCGAGAGACACGCCAAGTCTCCGGTGACCATCTTGAAGGGAACGAAGAACAGACTGAATGCACTCTTCTTGGTAGTCACGGAGCTGAATTTTGGAGCTGAACAGTCGTCGGATGAAGCCAGGCATAGGAGTCTGGGGACATGGTTTGCTGGCTGTGGGAATTGTCCTGGTTTCCCAAGTCTTGACATGTGGTGTGATTGTGGTATGTGTAAGCACAGTTGAAGGCCTTGAAAGCCTTCGTATGAATGGCCGTATCATTGTGCATTGTTTCTAGTAGTCACAGTGGTGTTGCTTCAAACGGTCGTGACGTGAGCTGGAGTGGTTCCTGAGAGAGAGAGAGCTGTTGCGATAGAGGTGCGTATAGTGGGCCCTCAAAGGTTTAGAGGCCTCGAAAACGCGGTCCGGAATGCTTGATGAGGTCAGCTACCTACTTTAGGTACCCCAGAGCTAAGGGTCCAATGTACAGTACGTACAGGTACGCAGGTTGAACACCAGTGACATTTCCCCTGCCTAGGTACCTAGGTAAGGTACCACCTGGTCCTGCTTGCTCCGTATACCTAGCTGCCTAAGGTGCCTACCTTAGGTACCTTAAGGTAAGGTACAATACGTAGCACACCTTTACCGTGCTACAGGGACCTCCGCCCTCGTTTAACTCGTACTGGCAGGCGGTAATAATACCTTACCTATAGCAGCCAACAACCCGGAACTAACCTTACCAACACTCATCATCTTCACCGACGAGTTCTGTCATGTTAGCTCAAGCTAACCTTCAATTCGTCCCATTCTAGTCTGCGCCCAGTCCCAACCTTAGAAGCTTCCATACGCAGCGGACGTCTACCCTGATTCATGTCCGAGTAAAGGACATTGCAGCTATCCACGCGCTGAGGTTTAGCTAAAAGACCATGAACCACAATGGGCGACGGCACATCACCATCACCCAGTTCATCAGAAGACCATGTTGAACTGACCAGCGACAGTGGGACGGGATCTGCTTACCATACAGTCGATGAGCTGAAACCCTTATCCTCAAAGGCTCCATCTCCATGTCCTTCTGAAGCTGGCCCTGTATCGGCTTCTACAGCCTTACCTCTAGGTGGCTCGGCCTCCCAACAACATAGGATGTCTCCCCTTAAACGCACAGCTTCTGAGCTCAATGAAAAAGAGCCCAGCCTACCCTCAAAACGCCGTAAGGGCGCCTTCAACAGCGCGTACATGGATCTGTTGAACAGAGACATTGAGGACGCTGCAAATCGTCTCGTACTTGAAAAGAAGCAACCGTACGAGCAACGATTCAGGCAATCCCAGGTCGGACTTGCCATCTGGACACCCCTGGAGAAAGAGCTTCTCTTCGAAGCTGTCTCCCGGCTGGGGCGAGACGACTTACCTGGCATCGCCTCGAGGATTCGAACCAAGAATCAGATGGAGGTTCACCAGTACATCAAGCTCCTCGACGGCACCCTTCACGATATGCGAGACAACTCTGGCCATCATAGACGGGACGACATACCAGACATGGCCGACTACCCAGCTGCGAAGGAGTTGAGCCATGAATGCTGCCTAGCCCTCGAAGAGGCCGCCGCCGACTTGTCTCTGCGTATCGAACGCCACGAAAAGAGAACCGAAGAGAAGAAATGGGGGGAGCACTGGCTGATTGATGCCGACCTTGCTCGGCGCCTCGGTGGAAATCGAGGCCATGACGCCGAAGACCGCCTCGAGTTCGCCCGGCTGTTCAGGTGCCCGGTTTGGTTGGAACTTGCCGAGGACGTCTTTATGAATTCCGCCGACCCTGAGAACAACTGGCGCTCAATCCAGGACGGACAGGGCCCCAGCATCCGCGCCACGGCTTTCGAAGATTTCCACTCCCTGGCCATCTCTCTCACCCGCAAGCTTGTCATCTCGACCTTGTACATCGCCCAGTCGAGGATCAAGGCGAAGCAGACTATCCATCCTAACACTCGAAACGTGGTCAAGTCCAGCGATGTCGAAGCAGCCGTTGCATCTCTTAGGTTGAAGCCGAACACACGGCGTTTTTGGACGACTTGCGCCAGACGTCTTCAGCTCAAGGTACACGACGTCGATACTGCTTCCGAGGAACCGGACGACGGTGAGATACGAGGTCCGTCCTTATCATACGATGAAGTCGAGGAACGTCTCGGAGCGGAACTGGCAGCTTCGAAACAGCAAGAGTCACCACAGTTAGACGACAGATCCGCGACACCATCGAGGACACTGCGACTCATTGACTTTGATCTTTTCGATCACTCATCTACCTACGAACCTGAATCAGATGATTCCGCCACGGACGATCTCGAAGCAGGCAGGTCTTCCTCCCCCGACGATGGGAGTCAAAGGCAAGAGGGAAGTGGAGATGAGGAAGCAAGCGGAGAGGATGAAGGAACCGAAAAAGAAGAAGATGATGAAGATCTCCAGGTTCACGAAGAAGCCAAGGAGCTCCTCGTCTATTCAACTCACGCGGTGCCCCAAGTCAAGCGCTCCTGGGAAGCCGTTGAATTGCGCATCAAAACGGAGCGCCACCACGAGGCGTACGCTGAAGCCGTCGACGCTGCTGCGAGCTTCGACGAGGAAACAGAGATGTGGAGGGTGTTGAAGCGCCCAGCACCCAACCCTGCGACGAGACCGGCTATTCCGAAGCGTCCGCCCAAGGCGACTACAGGACTGAGGGACATCCTTGACTACGGGGATCGCTGGAGGGATAAGTTGGCCTACGCAAGTGAGTGGGAGACCCTTGGGCAACCTAGGCTCCCAAGTACGGAGACATGACGTGACCATGACATGGCCTAGTTTGGGTATTGGACGGCAGGGGGGCGTTGTCTTTAACCACGTTGGTGTCACATGCATAAAAGATTCAAACTGAGAGCAGGAAGCCGGAGGCGGAATGTCTTCGGTCGTGACATGGTTATCTTCCTCGCAAAACAATGGGTATCATTCCGGCTTATCCATGGTGTCTATCTACGTTTTTAATGATGTTAATGATGTTCACTTCGCCATTCGTCCGGCTCGGGAGCCACCGGAGCCACCAGAGCCATCGCGACTACCCCGACCACCGCCACGGCCCTACCCGCGACCACGTCCGCGACCCCGGCCTCTACCGCCCCGACCCCGACCCCTACCCCGACCGCCTCCCCTGGTCGGTTTGGACGGCGCCACGCTCTCTTCCGAGCTCGACTCCTCCTCATCCTCATTGCCACTACCTGTACGCGCATCCTCATCGTCGCTCTCCTCCTCCTCGTCCACCTCGTTTTCTTCCGGCTCTGTCGACTCGACCTTCCGCTGCGCCCTCGGCCTGCCGACCGCCCCCCTTCTCTGGCCCCGTCCCCGCGTCGCAGGCTTGGGCGGCGGCGACAGGGACTCAGATGCATCATCCGTGTCCTCGACGGTACTAGCTCGAGCCTTGAACGCTGCAGTGGAAGTACGCTTTTTCCTCTTGGTGCCTCCTCCCGCGGCGGCCGGGGATGGCCGCGCGGACCCCCCTGGGCGCGCAGTCTCGCCTGCCGTAGGGTCGTCGGGGTCGAGCTGGGGCGGGGACGTCGGTGCTTCGCTGGGGTCGGCGCGGACGCGTTCCATCATGAGGTCCTCGAATTCGGCCGGGGGGAGGGTAAACTCGCGAAAGCGCTCTTCGTAGTTCTCGTCCTCCTGAGCGTCGAAAAAGTCTTCCCGCACATCAATGGCGTCCAGGTTATAAAATGTGCGAAGCTTGGTCCAAATGTGGGGGATGCGAGTGTGAGGATGGACGGCTGGGTCGATGGCGTGGTGGCGAAGGTGCTCGCTGATAGCAATCATCCGGAAGTGCTTGTGCATGCCTGCGAAAGAGAGTGATCGATCGGTTAGAAATGATTCGAGACAGTGATAATGGCCCCGGGGGGGGAGAATAACTCACCTGCTGGTTTCCACCGCACGACGCCCTTGAAGAGGGAGCATACTTGGTCGTCTGTCCATGCGTCGTTTGGCCACTCTCTCGCTGGCGCTGGTGGCGGGGCAGGCCCAATTACGGCTGATGTATTAGGCGTTTCTGAAGTCGCAGGTGTGTCAATGTCCATAGCATCCTCATCCCGAGCCTGTGTCGGCGTTGCAGCGGCCGCGTTTCCGCCCCCTCTTGCCCTTTTTCTGGGAGGCATAGCCAAAGGACCGGAAAGACGGGCGCTTTAAGAAGATTTCTAGTTTTCGGAACAGAAAGAAGAAATTCTCATAGTATTAGTACCGTTGGTATATTCTGAATAAGATCGGTTGCTAGTATATCTTTGGAGAGAGAAATGCGAGATATGAAGGGTGACGGTTGAAGCTGCGAGAGCTTCCCGGCCGCCCTTCAACCTGCTGCCCTCATACGTACTTTCGTACCTCCCCGCTGCAGGTACCGGTAAGTTTGGCGAGCACTGGCAGGGACACTCTAGCCAATGAGAAGCTGACAATTCCCGACCCAGACCTTCCTCTGGGTGCATCCACGTAACTCGATACCTCGTGGGTACCGCGACATTTGTATATATACTTCGCGGTACAGTTACGTACCTCCCTTTCATCGCGGTCGCGGGGCATCATTGACAGCGGCCTGTTGCTCTTCGGCTCCTTGGGACAAACGTCTCTGAGAACAACAGCCGCGACACATAAAAGCGATCGCAATGAACCGCCTCTGCCAAATGTCATTCGAACATGTCCGACGAACATGACCGCGACGGAAACGTATTTTTCGCAGTGCCGGATTTCTGGAAATCGTCCAAATGGTTGCATCAAGACGAAGACTCCCAGCTGGCGGAGCCTACCAAGTCCTCCACTTCCTTCTTTACTCTGGACTTAAATGGTGCGTTTTTGAAGATCAACCTTTGCATAGTGCATTTCTAGATATGCTCAGTGTGCCAACGTCTTACTGTTTGCCTGTAGATCGCGAAAGACCTTCTATTTTCCACGTACCGCCCATTGAGTGCAACAACTTCTTCGTTCTCCCCGACACCGGTCATGCCGATAACGACGACGACACCCCGCTTCCAACCGCCTCCCTTGAATGCGACGACAAACCGCACCTCGAAGGACAAGACGAGGTTGATCGGACTGATATTGATGGTGACTTCTGGCTGTACCCAGGGAAGCCTGCTCCTTCAGCACCAGAATATAGAACCTGGGAGGCCTTCACTGGCTCCGCGGCGGAGCAAGACAAGCCCGTTTTCGTTACCGAAGCTGGACCCGGTGCCTTCGACGCTCTGATCAGTCTGCATGGTGATCCCCTGCGTCTCGGGAGTGCCGATTACACGCCAGTAGACCCAGGCCCATATCTTGACGCCTTGCTCTTTCTGGCCCTCGGCAGGGAGTCTGTCTTCTTCTCCTGGCACGGACACTCCAGGTCATTCGAACCAACCTTACCGAAAGCGAGGTTACCAGGCTATTCAGGACGAGTTCTACAAGGTGTCCAAGACCGATGTCTGCGTTGCGGAAACGCAATCCGGAACCTCAAAACGTTCGCCGATCATGCTTACTCGACGGATCCCACCCCCTGCCGTGTCGCCCTTGCCAGTGCGCTGGATAAGGCGCTCTTAGTCGTGCAGAGCCATGTTGCCCACTTGGATCAGAACCCACGGTCGATTATACAGCTCGAGTCGGTAATATATCGCGTCTCCGAGCTTGCCGTCTACTTGGAAACCTTGATCACCAAGATACGGCGAGAGCACCTCGATGAAGACGTCCTCTCCTTGATTTTTGAGCAAGCGCAATCAGCGGAATACGGGCATGACTATATTAGACATACGATGCGAGAGCTTTTGCAACGGGTAACACGGCCATGGCTTGACTTCCTGGAAGAGTGGATCGGGACCCAGCTGGAACTCGGTATACCCCTGAGCAAGCATCATGTCGGGAAACGCAAAGGCTTCATCAAGGTAGAATCAGAGGTCTACGTGGACGACCTTGGCCTTGAAGTGGAGAATCTGGATTTTCACTTGGACACGAGCAGGATGCCACCATTCATGCCAGATGATGTCGTGCAGGCGATCTTCGAGACAGGCCGGAACTTGCGCTTCATCAGGTCAAGCCACCCTGAGCATTTTCTGGCCCACCCTTACTCAGAAACCATCAAAACGCCGACCGTGCGTTGGCAATTTGATTGGGACTCGATCTACCAGTTTGAGCGGGATGTCCGGTCTTACGAGCAGACTTTGCTGGATGCCATCCAAGCCCACGGCGTGGGAGGATCGTCTCATAATGAAGCATCAATGCAAGCACAAGAGACCAGTAGATACGAACTCTGCCTCTTCGGCCGCGACGAGGAAGAGTTGGAGCGTCGACTCTTGCAGTCCATGGCCACACTTTCTCAACCCAACCACGCCGTTCCCTCGGACGACGACCTTGTGCAGGCCGTCAGGCGCTGCCTGTCGGCCGATGAGCCCCACGAAATCAATATCCGCAGCGATTTTAGCAGCCCCCACTGGTCGTTGCTCCCGGTATTGTCTCTCGGGCCCATCGTCTTCACCCAGACTCGGATTATCGGCCGCGAGAGTCTGAAGTTGTTATTCAATGCGCATGATCTCCGAGGCCACTTGAGGTTGCAGCGAGATTATTTTCTTTGCCGAAATGGCATGTTTTGCAGCCGTCTGTCCCACGCGCTCTTCGACCCCGACTTGGAGACGGCGGAGAGGACAGCGGGAGTAGCGCGGCAGGGAGGCGTCATGGGACTGCGTCTGAGCGGCAGAGACACCTGGCCTCCCGCAAGCTCCGAGCTTCGGCTTGCTCTCATGGGTGTGCTCACGGAGACGTATGAGGACCCAGCCAAACAGAGACAGACTGGTGAGCACGGAAGAAAGCCGGGAGACACCAAAGAGGTACCCAGCGACTTGAGCTTCACCGTTCGCGACCTCTCGAGCGAGGAGATCGACAAATGCATCGACCCCGACGGCCTGGAAGCCCTCGACTTTCTTCGTCTCGCCTACAAGCCACCGTCGGCTCTTGCGTCTATCATTACGCCCATGGTATTGGCGCAATACGACCGCGTTTTCTGGTTGCTTCTCCGCGTCCTCCGTATGCTGTATACGGTCAACCAGCTCTTCCGCGACGTAACAGCCAGGGAGTCCAGGTGGCGGGATCCAGACAACGCCTCAGTTCGGTTCTGCTTGGAAGCCCGACACTTTGTGTCTAGCCTGAGCAGCTACTTCCTCGATGTGGGGATCGAGATGCCGTGGCGGGATTTCGAGCGCAAGCTGGATACAGTGGAAGGCGAGTTACTGGACTGCAGGGAAGGAGCTGTCCCGAACTCGGACCTGAGTCCGGATAGGCTCCGGGAGCTGCACGTGTCTGTTCTGGAGAGGATCATGTCGGCCCTGATCCTGCGGAAACGACACCAGCCGGTGCTGAAACTTCTCGACGACATATTCCGTGTGATTTTGTGCTTTGCGAAGCTGTCGAGACTCCATGCAGAGGGCCTGAATGTGGGGAGAGATCAGGAGAAACCGGCTGAGCTGTATAAAGTATTCAGGAGAAACGTTGAGGTATTCCTGACGGTGTGCCGCGGTATGGCTGAGAAAACGAGCAATAGGGGCCACCGTAGCGAGGGGAGCAAGACGAAAGCATGGGATGAAAGGGGGCTTGGTGTTCAGGAGGATAGCCCTATTGCGCAGCTCCTGGTGAAGCTGGACATGCTCGACTATTACTCGAGTAAATAGATGGATAAAGTGAGATAGATACCCGAGAACAATGCAACATTGGCATCATATCGTTGAAGATTTACTGTCTATCTTAGTGGCAGATGACAGCAGGATACCATACCTTGAGAATGGCGGAGTGTTGCCAAAGGTACGGTACCTACCTGAGGTAAGGTCAGAGCTCACGAAGCTTACCCTTTGATGTTGGAGCTCCGATTCGCCGTCACACTGTACTTTACGGTGCACTTCCGTAACGCTTGTACGGTACCTTGAGCTTTATACATACTGTATGCCCCGCTCCCCAAAGCTGGGGTCCTCAGGGAAGGCAAGACGGTGGAACTAAACGAATGCCCCGCATCGCGTCCATACCATAACAGAACTCGCATCAGGTACGGAGTTTTCATTTGTTACTTCGTACCTTACTTCTGCAACTTGTTCCTTGCCCTTGTATCTTGCCAATACTCTGCAGCTTGTAGGCGACATCAAGCCCGGACAAAATATCCTCACTGCAAAGATGTCCCGAGTCGTGCGACCTGCAAGAAATCTTACCCTTACGGAGGAGTTGGAGAAGCTTGAACAGTCCATCACATTGACACTGCAAGGTACGTTGTGATGATCACTAGGTATCGATCTTATCCTTTGATTCCTCTCGCTGACAGAACCGTCTCGGTAGAAATCGACCACAACTTCAGCAAGGCCCATCGCATCGTGACCACGAGTATTCTTCCCGTAGTCGAGCAGTACGGCGAACATTCCAAGAACGTATGGGAAGCCTCCAAGTTTTGGAAACAATTCTTCGAGGCTTCTGCCAATGTCTCGCTCTCGGGCTACGAGGAGCTGGCGAATGACGAAGAAGACGAAAGCACGGGAGCCGAGGACACGACAGTACACGACGACTCGATTGACGGCAGATACACGCCTCGAGCTGGGGGTGGCAGTGACGATGAGACAGCAGGCAGCGCGGCAGATGAGACGGCATACCGTGGAGACGACTCCCTTTTGGACGAGGACGACCTAACGGGTAGCACCCCGCGGGTTCCCGCAACCAAGACGATCAAGGCCAACTTTGCGAATCTCGAATCGCCCTACGAGGCCCTGAGGCGCGAGATGAAAGGCGAAGCTGCAGCGCCCGATGATGCCGTGGACGAACTAGACGGGGAGGAAGACTCGACCGTAATCTTCGCCCAGCACACCGCCCGTTTGCCCGACATGTCCATGACGCCCCGATCATCCCTCCCACCAGAAGACCAGTCCACCCATCGCGCCAACAAAGATCCTCTGCTCCACCGCATGCTGGACAAGAACTACAGGTTACAGGCCACACCTCACAAAGGCCCCATGCTTCGCATCTCCCCGCTCAAAAGGGAGACGGGGCCAGAGAACGACAGGACGAAGGGTAAAGAAAAGGATACCGTCCCCGCCTGGCAAGACTCGCCGATGTCTTCGCCGATCATGGAGGCGCCCAAGCTGCGGAGCGAGGCTTTCATGTCGCCCGTCAAGGCGATGGCGCGCCAGCGTTTGGCAGCCGCGACAACGGGGCCGAGGACGCCGGGCGTCAGCGTCCAGACCCCGGCTACCGGGAAAAAGACGAGGGACTTCTTCGCCCAGGACTCGGCGGCCGAAGCACCGACGACGGCGAGACGAAAGTACGAGATTGACTGGGACAGCGACAGCGACGATGGTGGATTGGGCGGCATGAGTCCGCCTAAGACGATCCAGTTTGCATTGCCGCCTTCGAAGCTCATGCAGACGCCTGGTATGTTGATAATCCTGAAGAAAAGAGAAAAAAGAGAAGAAAAGAAAAACCCTCGCGATCATGTTGCGCATCACTAACGGTTGGGGCGTCTTGTATAGCGCGCGAGGCGAGCAAACGCATCGTGGACGATATTCTCCTCACGGCTGGTGCTGACCCTGAGGGCTCGGAATATAGTCCAACTATGGTCAAGATGAATCAAGACATCCTCGATGACAGTTTCTGAGGACAAGAAGGGGAAGGGTCCCCTTGATGCGAAGTTGGGGTTTCCTAAACCTCGTCAGACGAGTTCTGTCGGTTGGCCTCTATATTGGGCCATCAATGGACGAAGGTGTTGAATATAATACTCTCGAGCCATGGTGGTCATTCGGGAGCCAGTTCGTCCCTCCAAACCAGCCATGTGAGTATTCGTACTTCCAACGTATGTCCACAGTCCATGCGACTACTCTGTGCTTATCATGAATATTTCGCAGGTTGATACAATCACCAATGCGACTTCAGGAAGAGTCGGCGTTGGTTCTTCGAGTCAAACAAATGAAGGCGACATACACATGACCATCACGACCATGGCACCGCACCACCACCATGCTCGCTGCTCGGGGTGTTGTCGTGTGATGCACGGACCGACTATGTGGTTCCATTTTTCGTATTCGTATCCCGACAGGTTGGTCAGGGGATTCATCTCACGTGTAATGTAGCCTTTGTTAGCGATTTCGGTGTTGGGACGATGGTTGTACTTGTACATATGTATGCATGGGCGGGTCATCGCTCGAGAATTGACCAGTCAAGGAGCTCCTGGCCCCAGCCGTGATGCCAAGTGCGCCTCATTTTCGAATGTGCCAGCTCGTTCTCATCTAGTCTCTTTGTGTACTTCCATACGTACCGGTACAATGCCCCCGGCGAAATTGTGCGAACGGGGTCAATAAGGCACCTAGGTAATATTCCGTGTCCGTAGACCTCGTCGAGTTTCGTTTCTCAAAGTAGCTAGCTAGACTTGCAGAGTTTAAATGGCAACCATGAAATGCTGTGGATAATGTCAAATCGGTATATTTTGGCTGAATTTTCATTACGGACACCGATCGATGTTTCGTAAATACGAAGTACTTACAGGGTGTCTGTTCTTTCAAGGTCAGAGGTACGCGGATGCACGAAACTGGTAATCTACGAAGTCACGTCCCATGCATGGGTTTCTCTCCGCTTCTTGTACGTACGAAGAAGGCCACTATATGATACTCGGGAATATAGGGTTCAGCAGTTGATACTGTTTATCGCTGTATGAAGTACTTTACTGTTATCTACACGTAGGTACCTTACGAAGTGGTACTTCAGGTACGCAGTTGGCAGTTGCGGGGGTTTGTGTGGGTGGAGCATTTGATAACAAGATTGTTTTGTGCAGATGTGGTGCATCTTTTTCGTGGTTCCAACCAATCAGTTGACTTAACGCTCAGGAATATATCAAGGCACACCAATAGGAGCTGGCGACAGATGGCGTGGTTTTGCGGCCCAAGGAGACATCTGGCCCGACGGATGTATCGGCCTGAATGTTACGGAGGCCTATGTATCTGTACATGGGTACATGAACCCCTGTTTTCCAGACACCCTTCTCCGCAATGGCATAGAATTTGTGATTTGGCAGGTGCTATACGTTGTACGCTTGAAATAATCAACCAGGAGGGTAATTACAGTGCAGTGGATGAAAATTTATGTAAAGTTGAGCCAGTCAGATGGGTACTTATCCGAGAGACCGAAACCAAGAGCATGGCTTGTTACCAATCACAAAGGAAGAACGTCCTACGTTGGGTCTTCCTTCTTAAGAGGCGCAAAGTACGGAGACTTTGTACGGACCCCTGGGGTACTGTTATTTCAACTGTAATCCCCGAGTAGCAGTATCCCGCATAACCCCTCTCCGGTATCCCGGCAAGGCCTATACTATTTAGGATGGGTATGCCAAGGGATCCGAAATTATAGTGCATGCCCGTTATGCCTAAGGTCCCGGTACATTATAAGATTACGGACACGAAGATATTAGTATTATGAATTGACTAAGGCGTAGGCCTTAAGATTAATACGAACACCCCTTATATTAATCTATACTTACGAAATCGATTCCTTTACTAGAACCTCTAATCCTATCACTGTTATCCGAAGTAATTAAAATACTAGGACTACGGCCACTGCCTTTTATATCCGCGATCTCATGATATACCGGGACCTTGGGCATAACGGGCACAGACTATAATTTCGGATCCCTTGGCAAACCTATCCTAAATAGTATAGGCGTCGCCGGGATACCGAGCAGGGGCCATGCGGGATACCGCTACTCGTAACCCCCAACCCGGCCATGTACAGATGCGGGTCCCGGGGTTCATTTTAGCTAAAGGCGACACCACTGACCGAGACGAGAGACCTTCCAGATTCATGATAATTAATTACCGGTCATAATCCACCTCCACAAGCAAAACTGAGAACTTACCCTTTTCTCCTTTTTTCCCTCTTCCTCTTCCTCCTCCCCTCCTCTCCCCTCCCCCCTTTACTCCGTTTGCTTCATTCTGGCAACCGCACCCTCCCTTCCATACCGCGAGGCCACTATAGCCCACCGGCCAAGACGACACTCACTTCGAGGAAAGGGGAAGGATTTTTTTTGTTGCAAAGAGGCTTCCTGCTTTTCCCTACGCCTCGTCCTCGTCAGGAGGTGTTCCCATATCTCTGGAACACCGGCCACTGCCCCCAACGTCTTGCACCATCATCGAAACGGCACTCCGTCTGGGATAGAGCTTGCCAGAACCTAACGCGACGAGAACCCGACTGTCCGTTTGAAGAAACACGCGATCACGATGGACGCCAGCGCCAACGCAACTTTCACGTCCATCTTGGCGGGCACCAAGCTCGCCAATGTGAACATCCCACCCCATATTGACTCGGTGATCGAAGCCGTTACCAATGCCAGCTCATGGACCATCACCTTCACCATTTTGGCCATTCTGGTCGCCTATGATCAACGTGCGTCTCCCAGTCCTGTCGCGCTTTTTTTTTCTTTGGTGGTTTTTTTAGTCTTCGTTTTTTTGGGGGTGTTTGGGGCAGTCGCGCCCCCCCCTTTCTTTTCCCCTAAAGATAACGTGAATCTAACTCTTTTTTGTTCTGCAACACAGTTAGCTACATTTTCAACAAGGGTTCCATTGAGGGACCTTCTATGAAGATCCCCTTCATGGGTCCCTTCCTGTCCTCTGTGAACCCCAAGTTCCATGAATATCAGGCTAAGTGGGCCAGTGGCCCCCTGAGCTGTGTCTCGGTCTTCCATAAGTATGTGTCGCGTTCGTACCCGCTTGCGAATCGCCGTCCCGGACTGGTCTAACACTTTACTTCTTCCCCCTCCCAGGTTCGTCGTTATCGCCTCAACCCGCGACATTGCCCGAAAAATCTTCAACTCACCCGCTTACGTCCAACCTTGTGTTGTTGATGTCGCACCGAAGCTCCTTGGTCACGACAATTGGGTTTTCCTAGACGGCAAAGCACATGTCGACTTCCGCAAGGGTCTCAACGGCCTGTTCACCCGTTCGGCGCTGGCCTCCTACCTGCCCTCCCAGGAAGAGGTATACCGCGACTACTTCGCGCGGTTTCTCAAGGTCACCGAGGACGCTGGCGGCAAGCCCGTCCCGTTCATGACGCACTTGCGCGAGCTCATGTGCGCCGTCTCCCTCCGCACTTTTGTTGGCCATTATATCTCGGACGACGCAGTGGAGAAGATCGCAAACGACTACTACCTCATCACCGCTGCTCTCGAGCTTGTCAACTTCCCCATCATCATTCCGTTTACCCGGACTTGGTACGGAAAGAAGGCCGCCGACATGGTCCTGGCCGAGTTCTCCAAGTGCGCGGCCAAGAGCAAGGCCCGTATGGCCGCCGGCGGTGATGTGACCTGCATCATGGACGGCTGGGTGAAGTCGATCGTCGAGTCGCAAAGGTGGCGCGAGGCTGAGGCCAAGGGTCAAACGGAGGGCATGTTGAAGCCCACGCCGTACCTCCGCGACTTCGCCGACATTGAAATCGCCAAGACCATCTTTACGTTCCTGTTTGCTTCCCAGGACGCCACCAGCAGCGCCGCCACGTGGCTCTTCCAGATCATGGCTCAGCGTCCCGATGTTCTCGATCGCGTCCGGGAGGAGAATCTGAAGGTTCGGAATGGCGACATCAACGCTGAGCTGAACATGGATCAACTCGAGTCGCTCAAGTACACCCGTGCTGTTGTCCGCGAGCTGCTCCGTTACCGTCCTCCCGTCCTCATGGTCCCGTACAGGGCTAAGAAGGCGTTCCCTATTAGCGATACTTACACTGTGCCGAAGGGTATGTTCTGGATCATTAGGCTTGTCTGAAGTGGCTTGAAGAAATGTGAAATGTCTGACAAAAATGTTCAGGATCCATGATCATTCCTACGGTCTGGCCGGCGCTACGTGATCCCGAGGTGTACGAGAACCCCGATGACTTCGACCCGGAACGATACTACACCGGTGATGCCGAGGTGAAGGGCGCCAAGAACTTCCTCGTTTTCGGAACGGGCCCTCATTACTGCCTGGGCCAGCTGTATGCTCAGCTTAACCTGGCTCTGATGATCGGGAAGGCGTCTCTTCAGCTGAACTGGAAGCATCATGCCACACCGAGGTCTGAAGAGATCAAGGTGTTCGCCACCATTTTCCCCATGGTGAGTTGCGAAGATCCGTTGCAAGACTGCTGTCTTTTCCTTTCTGGCCTTCGGGAGCTAACACTGGAGTAGGACGATTGCCCTTTGACGATGGAGAAGCGGAAGTGGTAATTGTGCGGCTGAGAAGTTCCGAGGGCACCAAGTGATAGCGTTGTCCATCCGACACCAGTCACGGAATGCATCATGACTGGCTAGGCGTTCCAACCTCGTCATTACCCTCTAGATTGAGGAACACCCTTGTCGATATTGTCGCCGATGGTAGAGGAATTGCCAAACGCTGACATGTTTGGTCAGCGATGGACGATAGAACTAATGAGCCCTTTCATCATCGCGGAAGGCTCTACTGATTGTAATACTTCGTTTTTGGCATGTACATACTTGAAGATCTTTTCTTTTATTTCCTTTTTACAGTTCTAAGAGCATATTCCCTCGGCATGGCGGAATAAGTTTCGGTATTTGGCGCTCTCTCTTGTGAGATGCCTGAGGGTGGTGAGTGACCCTGCGCTTGGTAGGATAAGCTGGATGGGATAAAGCTGGGTCGGACAGGACACCCAGGTTAGAGTTGAATGAACTAGTCAAATCTCGAAGCATTCCCCGGATGCTATGCCGTGGTTTTGTACAGAATACCTTCATGATCTTGATTTATGTCGAGGCAATCAGATGACTGATGGTTAGGATTCGCGGTGGATGTCCGCAGTAGATGGCTTCTTTTTGCGCAAAATGCCATTCCCCGGAGTCTCCATCGAAGGAAGGATCGAATATCTTGCGAATATAATGCAGGTTTGGAGCCTCATGTTACGAGATTACTCTGTAATTACACATACATCAAATCTTGGGCATAGATGACTACGTAAGGTAGCTCAGCAGCTACGTCAGTAACATAAATGCAGTGATGGGGCGTGACGTATCTGTCTTGGTCTGCGGTCGTCATGATGCTGATGCTGTTAATAAGTAGAGCACCGGACAACTCAGCTCCGACGTCCGAGCTTGAAGCTCCCCGGACCCGCCTCAAGGTGCCCGGAGCCGAACAATTCAACAAACCCTATCTATCCATCATTCAACCTCCGCTCAGTTGCCATCGCACATCCAATACACCGTCTAGCTTCAGACACGACAACAAGCTCGATATGGCTTCCCGGAAGATCGCCAGCAGGGCCAGCAGGCTCATATGGACAACCCCGCGATGCGTTCCCTCGTCGCAACAACCGCTCGCGTTCTCGTCTCGTGCATACCTCGCGACCTGTCGCAGCACCTCTGCCCGGGCGCCCGCGATCCCGTCTACACGGGCGACCTTCCGACTGATTGTACCTGCAACACCAGTCAGGAGCGCGCGCACCACTTACTCGACCCAATCGTCGAGCGAAGCGGACCCGAAAGGCCATGAGATTTCGGAACGAGGGACTAAGATTTGGAGTTTTGAGCAGGTGCGTTGCGTACCGGGCCATTTATCTCAAAGATGGAACACATCATCGGCGCAGACCAGGTAGTTTAAGCGTCATACTGATTGATACCGGGGCATGGTTCCCGCTCCAGATCAATGAAATCACGAAGAACCCAGGCAAAGTCATCCTCGTCGGTATGTGTCCCCTCCTAGCATGCTGTGCATCATCATATGCGACCCCGTCTCTCCTCGCGAGCACTTCGTCTGCTCTCCACAATTCCTCTTAATTATTTGTCATTAAGCCACTTGTTGACATGGTCTTTCCGTTTCTTTTCTCCAGATACCCGCGAACCCGCCGAACTAGACAAGACAGGCCACATCCCCGGCGCCATTAACATTCCAATCGGAACGCGACCCGATAGTTTCTTTTTGCGGGAGGAGGACTTTGAGGACAGCTTCGGCTTCCCGCGGCCCCCCAAGGACGCCGAGGTCGTGTTCTACTGCAAAGCTGGCGTGAGGAGTCGAGCGGCTGCCGCCCTGGCGAAGGAGGCCGGGTGGACGAATGTTGGAGAGTACCCCGGAAGCTGGCTCGATTGGGAGGAGAAAGGAGGGCAGGCCCAGAAGTGACCGCCGCTCGTTTTTTCTATCGGAGCATGTGCTCGAACTTGACATGATAGGAGACAATATTGGACTGTAAAACAATGCGAAACGGGCTACCAATCTGACAACGGGGGAATCAAACGTCATTGACATTACTCCAACGTCGGGAGAGATCTCAAGACAACATGCAAATGGTGCATGGTCGGGATTTGGAATTCATTGGTGTATTGTACACTCGTCGTACATGATGGGATCTTGAGCAAAGCTGAGCGATCCACGCCCCTTCCTTCTTGCTTTCTCATTTTTATCACCGTCTCTTCTGATTCAGGCCAGCCCAACCCAGGCCCTGCCAAAAATAATCCAACTAAAGATATTCTCTAAGAGAAAACAAAAGACAAAAAAGAAGCCCGGATGCATCTCCTCAATCCCCACCAGAGCCACCGTCGGGATTGCTAGCCACTGGACTCCCGTGCGCGAAAAAGAGAATCTTGATGGTCAGCGACAGACCCATGTGGAGGGCGATGACGACCACGAGCAGAATCTTGCTCGTCTGGCGGTCAGTGGCGCTGAGGACAGGGTAAAGATTGCGCAACAGGAAGAAGACGGAAACGCCGAACCCGATGGCGACGAAGACCCAGTTGAGGATCGTGATGGGCGACCAGCTGATGAGGGCGACGGGCACCCAAATAAGATTGGCGTATCCGTAGAGAGCCCAGCACTCGAGCAGGTTGGCCGACTCGGAGCCAAAGTAGCGAAGGGCCAGGTACAGCACGATGGGGATGAAGAGGGTATAGCCGTAGATGAGTCCGGCAGCGCCTAGAGGGTGGGGGGAGTTATCACGTTAGAACAGTCTGTTTCTCAACCCACCACCCCCTGTTCAAGGGGCGAGATAGGGAAATGGGGGAGGCTGCGTACCGCTAAGCAGCTTAAAATCGTAGGCGAAGGGGTGATCCCCGGTTTGGGCGAGGTACTGGCTGATGGTACCGCCCAGAAACAGGATGAGAACGACAGTGGTGGCGATCCAAAACGGACCGTACAGGTCTGAGTTGCCTTCGAGGACGTCGAGGAAGTTGGCGCGCGGGTAGAGAGCGGCCCAGCAACGGGATAATACGGCAGAGGTATCGACGTCGAAGTATTGCGCGTAAAAGGATATGGTCCACAGCATGCGCTTGCCTGAGGATGTCGAGGCGGTCACTGGAGGGGGGAGGCCGGACGATGGGGCCTTGCGGGCGCCAGGTGTGGTATCGTTGAAGTTCGAGTTATGGAATTCGAGATCTTCCTGGAGATCAGTGTGGCCGAGATCGCCCTAGAAAGGTTCGGAAGATGCGTTGTTAGTTGACAAGTTGATGGGAGATCTAACAAGGGATAGTGAAAGGTGGGTGGCTCAAAGCAAGCCGTAACTAAAACTGACATCGTCGTCCACATCTACCACCGCATCATATCCTGAGCCCGACATTGTAACTTTGTCAGCAGGGATTGAATCAGGGTTGGTGGTTCTTGTTCGTAAAGCTGTGTTGTGATGTCCACTTCGTGACAACGACAAGGGAGCCTGGAGCTCGAAGCAAGGTGTCGTAATGATAATTAGTGGAAGCTGTTCCTGACAGGTTGGCGACCCACCACATCACGTGAGTAACGTGCTTCCCCATTCCCGCCTGTGGCGTCTTGGAATGCGTCCACTGCTTCGCAATGTACCTAGGTATCAATCACATACCTTACCTGAACAAGACGCGTTCCATTCACCATACCTACATTCAGAGCTCTCCATCTGGACTCTTAAATAACACATCCCTATAGAGAACCTTTTTATCAGGAGAAAGAGGATTACAGCTAGACATCAGATATCTAGCACAAGAACCAAGCATCTGAGTTGTCGTTACGGGAGTTGCGTCGAAGGTATCTCGATCAGGATGGTGTAAGCCAAGACGAGAACTGGTGATGAGGGCGCCCTGCGGTCAGGGTATGCGACAATGTGGCAGGAGGGCGACGAAATCGATCATCTTAGGGGTGAGGGACATGCCGCTCAGAACATCAAACAACTTCCATAAATTGAAATGAATTGGTCCCTATTCCTCGACTGAACTGGACATGCGCTGGTGATCATTGTTGTTGACCGAATTAGCAGAACAACTGGAACCAGGCCGGGAGGCGTGTCGGAGACCTCACATCGATTTCACTTGTTAGGTCAAGGTCTTCCCATTTGGCAAACCCCTGACTTGGAGGAACTGGGACTCGTAGGTGTGACATGGAGATACCCTGACCAGCGTGGCTACACTCACCGGAGCCACGGCATTGATAGAGCAAAGTGCGTAGCTATGGGTCCACGTAGGATTTACCGCTCATTATGGCAGTCACTGTGTGACCATCATCGAGACAAGGAATGATGCGGAAAGGGGCGAAGAGTCCAGTTATGTCCGATTGGCTCGCATACAGCAGAGTAGAAACATATGGGTCGCCGACGGTGTTCCCGGAGACTGAACTTCTCGTTGTCTCACAGAAAAACCAGTCTGGATAATATTGACAGCCAGAAGCACCGGTTCGATAGTCGATACATTGAGTCGTTTCCCACGCCGGCTTCCACGGCCGGCCATTTGACGGGCGTCTGATTCAGATCCGGATTTCAACACGTCATGGCTCTAGAGAACGCAGCATCCCATGTCATCGCACTGGGCCGAGGAGAAAGCAAAGAGCTTGAAAATCATGGCAACTTTTGCATCATCGAGAATCGCCTAAGAATCGCATGCAAACTACCACGCGTAGAAAGGGCTCCAGGATTATGCTCCCTGCCTCGCACCATCCCATCCCCCAACCAAATTGCCGATACCAGTCCCAGACGCCATATCCATGACATGCCAGCGCACCGAGGCGGCGTATCGTTTACTTGAGCTTCTTCTTGGGGCGAAGCTGGTTGGTGTGTCCGCAAGCGCGCTTACGGCAGTTGGTGGCACGGAGTGGGAGACGGGCCTGGAAAGAACAGCCAGTTAGATCTTGTTGTCGTTTTGAGGCCGGCGGCCCATCGAAAAGAGACGAGCGGAAAGCTTTCCCGGCGCATGTCATCGGTGTGAAAAAAAAAAAAAAACTAGACTTACGTAGCACTTGCGGCAAATTTGCTTGTCGCAGTTGAACTTGGAGGCAAGAGCCTTCAGCGAGGGCTCGATGATGCCACCACGGAGACGGAGGACGAGATGAAGAGTCGATTCCTTCGCGGGATGTCAGCGTCCATCACGGATCTTTCCCCTCCCTCCGCATCGTATTATCCCGTTGCTGGGCAAACAAGCGCTCCCCCAAACCCGAAACCGCATTTCCAACACATCTCCATCTTAGCCATCGCAAGGAATGTCAAAAGCCACCACTGACCTTCTGGATGTTGTAGTCGGACAGGGTCCGGCCGTCCTCGAGCTGCTTTCCGGCGAAGATCAGGCGCTGTTGATCGGGGGGGATGCCCTCCTTGTCCTGGATCTTGGACTTGACATTGTCGATGGTGTCGGAAGACTCCACCTCAAGGGTGATAGTCTTGCCCGTGAGGGTCTTCACGAAACTGAGATGCGAACCGCCATTAGCTACCCGTCATTCGTCCACAGATTGATGATTAAAGTCGGAGGGCCCGGAAAGACGTCGGCAAACGAGTCGGTCGGTCGGCGAGGAAGTACACTCACATCTGCACTGTAAAATTGTCAGCATGTTCATTATCTCGTCAAAAAAAAACAATAACTTCATCTCTTTAAAGTCCTGGCTGTACTCACTTTTGCCGGTTCTCGCGAAACTGCTGATGTTGCCGTGGGAGTTCTCTTCTTCCAGAACGTCGCAAGGTGAGTGGTGGGGGCTTGCTTCGGCTTGCAGTTGAGGGTGAAAAAGCAGAAAGCCCTAAAGGTCACGAGGCCACAGTGGGTCAAGGGCATGGTGGAACCCTACCCGGTCTGGTCGGTTCACATAAGCGGCCGAAAGTGTCCGCCCCTGTCTGGACTGAACCCTGTAGAAATCCCGGCCCCACACTCATCCCACGGTGCCGAGACCATACTGCACCGAGGTTTGGCTTTCATCTTCGATAGAGGCTCACGATGGCTTGACATGTTATAATAGGGGCAGAAATTGAAGCCCCCCCTTTGATTTCTTCTATATGGTAGACAGATACTGTGTGGTACATGTGTAAAAGGCCAAAAAGATGCAGCCTCGCTTCTAACCCCTTACAACCCCATCTCTGGTTATCTTCATTCTGTACCTTGTTCAATTGTCGGAATGTCTTGTTTTCGGTGCCTACGACGCCAGGCTCTGACGACAAGCTCCAACATGTTGACAGCCTTTAGGAGTGACTGGGATGAAAGCCCGACTAGTTGAGATGCAAGGTCATAGAATGCTCTCCCTGCTTCAGGGAGGTCTTCGAGGTTTCTGTAAGAAAAGTATCGTGAGGAGAAGTCTGCCTCATCGGACTCTTCCATATCAAAGCTGACGGCATTCTGCTGAACAGCACGAAGCCTCTGATCGATGGTGCCCTCCGTTTCTTCTGGCTCGGGTGGTTTAGGCCTGGTCTCAACCAGCGGGAACAGCTTAGCCAGGAAGAATTCTTCGTCTGCGTGTGCTCAAAGTTAATCAGATACCTATGCATAATACATGGCCGGCATAAGGGTCCGGCATACCTTTGCTGTCGATGTGGAGGGACATATGTGCGAAGTATTCATCAAGCTGCTCGGGAGTCATTGCTGTGATATCAGTTGTTGCCGCCCGGACATCGATACTCTCTCTTTCTTGCGCTCTGCCGATGGCGGGTGCCATGATTTCGAGCCACTTCTGCCAGTTAAGCCTGGGAATTCGCAAAAGGTCTCCTTCGGCTTCGAAAGGAACGTTCTCGAAGGGAAAACAATATTGTGTTGCAAAGACAATAACAGCTATGAGCAGGATCTCTGGGTGGTGTATGGCTCGAATCCGATTAGACTCAACTGGGAACGCATAGTTGAGGTTCATGATGGCCGGTATCCTTCGGGCCACGGAGACGATCTCGACTGGAGAGGACACATCAGCTTACGTTCTGCTGCTAGCAAGCTCGAAGTCCCCGGGACACTCACTCGGCAGGGCTAGTTCCCGGACGTATTGCAAGATCACGAGGACGTCGTTGACAGGTGGCATGACCAGTTCGTAGTTCTCGTGGTATGAAAGGGCAAGATTCATAACGGACGAATGTAGTTCCCCGTCCTCGAAGCTGGCCAAGTCCGCGGCTTGGAATAGCTTCTGGTATGTGGCAGGCATCCTATCCCACATCTCTTGTGGAAGTTGATGGTGCTAGGACGACGTGTCAGTACTTAGGCCCTCTCAATCCATGTAAAGAGTCGTCCCTCACCGCATTCTTGAAGATGATGTTTGACCCCTTCGCCCATCGCACAAAATCGCCGATCCTGGCAGGGATTCGCAACAGTAGGCATCCTAGGTAGCAGAGAGCCAGGGTATCCGTAAGCTTCGGGGTGGGCCACGATTCTCCGCTGTCTGGGCCCCAGCTTCGTGACCTCCGGCGATTGTGGGAAGGCCGAGGGCGCGTCTCGTCCTGAGCAGCGGCTTCCTGAGAGCTGAAGACAGATATGCTGGCCTCCGATGTGGAGTTGGGATGATCGACCGTCTCGAATGCCGTGCTTCCACGAAGGCGAAGATCCCAGAGATCTCGCACCACGGTCTCGAGCTCGGCCTTGTACCCCTTTGTTGTGACGAGCCAGTTGATCTGTTGCCTCAGGATCAACTGAAGACATTCTAAATAGAGGTCGCGTGCAGCAATGCCACCGAGCTTCTGCTTTTCCCGCTGTTTGGCTTGTTTCTGCTTGCGGGTGACTCGGCCAGTGTTGCCGTAGTCTTCATCGCCGAAATCGAATTGAATGATACCCTATGCTGGGTAAGCTCCTGGGCTGCCATGGAAGCTTGGGACTCAAGTATCCTACCTCGACCCGGTGTCCTCTTGCGCAATACCGATGCCCTTCATCCCAATACCATCGTCTTGAGCCACACCCGGTGCATCGCTCCCCCTTGGGGAACTTCTGCAAATGTCTAGGTCCCTCCAGATCCATCTAGCAAGTTGCAACTAGCTAATCAGTAGTCCAGGCCGTCACCCTGAAACAGAATGCGCAGCTCACAACGGCCAGCTTCAAGCCGGGGATTAGGGACGCTGTCTAGCGAACGCAGATGTCCTTGGATCGCTCGCGCTTCTTGCGTCCTCTAGAGGACTACGGGCCGGGAGGTCAAAATTTCAGCTGCCGGAACCATAGTTCAGGTGCGAGAGCATATAACTGCTCGCCAGCATTTAGAAACTGCTTGCAATCCAGCTAGGGTAAATCATCCCAGGATGTTCGGAAGATGTTACACTTAAACACAAGGTCGCGGAGGAAATATAATCCAGCAGACCGAGTTGTTAAGAGGTTGAACGCAGGTGGTAATCAGGGATGTAGGAAGAAGAAAAGCAGGTCAATACCACTAAAAGGAACGGGTTCAGGCATCAAAGATACCTACCGTTAACCATTCTAGCGGTGGAGAGGAAGTATCTAGCAGTAGGTAGGACATGTACACTGTAAGTACCCAGTACGGATACCCAGATCGGTGCGGAGCCCTTCAGGCCTTCAAAGTCTACCTCCTCTGCCTACCTTGAAATCTCCTCTTGGTGGCGAGGCCACATGCGACTCGGTCTACAACGACAATCCAGTCCCATGTTCACATTCACGGCGAAGAGTATCAGATAAAAAAGGGTGGTTGTTCAAGTGTTTGTCGTTTTATTGGACAAGTTTGTCGCCAAAGCGAAGCTCTCCCTCTATTTCGACCTATCGCAGTGCTAACGTGGGCCGTGATGGGTAGTTGGGAGGCAATGGGAAAACATAAGGAAATAGAAGTCGTTCATGCCATCTCATGGTATTGCCGAGTGCGCATAACCAGTATCATCAGTTCCTGTCCAGATAGAGCCCCCTCCCCCACCGTCCCCTTTTGCCCACGACTCGTGGGTACTCAGCAAACCGAGACATACCAGACGATATGCCAAAGTTCGTCCGACTCCGCCGACAACCGCAAAAATATAAGAGAGCTGCGTCGCAACAGCGCGTCTGCATTGGCGCGGAAAGGGTTATTCGTTTATTTCGGGGCCTCCTTGGCCTCAACAGCGGCCTCCTCACCCATGGCAGAGAGGATGATAACGTCTGTAATTTTTCCAATGTGAGCATTATGCTAGCGATGGGGGTTGTAAGCTGCGGAACAGGGCGACTTACTGGTGTCCTTCTCCTCAGCCTTGAAAAGGCGGTTGATCTTCTCGCCAACCTCGCCATCGGGAACGCGGACATCGTCCTTGGTGTCGCCATCATCGTTCATCAGGGACATGAAACCGTCGTCGGCAATATCAAGCTAGATGATGATATGTCAGGCACTGAAGAAAAACAAAACAAAAAGGAGGCATAATAATCTATAATTAAAAGAAAGAAGAAAAAGGAACAGGCCGTGGCTCAGCGAGGATTGGGCTACTTACGAGCTGATATTCCTTCCGGAAGACGTGAGGGACATCCATGTTGTGTGTAGAGGGAGAGAGATCTTCCAGCTTCTTGCCAGTGAAGATGTCAATGGCAATAAGATGGACCTTAGCATGACCGTGCTTGCCCGTCTTGGAGGTGGACATGTCGACGATCTTGCAAGGACGACCCTTAATCACGACGTGACCGTTCTTACGCAGGGCAGAGCACTGCATAGGAAAGGTAGTCGAGGCACCGGCATCGGCGGTGTCGAACTCGAGCTCGTGCTACGCAAATGCATCGCCATGGTCAGTAAGTGATCGTTTATGAGAACCAGGCCAAAATATGCGCGACAAATTCCAAAGTCGAGACGGTCGATTGAGGAGCGCAATACGGGCGATGTTTGAGACTAATAACGACGACGCAGAGGCGTTGTTGTGCGGTGCATAGCGGGGTGTTGTGCATGCGGGGTGGTCTTTCTGTCGCCAATCACCCCAGGCGCGCGAACAGAGTGTCTGCAAAAAAAAAAAAAACATCACAGGCTGGAGGGAGCAGGGATCGTCTACTCACAGCATTGTCGTTCTCGGCCATCTTGTCGGATTGACGAAGGGAAGATCTAAGAGTTGGAAGGAGAGATGCGACCGGACTCGAGAGCGGACTTGGACGGGGTGATGGCCTTTTGAAGGAGTTGGGAGAGGTGGGAAAAAGGAAGAAGACAGGAAGCGGGTGGAGGGGGAGGGGAAGCGAATGTCTCGAGGAGGGACAGAGTATATAATTTTTTTCCTCAGTTTGCTATTGGATTTCTCCTGCCCGCACTTCTTTCTCATTTTCACCAGGTCCTGCGCTGTGTGGTTTTCCCCGCCCGGGTTAACTCTCCACACCACAGGTACCTAGGTATCTACCTTAGGTACCTATCTAAGGTACCTAGGTACCTACAAAGTACTTCGTACGGAGTATATACGGATACCTTAGGTACCGATGGCTGGGTAGATCTTTCCGCCTACTGGTAGCAAATTCCGTGAAGGGCGGGGGGACTTTGTTGCCTGAGCCTGACAGAACAGCGACCGAGAGATTGTACCTGGATGGTCCTCGAGTCGAATGTAGAGCCAGCACTTCCAGAGGTGTTCGATGTTCCTAGCGCGGCCCAGAGGCACGTCTAGGTAGATTTACACGGCCAATGAAGAGATTCATACCAAAATGGTATCCGTACGGAAAACTGGTACGGAACACCCGGCCAGACCTGAATTATGCGAAGTGGCGAAGGAACTCTAAAATCAACAACTGATCATCAGCGCACGCCGCCACACTGATTACGTGATGTGCAAGTTGTTCAATTTTTACGTAGAAACAGTCATCTGTGGAAAGGCGAGAAAAAGGAGTTGGTGGAAGTTATGCTGATCAGGTTGCGGGTTGATTATTATTACGGATACAACTTGGATGATGCGGCCTTGCTTCCTGGGTACTCCGGACAGAGTAATTTACCTGTACGAAGAGCGGGATGGCTGTACAAAAGGTACCTGCTTCGTAAGTTACCACCTCGGTACCTTAGCTTGAGGCGCAGGTACGTACCTACGGAGATGCTTTACCCAATCAAAGCTGCCAATAATTACTTGCTATTGTCGGTAGCCTTGCATCGACCCTTGACCTTCCACGTTGTCTTTGGTTTCAATCCACAGCAATCTTATCAACGGGTATGATTGCGACCATGACATGCCGGGAACCAATTGTCATGGTGGTGTGATACTCTGTTTCTTGCTCTTCTGGTCCAACCACTTCCTTGCGCGAGTTTCACGATGTGGCTTGACAGGTTTGGCGGACAATCGCAGCCATCGCCGTCCCCTCCACCATCGCAACCTGCCAGCCGATCGTTCTCGCCTCTACCCAGAAGAACCTCGACTAGTTTCAGTCCTTATGTGACCTCACAACGACCAGCAAACACTCCCCGAGGGTCTAACATATCACTCGTATCTAACGACTCTTCCACCTCCCTCCTAGCTTCGTCTCGCCGAGCCAATGGTTCTACTTTAAAACAGTCCCACACACCATATTCTGGGCCGGATCCTGTCGAAATTCTATCAAAGGTGCTGGGTAGAGATGATTCACGGAACGGCAATACCACGAAGGAGGAGACCTCCATAACGACAAAGGATTTGGATCTTGACTGGGATTTTGGAGGCACATCCTTGCGAGATTTTGCCAGTACCGACGACGAGGAAGGCCCCGGCCCAACGCGGCGACAGACCGTCGAAGAGTGTATGTGTGATCTTCTTTGCTGGACTATGCATGCACAAGGTAGAGAGGGGCTCACAGTTTGGGTATAGACGAGAAAGACAAGTCCAAATTCGAAGATTTGCATCGCTCGATAACGGCATGCGATGGTGTCCTCGATTCCGTCGAGACGAACCTCACAGACTTCCGCAACGATCTTGCCGCGGTATCAGCCGACATCGAATTCCTCCAGTCAAGGTCGACAGCGCTCACAGTTCGACTAGAGAACCGCAAAGCTGTAGAGAAGGCTTTGGGCCCAGTTGTGGAGGAGCTGAGCCTACCCCCTGCGGTTGTGTCGAAGATTTCCGAAGGTCACATCGACGAATCATGGGTCAAAACGCTGGGAGAGATTGACAAGAGGGCAAACGCCTACAGCAATAGCGCGTCGAGTTCGCGGCAGAGCAAAGCCTCGGCTGACCTAGGCCCTTTGTTAGAAAGACTCGTCATGAAGGCCGTTGAAAGGATACGGGATTTCATTGTGGCCCAAATCAAGGCGCTCAGGTCTCCTCACATAAATGCCCAGATCATCCAGCAGCAGAACTTTCTTAGGTTCAAGGAGTTATACGCATTTCTGCACCGGCATCATGCCACTCTAGCCGGGGAGATCTGCCAGGCTTACATGAACACCATGAGATGGTACTATCTCAACCAGTTCACTCGATACGAGAAAGCGTTGCAACAACTCAAACTCCACATCCTGGATAAGAACGATGTGTTGGGGCATGATGATACGACGCGCAAGTCATCGGTTCTCTCCGTCTCCAAAGGACCTGGTCCACCCCACGATGCCTTCAACCTTGGACGCCGGATCGACCTTCTAAAAGTCAACAGCCAAGCGGCCATCTCCTCATATCTTGCGGAGGAGGACTCATCGACACACTATTTTGAAGTCCCATTCCGTAACTTCAACTTGGCACTCGTCGACAACGCCACTGCCGAGTACACGTTTCTAGCAGGATACTTTTCGCCGCCCCTCAGCATGGCCACCATTTCTCGGCATTTCAACTACATCTTTGAGCCAACCTTTGCCCTAGGACAAGCTCTCACGAAGACTCTGGCGGGAGACACCTACGATGCGCTGGGTCTTCTGCTCAGTATCCGCATCAACCAGCAGCTGGCCTTCCAGCTGCAGCGCCGAAAAGTACCCGCCATGGACGGATACATCAACGGCACGAGCATGCTCCTCTGGCCCCGGCTTCAGGTTGTCATGGACCACCACTGCGAGTCCGTTCGCCAGCAGACCAACGCTCTGCCCTCGCGTCCTGCCCGGTCCAGCGATCACGCCAAGTTTTCGGCCGCGCCCCATGTCATGACGCAGCGGTTCGGCCAGCTTCTACAGGGAGTTTTGGCCCTCAGCACCGATGCCGGCGACGACGAGCCCGTGGTGACCAGCCTACGTCGGTTGCAGTCTGAAATTGAGGCGTTCCTGACCCGGTATAGCCAGGCTTACGCCGGCGACAAGCGCAAGCGCGATCGCTTCTTGTACAATAACTACTCGCTCATCCTAACCATTATAAGTGACGTGAGTGGGAAGCTGGCGGCGGAGCTCCAGGAACAATTCGAGGTCCTCAAAACGGCTTTTCAAGAGGGGGCTTGAACCGGAAGCCACCTGATGTTCAATGAGGATGCTGTCGAAGTAAATCGGGGGTTGGTTCTTTTTGCAGGCGGGGCGTTCCGGGGCGGACTTTAATGCACGGCACACATTTGAAGTATGCCGTCTTATCTTTAACAAAGTGAATTTTGTTTTCCTGTTTTCTGCATTTAAAGATGCATGGGCATGGTTTCATGGTCTTGGGTCGAATAACACGATTGAAAGTGTCGAGGAATTGAAGATTTTACTCGACAGTCTGTTGTTCACGCGGTGATCTACGGCTTCTTTGTGTGATGGCTACATCGTGCGTTTAAAAGTCTAATTAAATCATAATTACCGCTCTAAAAGCTTCGAAAAGAAAGCGGACACTTTGGTGATCGGCCCAGATGTCCGGGGTAGATACACCGCAATGAGACCCACGACCACGGCGAGCCCAAGAGCGCCGGCGCTCTTGCGGTGTAGCCACATAGTTTTGACGATTCTCCTGCGCCTTTCCGCGGCCTGCAACTCCTTGAGCTGTCTCTCGAAATAAGCCTCCCCGTCCTCCATGGTCTGCTTCGCGCAGTCCTCGATAGACCGCGCCGTCTTCAAGCAGCTCGCAGTGGAGATGCGTCGCCAGGCGGGCAGGGATTCGGGAGGGAGGCGGCGGAAAAGCTGGGCGGTGTCGGCGATGAGCTTTTCGAGGTCCATTTTCTGGGGCACTTTGGAGAGGATCAGGTGGAGCATGGACGGGTCGTCGGGGTCCTGCTCGAAGAGCTCGTCGCGGCGGTTGAGGACGATCTGGGCGAACATGTAGATGCTGAAGACGGGCTCGTGGGAGAGGAGAACGTCGAAGAGGCGGGCGATGTCGCCGTACGCCTGGATGTCGTGGGCGTACATGGTCAACGTGCCGGCGAGGGCGTAGAAGGGCTCCGTGTCGGCGAGGTGGCGGCGTAGGGAGGGGTCAGCGGCGCCTAGGATGTCGGGGATGAGGCGGAGCTGGTTGACGGTGGGTTCGAGGGTGGTGAGCATGTAGTCGCGGATGCGGAGGGCGGAGAGGCGGGCGACCAGGCGCACACGATGGTTAGGGGAAGAGAGGACGAGGAGGAAGACCTGGCAAATGTCGTGGTACCCTTGAAAGTAACACAGGTAGGGGTAGCGACGAAGCACGTGGTTTATGAGTTCAGATAGCTCGCGTTTCCGTTCCTCGAGTTGGGCGTCGGAGTGGTCTGTTGGGTAGTAGATGAAGGCACGGTTGACGTCGAGCTGGACTTGATCCTCATCCCTATGCCGAGGCAACTCTTTCCATGAGGCCTCAGGGGCATCAGGACGCTCGTCCTCCCCCTGGTTATAGGAGACTCCTAGGAGAATAGGCCCTGTAGGTTGTATGAGTAAACGCTGCGAGGGCGACGGTCTTGATTATCCTGAGATGTACCTACATGCTTTTCTCCTCAGATCATCAGTGAGAAAGCCGCCTTCGGATTCAGCAAGCGATTGCAATGCGTTCACATCGCTCCGCGTACATGCTTCAACAATGGCGTCGGCTTTTTTGTGGTCTATCTCGGGCTGAGCATGATGAGACGGGAACTCGGCCTCATGAGACACTTGGTCGGCGCCAAACTCCATAGTGGCCCCTTGCGCTGAGTTGCTGTCGCATGCGAGTTTGATGTGTGATCATATGTGTGTTGACGCGCCTTAAACAACATACAAGAGCCCAATATGTTTGAAAGTAAGAAGAAATGTACACAGCATGAGATGGGGATCGAATGGCTGTTCACTAATAAGTGCTGGGGGTTAGATATACGTGCGTGTAATGATTCTGGAAGAGCAAAAGCCCTGGCAAGCCCATGAAAAGCAAGGAAGTGACTGAAGAAAAGGCAACATGGAATCTTGCTATAAATGAATGTGAGAGCCACCTGGCATAGACTTTTTGGGGGGGGAGTTAACTTCAGCCACAACAAAGAACGGGTTCTGCTGGACGAGGTTCCATCTATCATGGCTCTCTGTTGAATTGTCCTGGAAAAAGCGGTACGTACCTGTTCAAAAGTCGCAGATGTTTGTTAGAGCGCACTGACCAACAAATCGTGACTAGGCTTAGTCACCAAAGTAGGTGCGTCCGGAGTACTTCGTAATTACATTGGAGGATGCTTGACCTGTCGATCTGTAAGAGAAGTTCTACTTCGTACCAACCAATTTTTTGGGGCCCTCCTTTTTCAGATCGGTCAGAATAGACAGCGGGAGTTATTTTCACGAGGAAGCTGCATCATGCCTTTATTGCAGTACCAAGCACTCCTCCAAGTTGTGACATTCTCGGCTGCAAATATTAGTTACCTTAGCCAGCTCGGGATAGCTACAGTTTAGTTGACATTCGAGCTCGTGGTACCTAGAGGTATCCGGCATCAAGGCTACCTAAGGATCACCTTTGGCATGATGAAACAAACATATTACTCCGTAATATAGATTCGCATATCGCTACAAATAAATCATCCCTCAAACAGTGGCGGGAGATCTGCCTTGCAGTGATAATCCTTTCAAGCTGTTTACCTATTGCTATGGCCTCGAGGAGCAGCACAACAATCATGCACAACAATCATGCACAACAATCACCCGTTATCTGACCATAATTTCATCATGGAACATCGTATGCTCTGGTTACAGGTTATGCCAAGGTTATCTGATCATCAGAAAGACGGCTCACAGAAAAAACGGAGGCAACAAGAAATCAGAAGACAAAGGAAGTACTTCATATTTGCGTGTGTTTAGCGAAGCCACTGTTTGACAGATGTGACAGGTCATATCTGATAGATCTGCCGCCCGCTGTACTAATGCTTGTCGGGGATGCACAGCTGATGGGAACGGAGGCTTTGTGAAAGAGAGAATGAGCAAAAAAGACAAAGAAAAAAAAAGGGAGGGATTGGGCTAGGCAACAGTTTTTCGCTAATGTTCCTCGGAGTAAGACGACTTGACCAATGTGTCTGAAGGAACTACGAAGTACGGCTACGGCCAATCTTTCTGTTGGTGCCCAGGAGTAAGACAAAATATCCCTGCGAGTACGATCAATTCCATTGTCAAGCCTGTCGAATCCTGTCTCGGATGCGCATGTCAACTGCCCGCGGGACCAGCCATTTTAGATGGCACCCTGGACCTAGTTGAGTGCTCGTATGGATGTACGAATATGTGTATTTGCGTGCATATCCTCCCTAGATACCCTGGACGGTTCGGTGTAGGCCAGAACCAGCTCGATGCAGTGTTGGGCACAGAGAGCAAGTTGACAAGACGGGTTGAAGATGTGCTCAGTACCTACCGTGAGATGAGCGGTTAGGAAGGTTTTGCTTCGATGGGAGTAGATATGTCTCTGAGCAGATGTGATGTTCGTCACTGATCGATTCTGTCGCTCATCGAATATTGGTACGGGGTTTTCTTGTTCGCCCTTTGATATGCTCGCTCGTTGTCGAAATGTGTCCTTGCATGTCCCAACGGGGTTGGACAGTCGGAGATTTCGAGGCGATGTACCTCTGCCAAGTCGGTTTTACATTTCGTACCTACATGTTTCCTCGAAGGCGGGGGAAAGTACAGTACCCCACCAGAGATGGGAGATGTGCGAACTATCTCGTTACCCGAGGGCCCGCCATAATTACCGCGTTACTTCAGGTATCCGGCGTACCTTAAGGCAGGTTGCAACTCAGGTCTGGGACCTTAGGTAGTAGTCCCAAAGGCAGCACCCTAGGTAGGTATATGCTATTTTCCCTTTCCTTATAGCAGGGGTAGCATTTCCATTTGTTACCAGACGGACTACGGATACATATTGCGACCACTTTTCCTCCGGGTTGCATAAACCCGGGATGGGATAAGTACAGATCGGCGTTGACGATTTCAAACTTGAAATCGCAGGAGTTTGTACTCACACTCGCAGGGTACCTCATTCTTCCTGCCCGCCCCTCTGTCCCTTCCCGCCCCTCATCTTTCGACTACCTTATCCTCACCACACTATTACGTTCGTTGGTTCCGGGGGCAGTACTTTGAAGACTTCCAGGTCTACCTGACCTGTACGTAGTACGAACTATTTGGTACCACTACGACGGATACGGAGTAGGTACGGTTACTGCTTCCAGGTTCAGGTGCTCTGCTCAAGGCTTTCCACCTGTTTTACATGCATAACCCTTTAACCCCCCTTCTACCTTCTCCAGTGTTCCACCCAATTGTTGGTTGTAGGTACGGTACGGTACCTTACCTTACCCTTCTTCCTTCTACATTGAACCTGGTCTGCGGGAGCTCGCATCGTCTTTCACACCATTCACTGTCTCTCCCTGCCCATCTTTCCATCTTCATCCCCTTCTAGGCCCCCTCTCTCGAATACTCGTTCCCCACAGGACGTGTATGACGTGTATTTACCTTACATGATAATCTCCCAGACTGGAGCAGCACCACCTCGTACTATTTGTACAAGGGTTGAGCCGAGTGAGGGACAAATCCGGGCCACACTTCCCGCCCTGGATACGACGTGAGAACTGTCGTGACTCTTCTGGATCTTCGTCAATCATCACATACACCAGTCCTCCAGTCCTCCAGTCCTCAAGTTCACTACAGCACTCCGCAGTCACCGATAACCGCCATTCATCTGTACGGTTTAAGGCTTTTGCTGTTACGTCCTGTTTGCCCAGGTAGACGGAGATAGTGCATCCGTCGAACGCGGGCTGGTTGTCCAAAAACCGACCCACGCTGCAGGTTTCTTGGTCACCTGTTCGCTTGATTTTCGATTCCAGCCCCTCGGGGAACGCTACGACGATCCCTGGGTCTCTGTATAGGCGCCGTCATACCGAGCTCTTGCTTTCTTTCCCTCCCTAGACGTCCCTTCCAACTGCTCCCCAACTGACGGGCAGAGGGACTTGGGGAATCACAACGACTGTTGACAATGCTAGAAACGCCGAACACAAAGAGACTATCCCACGATTTGCTTCGCGCTGCCTTCGGATTTTACCCCTGACTTCCGCGGGGAACCGCTTCTAGTCCACCGCCTTTCTCGACCGCTTCCCTACCCTTCGGGCTCGTTATTTTGGCCTCTGGCGGATCATTCTGGCTATCATTCAGGCTTGATATGACTGCGCGGCCACTGCCGTCATGGCCTTGCAAACCAACGTTTTAAGGGACGGGCAATGGCGGACAGAAACCGTTAACCTCCATACCATTCTCAAAGGGACTTCCACGCCCAACCCCCCTGCCGAAGACACACCTCCGGAACCTCCCTCCTGTGGCATTCTGACAAGGACGATCGTCGAAAGTCCCGTTGCTCATTGGGTCTTGCCTGCTCGTCTGCGGTCGGCCCGCTACAACGATGTTGTGTTCGTAGGCGTAAGTCCCGCTTTATTTTCCCCGTCAGACCTCTCTTAAGCATGCTCGCGAGTGGAGGGTCTCAATGTCTCTCCCCAGCTCCTGAAGCAGCTTTCGGCCTTTGACCCAAACTCACACCCGAAAACAGGACCACTATGTTCAGGTCAACGAACTGCGAGAGGGAGGTCAACTCCACGAGATCTTGAAGAAAGCCGATTTCGGGTCTCGCATACAGAATGCTCACGTCATCGGCAACCTGTTCGAGAGGCCCGAAGCAGGGGATGATGACATGGCCTATGATGAGGTCAAACATGAGGAGGAGGGCCTTCTCACGTCCGGGTATTCTTCAACCACCCCCCGCCGTCCGAAGACCGCCCTACCGCCTCACCTATTGTTCTTGGTGCTTGAATCAGGCTCCTTCGTCTTTCTCTTCATCCGCCGGTACGGGAATCAACTGCGGTTTGTCGCGTCTCAGTTTTGTCACCCCGGCCGTAGGCTCGGCAACCTAGGGTTTCATGTGGCAGTGGACCCAAACTCGCGGTACATCGCAGTCGCCGGTGTTGATAACAAGTTTATTGTTTACGAGCTCGAGTCTTGGGAAGTCATGGCCGAGCAGTTTTCTCGCCACATGTCCATCAACCCCATCAAGACATACTTTCCCAGGCCCGTTCAGGCACTAATACACAAGATGGAGTTTCTCCATCCCCGGCCGGAAGATGATTTCCACGTCATTTTACTTCTTATTCTCGTGAAGCAAGGGGCCTCCAGCATGGTCCTCTACGACTGGGAGAGGGGAGACGATCTTGAGCGAGCTCTTTCGGTGGAGAAACATGGCCACCGCATGCCAAGACAGCACCGCATGCCGCTCTTCCTGGTCCCCCTGACTGTCAGGAATTCGTTCCTCTTAGTCTCGGAGAATTCCATTGCGGTTTGTAAGGACCCTTTACAGGGGCCTCCTGCGTATGAAGGCCTCGATCCCGGCACGCACCCTACAACGTCCTACTACCACGGGCTTCAGCGCCCCTTATGGACAGCATGGGATCGGCCCGTTCGGCGAAGGGGGTACTATGAGGGAAAGGATAACATTTATCTCGCGAGGGAGGACGGTGTCATCGTCTTTCTTGAGTTCAATACAACCGATGTCGTCGAGGCAAGTATGAACGTCGGGAGCTGCAACTGCACCATCTCCACCGCATTCACGACAATGTACGATGCTTTTACCGACGTGGCTATTGTAATGGGGGACTCTGGCCTGGGAATGATCTGCCAGGTATACACTACCACGCACAACCCACTATGTTTCATAAACCACTAACAATCCTTTCTTTGTTTCGAGTAGTTACGGCCAAGGGAGCCTCTCGTCGAGTTGGGGACGATCCCCAACTGGTCTCCTGCTCTGGATTTTGTCACGACAGACGAGTTCACATCATGGGATCAGCGAGCGAGCCCTCGAGGCAACCTAATGGCCGACTGGCGAGACCATCCAGGACCTCGGCCCAGGAAATGCGACAGGATGTTCGCGATATCCGGCAAGGGAATGCAAGGAAGTGTCACGGAGCTCCGCTGGGGGCTTGCCGCCAATGTCGGCTGGGAGATCCCGTACGGGTCTCCTGTAAAGCAAGCCTGGGTCTTCGCGGCAGCAGGCTTGCCTGTTGTCGGGTCAGGATACTACTTGTTGCTGGCTCTGCCGGACTCGTCCGATGTCCTCCAAGTCTCAGGGGGCGACTCGTTAGAAGTTGACCGGCCGGATCCCGACATTGTCCAGTTTGACATGGGCTCGAGAACTTTGGCAGCGGCCCAATTCTCGGACCAAAGCATTGTACAGGTGACGGAAACGTCGATTACTCTGATAACAACGACTCAGAGGTGAGAAAATCTCTTGCAACTCCCACTTACCATCCTACCATGCCGTGAAGAGGCCCTGACTCGGCGACAGTGTGCGGTATCGTTACGATTCTTTTCCGGGTATCGAGGGGAAAGTCGAGCAGGCCACCGTTAGAGCCTGTCGTGTTGCCGTCTCAACACGTGCAGAAACCCAGTCGTTCATCCATACTTTCAGCGTGGACTCTGCGGATGCCTCTGCGTCTCTATCTCAGACATTTAATGTCACCGGGGAAGTCACATCACTTGCTTTCGGCCAAATTGGCGACCGAGAGCAGTTGCTGGCTGGCATCTGGCACGAGAACGAAGCGTATTTGGCGGTATATGCTCTAGACGAAAACAACGAGGTGACTCCGATCTTAAACAGACTGGAGGCTGGTGAGTTCAATTTTACCATCCCAATAATCCTGACAAGAGTCCTTTAGCAGCGGTTTTCGCAGGACCTTAGCCGGTAGTCCTCAATGACGCATCAGATGGGCTGACTTGAAAGATTTCGCAGTCGAAACGGCCACCAACGAAGGCGCACTTTCGTTGGAAGCCATAACCATTATAGCCATCGTGGACGAGACTGCGTCTGCGACCAGCATTGCCCTGGGCTGCCGAAGCGGGTACCTCGTTATGATGACGATGATGAGCGGCCATGCACCTTTGCAAGTTTTCGTCTCGCGCCAAAAACTTGCATCGGTCGCGCTCGACGTGTTCCCCGTCCATAACCGACATCTTCCCGGCTCGGTGCTGGCTTGTTGCGACGAGCAGCTCGTGTTGTTTCAAGATTTCGATGCGAGGCAGACGGGACGGTTTAGGCAAAGGCATCGTATCATCGCCAATGACGTCAAGGACCCGAAGATGACATCTCCCCCCATCAACCATGCAACGGTCTTGAGGCACAGCATCGGTCAAAGCGACCACGTAAGTGTACTCATTCTTTCCAACGACCGGGTCCTTGTCTCCGAGCTGTTCCCGAAGCCTCGGGCTATCCCGAGGTATTTACCGTTGCACGGTACACCTACGAAGCTCCTCTTTTCACAGACGATGCAAAGCCTGGTAGTAGCAATGAGGACCAGATCGGGAGAGGCCACCCTTGCTATCGTGGATCCCGACAGCGGTGAGGACATCTCTGTGCCTACCGAAAAGGAGGGTCGCCGCGTCGACTTCATCAATGGGCTGGGCAAGTCCGCAGGAAGGATCCATGACATGGTGGAATGGGTGTACGAGAAGGATGGGAGGACCTGGCTGTATCTGGTGGTGACGACAAAGGAAGGACAGCTGCTCGTCGTCTCTACCGAACGGGCCGCCTACTCTTCCGAAGAGGGAGGTGACATGAGTGGACAGGGCGGCTCAATTAGACGCATCCGATACTGGACGCGGTACAAGAAGACCGTCGGCGAGCACAAGCCCATCTACGCCGTTGTAGGTGACGGGCCGGATCTGATCTACTGTGTGGGGCAAACGCTCTACTGGGATGTCCTGGATTTGAACGACAGGAAGTTGAGGGGCCACACGGGGATAGAGCTACCTTCGCCCGCCATTTCACTGCGTCTCGTCAAGGGCATGGTCTACGTGCTGACGCTGGACCACTCGCTGCTCATTTATAATTTCAAGGCAGGGGGCCAGCTGGTGCACAGCGACGTTGGTAGCCGGCATGCAACGCATTATATTGAGATGGGAGACAGCCGCGACGAGACGCTTGGTTGGCCGGTGACGTTGATCTGCGAGCTCACCCGCGAGTTCGTCGGGGTCTGGGTCCCGTGGAAGGAGCCCGGGAAGGAATTCCAGGTAGTCTTCGAAGGCAGGCTCCCCGCGGGTGTTAGGAGACTCCGGCGTGGCCGCGTCCGACCCAGTTGGCTGGCTCTCGAGCCGCGGTTCGGCCACATCCCCAGCACTGTGGACGGGGCGGACATCTTCGGCATGTGCCTGAACGGGTCGCTTCAGCACTTCTCCCTTTTGAGCACGGAAGCCTGGAGGTTCCTGAGGCTCGTTCAGACACTTGTCGTGAGGCGTCAGCGGGCCTCGGACGACGAAGCTCATCGCGAGGACGACGCGAGCATGGGAGAGGGCAGACCCGTCATAAAGCCGCATGATGCGCCGAGGAACAAGCATATCGACGGAGACGTGTTGCAGAGGTGCCTCGATGCCAGAAAGTTGGAGGAGCTATTTTCGCACGGCCAAGACACCAGGCTGGCAGACCTGTTGCGCGAGCGGCTGGATAGCTTGGATGGGGGGAAGTGGACGACGGGGTTTAACGGCTCGCATCAGAAGTACGTCGAATTGGCGTATGACGTTGTGGAGTATTATCTCTCCCCTGTCTTCTAGATGGGAGGGCCCAGGTCTGGGTGAGATGAGGATGATGATGGACGAAGAGGAGAGGAAGGTTTGCCCTTTTACTCGGTACTTAAAAGTATATACCTACCTTGCCTTGCTTATCACAAAAAAAGTACGAAGTACTAGACTACGTCCTGTACCAATCTCATCACCTACCTATTTGGTTCCTGCGTACAATACCCGTTCAACAAAAGAAAGCCCATCCTAATAATATAATAAAATACCTACACGTGTAAACAATGATAGGACCGGAGTTAGGAGTTAATAAGGTAAGGTAGATAAAGGGACAATGATCCTGATAAGAGAATATGGGGTACTTTATCTGTGCGGGGCACCTGTTCGTTTTGGAGCCGCGGGGCTGGAGGGGCTGGGTACCTTACGGAGTAATTAACGCCTGGCTTACCTAAGGTACGCAAAGGACTAATGACTGGTGGCGGCTCGTAAACCTAAAACCTTTCACACGTAGATGTACACACTACATGCATATACATTGTTGAGTTAAAGTGGCGGCGCACTTCTCACCTGGACGTAATTTTTCAACTTTTTTTTCCCTTCTTTTTTTCCACCTCGTCCAACTGACACCAACACTACAGCAAGAAGAAATCATCAGCACCAACCGTCTCGTGTGGTTGTCAAAGTGCCGTCAAACCGCTCGGCTCTAGAAAAACCAGAGGTCTCGGTACCTTAGCATGTTGTGTCAGACTCGACCCGGAAGTGAAGTCCAGTTTCCGCATTCACTCATTCCTCCACCTCCTCTACTGAACCGCTAGAAGCCCGCGAGCTTCGTGTACGCCCCGTCCGACGTTCGAGAGACTAGCCGTTTATCATCACCAGACGCTCACTCTCGTATTTATCTTGAAGAAACAAAGCACCGCGATATATTCTGAACCTTCACTACGTCAAAATGCCGCCTAAGAAGAAGGGAAACAAGAAGGGCGGCAATGATGATTGGGAGGCCGAGCTCGGCGAGACCATAGCTCCCGTTTCTGCTCCTGCCGATCGTGCCGATGCCGGTGCTGAGAACCCCGATGAAGACGACGCTCCCGCCGGCGGCCTTATGGCCACACTGCGTAAAAACAGAGAGAAGCGCAAGAAGAAGGGCATTCAGGATGAACTGGAAGGGGAGGATCCTCCCGGCGCCGAGCCTAAAGCTGCAGAGGAGGCCACTATGGAAGACGAGTGGGTTCTCCCCGAGCGGAAAGGCAAGGGAGGCAGAGGCAAAGCCGAGTCCCCCGCCGCCGAGGACACAGCCCAGCCTCAAAACGGCGAGGCCGAGGCTCCTCGTGTCTTGACCAAGGCTGAAAAGGAGAAGCTGAAGAAGGAGAAGGAAAAGCAGCGCAAGAAGGAAATGGTGAGCACCCTATACATATATTCATTCCTCTGAACAGCGTCGTCAAAAATGACGTTGTGCATAAGAAACACAGCAATCTGACTGACTGTTTTGTGACCGGCATGCAGGCTGCTAAAAAGAAAGCCGCGGGAGGGGCTGCTAAACCCGCCGAACCGGCAAAGGCTGCCGAGAAGAAACCCGCCTCTGCTCCGGCCGCGGCCCCCGCTGCCGAAACGCCGACAACTACGGGCGGTCCCAGAAGCAAGAAGATGCTCGCCATGATCCAGAAACAACAGGAGGAACTTCGCCGTAGGCAGGAAGAAGAAGCTCGTCTTCAGGCGGAGGAAGAAGCTCTGGCCGCCGAAGAAGCCAAGCGTCTCGAGGAGGAGCTAAAGCGCAAGGAGGAGCAGAAAGCCCTCAAGAAGCAGAGGGAGAAGGAGAAGATCGAGCAGCAGAAGAGGGAGGGCACCTACATGACAAAGGCGCAGAGGGAAGAGAAGGCAAGGAATGAGCGGAAGCTCCAGCAGATGCTTGCTGCCGGCATCAAGATCGGTCCGGCAAGTGAGGCTGGAGAAGCTGCCGCCGAGAAAAAGAAGCCGGCAGCGAAGAAGGCCGGGCGGAAGGCCGCCGAAAAGGTTTGTGCTCTCGTCCCTACAATATGGTGGTAGCTGGGGGTTCCAGGAAAATCTAACTCGGGGGGGTTTTTTTTTTTGCATAGGTGGACGAGGAGACGGCGCTCGCCGAAGCTGCTGAGCGTGCCAGGCAAAAGGCCGAGCAGCTCGCCAAGGAGGCCGAAGAGAAGGCGGCCCGGGAAAGGGCCGAGGCTGAGGCTGCCAAGGCCGCACAAAAGGAAGAGAGCGATGTTGAAGATGACTGGGAAGCCGCCGCTGAGGAATCCGATGTCAAGGACAGCTGGGATGCCGAGTCCGACCAAGAGGAGGATACGAAGAAGACGAAGGATGCGCCGGCAGGGGAGGAGACCGAATCAGAATCGGAATCGGAGTCGTCAGAAGACGAAGAGGAAGCGGCCAAGAAGCGGACGATGGCGGCGCAAGAAGCACAGCGTAAGAAAGAGGCTGCAGAGAGGCGAGAAAAGGCACACCAAGCTGCGATGGCGGCTCGGTCCGAGGACGACCTCCGCTCGCCCATTTGCTGTATTCTGGGTCACGTCGATACCGGAAAGACCAAGCTTCTGGACAAGATCCGACAGACCAACGTCCAAGAAGGCGAGGCCGGCGGCATCACCCAGCAGATTGGCGCCACCTACTTCCCCGTGGAAGCCATCAAGCAGAAGACGGCCGTCGTCAACCGGGACGGCAAGTTTGAGTTCAAGGTGCCCGGCTTGCTCGTCATCGATACGCCCGGTCACGAGTCCTTCTCCAACCTCCGGTCCCGTGGCTCGTCCCTTTGCAACATTGCCATTCTGGTGGTCGACATCATGCACGGCCTCGAGCAGCAGACGCTGGAATCCATGCGTCTACTGCGCGATCGGCGAACTCCGTTTGTGGTGGCGCTCAACAAGATCGATCGTTTGTACGGGTGGAAGAAGGTCGACAACAACGGCTTCCAGGAGAGCTTGGCGCTGCAATCGAAGGGCGTCCAGAACGAGTTCAGGAACCGCCTGGAACAGACCAAGGTCCTGTTCGCCGAGCAGGGCTTCAATGCCGAGCTCTTCTACGAGAATAAGTCGATGGCGAAGAACGTGTCCCTGATTCCCACGTCGGCCCACACGGGCGAGGGTGTGCCGGACCTGCTGAAGCTCATCGTCCAGCTCACGCAGGAGCGCATGGTCGGGTCCCTCATGTACCTGTCCGAGGTGCAGGCGACCGTGCTCGAGGTCAAGGCGATCGAGGGCTTCGGCATGACCATCGACGTGATCCTGTCCAACGGTATCCTGCGCGAAGGCGACAAGATCGTCCTCTGCGGTGTGGAAGGGGCCATCGTCACGAACATCCGAGCCTTGTTGACGCCGGCGCCGATGAAGGAGCTCCGCGTCAAGTCGGCCTACGTGCACAACAAGGAGGTCAAGGCGGCGCTGGGTGTCAAGATCAGCGGGCCGGGCCTGGAAGGCGCCATTGCCGGCTCTCGCCTGCTCGTCGTGGGCCCGGACGATGACGAGGACGACCTCGCGGACGAGGTGGAGGGCGATCTCGCGGTCCTGTTCAACCGGGTCGAGAAGACGGGCCGCGGCGTCAGCGTGCAGGCGTCGACGCTGGGCTCGCTCGAAGCGTTGCTCGATTTCTTGAAGGACTGCAAGATCCCCGTGGCCAACGTGGGGATCGGCCCCGTCTTCAAGCGCGACGTGATGCAGACCGGCACCATGTTGGAGAAGGCCCGCGACTACGCCGTGATGCTCTGCTTCGACGTCAAGGTGGACAAGGAGGCGCAGGCCTACGCCGACGAGATTGGCGTCAAGGTCTTCACGGCCGACATTATCTACCATCTCTTCGATTCGTTCACCAAGCACATGGACGCGCTGCTCGAGAAGAAGAAGGAGGAGTCCAAGATGTTGGCGGTGTTCCCGTGTGTCCTCAAGACGGTGGCCGTCTTCAACAAGACCAACCCTATCGTTATCGGTGTCGATGTTACGGATGGCCAGCTCAAGATCAATACTCCTATTGCAGCTGTCAAGACGAACCCGGTGACCAATGTCAAGGAGGTTATCAGCTTGGGACGAGTGTATGTTTTTTTTTTTCTTTTTTCCTTTTTTTTTCTTCCCCCTTTCATTCCTTTCCCCTCTCTAGCCTTCTCCAATTGAACTCACTAACCCGCATCTCTACATAGGACCTCGATTGAACGCGATCACAAGCAGATCCCGGTGTGTAAGAAGGGACAGCCGTCAGTGGCCGTCAAGATCGAAATGGGCGGCAGTCAGCCCACGTACGGCCGCCATCTCGAGGAAGAAGATTCCCTGTACAGTCTCATCTCCCGCCAGAGCATCAACACCCTCAAAGAGTTTTACCGCAAGGACGTCACCAACGACGAGTGGCAGCTCATCGTCAAACTCAAGCCGCTCTTCGACATTCAGTGAGCGTCTCGGGTGGTCATCTTGTTGTTCTGCGTGAGAACTCCGGATCTTCGGGCTCTGGAGACGCTGGGTATCCATTGTCGTTCACGAGTTCCTTCTATGTTGTTTGGGATGAGGTTCAGGTTTCCCTGTCGGCAGTAGTCCATGGGAAGGAAACCAAACTTGTTGCTGTGAGCGCTGAAGGGGGGCGGAAAAGAAAAAAAGGGACGACAGGAAAGGGGGTTGGGGGGGCCGCACCGTTGGTTTCCACATCTTCTCCCCTCATTTCCTCGCTGTACGGTTGCTTCTCCCCCTGAGCCTCCCTTACTGTCTGCGGATGACGTTTTAGTTTAATGCATTATGGAAAATGTCCTTTCCAGAGTGAAGCAGGACATGGACGGCTAAAAGTGAAACGAAGAGAAGGATAAGCATGGAAAGCCGGAAATAGATTTTCGTCAGTGAGCACACGGCCCTCTTCTTTTCCTTCTGTAGCTTCGCAAGTATGAAGTACGGTGAGAGTATACAAAGTGATTTTTATGTGTTCAGCATGTACGGACGGCCTTTGTCCACGGCTGAATAGATACGCAGGACATCTCTCCTCAATTCTCATATGTGATTATTTGATAGATGGTCTTCAGTTCGAAAGTCGGGCCACCCCTCTTCGCGCGATTTTCTTTCACGCAAAGGAAGACGTTCGAGGCAACAACAAAAGAGGAGCGAGTTCATGACATCGGTCTATTCTATGTGCTATTTTCATTACTTTTTTTTGCTCATCCGCGGTCATCCGCGGTCATTCGTCGGAGGCTGTTGGCTCTTTCCGGCTGCCTTCCGTCAATTTGCCCTTTGCTTCCACCAGCGACAATCGTGCTCTTTCCGAATTCATGCCCGATTCTATCTAACCGGTTCGCCAGATCATCATCCATCATACGCGTCGAAGAAAGAGAGACATAGGAGACGTGGAGATCCTCTACTTGGTGCCCTCGCCAGCCTCCTCCACCTCGGGTTTGGCCTCGGCATCGGTCATCTCCTCGTCCTTGGTCGCATCGGCGCCCTTGTCGCCCTCGGCGGCCTTGCGGGCCTCCTCGGCAGCGCGCCTGGCAGCCCGCTCGGCCTCGAGCCTCTCCTGGGCGGCTCGACGCTCGGCGTCTACCTTCTCGAAGTGGCGCTGCACGATAGGACCGGCCATGGCGCGCAGCTCGTCGAACTTGGCGATGTATACGGCCTTGGTGGTGTCATCGCCCTCGTCATAGAGCCAGTCCTGCATACTTTCGTTAGACGGCAGTTCGGTAGGGAAGGGGTAAAAAAAAAAAAAAAAAAAAAAAAAAAAAAAAAGGTGCTCACCTCGCTGGCGTCCAGCTTCTCCCGAATCTTGGCCTTCTCATCATCGCTGACAAACTCGGCATATTGGTCGTCGAGCTTATTCCGGAAGTCGTAGATGTACGTCTCCAGCTCGTTCTTCTTCTCCTCCGTGTCGGCAACGAGCTTGTCCTCCATCACCATGGCCGACTCCTTCTCCAGGAGAGCAGCCTTGGCGGCCTCGGAAAGCGCAGCGGTGCCGCTCGAGATGGGGAGGTCGCCCTTGCGAACCTGCTTCTTCACCTTACGGGTCCTCTTGGGAGCTTCCTCCTTGTTGTCGGTGTCCATGGCCTTGTCGGAGAAGGTGCGGGTTAGCTTGTTTAGGAATCGATCTGCGCGGCCGGAAATAGACTGGAAATTGGACATGTTGGTAAAATGGGGAAAAGTAAGGGGAGAAAGGGAGTGAAAGAAGAGGGGGGGGAGGTGGGTCAGAACAAGAATGAAAAAAACGTACATCAGGGTCCTTCTTGTCTCCGTCTTCGTCCTTAATCTCCTCCTCAACTTCCTGGTCCTCGACGTAGTAGCCGCTCTCGACGTTCAGAACGCCGTGGATGTTGACGCGAGCCTTGAGCTTGCAGATCATAAAGTCGTCCTTGCCGTCGGCCTTGACACCCTTGACGGAGAAGCGACCGATCCAGGGGTTGATCTTGCCGGGGAGTTGGTCCGGGTTGACGTACTTGGCCTCGAGGTCGAAGGGCTGTTTCCGGTAGAAGGTCAGGATCTTGGTGGAGGGCACGACGTTGCCGCGGTTGAAGACGGTCAGGCTGGTCTCCTCGTCGGGGATGTCGGCGGCCTTCTCCCAGGTGAACTCGATGGGGTAGGGGGTGATGTCCTGGACGGCGAAGTCGCGGACGCGGAAGACGGGGGACAGGATGGCGCAGCTGAAGGCGCAGCCGCGGGCGACGGCCTCGTCCTGGTTGAGGGTGTAGGACAGAGTCTTGCCGAAGAAGCTGTGGATCCTCTCCTTCAGGGCGGGGACGCGGGAGCCGCCGCCCAGGACCTCGACCACGTCGATGTCGTCCTTGGTGAGGTTGGCATCGGCCAGGGCCTGCTCCAGGGGCACGTGGGCGCGGCTCAGCAGGGGCTCGATCATGGCCTCGAACTCTTGCCTGGTGACCATGCTGGAGGCGTCGACGTCGGGGGTGAGCGACTCGACGTTGACGGGGGCCTGCTGGTTGGCGGACAGGATCTTCTTGCACTTCTCGGCGGCGACGAGGGTACGGGCCAGGGCCCTGGGGTGCTCCATGATGTCGACCTTGTACTTGCCCTTGAACTCCTTCTGCAGGTGGTCGACGACGGCGCGGTCAAAGTTGCGACCGCCCAAGTGGCGGTCGTAGGAGGTGGCCTTGACGACCAGCTCGCCCTTGCGGAACTCGACGATGGAGCAGGTGTAGTTGCTGTGACCGACGTCGATGAAGGCGACTCGCCTAGGCTTCTCTTCGGGGCCGGGCAGGTCGAGCTTGGTGATGCCCCAGCCGAGGGCGGCGGCGGTGGTGTCGTTGATGAGACGGAGCAGCTTGAGGCCGGCGATCTCGGAGGCGTCGATGAGGACGCGGCGCTGGATGTCGGTGAACCAGACGGGGACGCTCATGACGAAGTCGGAGACGGGCAGCTTTGTCTCGTTGGCGGCGGTCTGCTTGATCTTGCTCAAGTACATGGCGATGAGCTGGGTGTTGGTGAACTTCTCCTTCTTGCCGAGGTAGTTGACCTCGGCGCCGACCTGGCCGTTGACGTCGACGAGGGGCGCGAAGATGTAGGACTGCTCGATCTGGGTATCGGGGTCGTTGAAGCTACGGCCTGCTAGGCGCTTTAGGGAGCCGACGGTGTTCTTGAGGTTGGACATCTCTTGGGTTTTGGCCGTCTCGCCGATGTATCGCGACTTGGGACCGAATCCCACCATGGACCTGAGGTAGGGATTTCAGTCGGCATTACGGTTCGTCAAGACAGAAGCAGTCCAGGGGGAGAGGGTGCAGGACAAGACTTACGGGGTGGATCGGTTGGAGACCTCATTGGTAATCTATGGCGGGGTGTCGCGATGAATTGTTAGTCTAGTTCGATCCTTTTTTTTTTTTTTTTTCTTTTCTGTGGTCATGGTCGCATAACCTCAACTCGGCAGAGGTAAGACGGAAAGGGATACATACCACGTCGACGCCACGATTCCTCGCGACGGCAATGACGGTTTTGAGGGTTCCGAAATCGACGCCTAGAGAGGAGGGAGAAGGTTAGTTTGAGGGCTATTGATAGTGAGGGTTGCTCGGGGGAAAGGGGGGGGGAGGGGCAACGGGGGAGACGCAAACCTACCTACAACACTCATGATGGCGGTATGAAGGTTAACTGTAGTTGGGGATGGTGGGCGTGTATGATGGTGGGAAAGTGGGCAGCGAGGCTTGTGCCTTGCAGCGAAGGAAAAGGCAGGTAAGGTATGAAAGGACCGGGCCGGTGGGGTGGCGGTCAAGCAGGCGGTCAGAGAGATCTTTAGATTGCGGGAGGGATGAGATCAAATTTGGTGGGCAAAGGTAGAGAGTCGAGAAAGAGGGGCAGCAAACAAGTAATAAGAAAAGAAAAAAAGAAAAAAAAAAGAAAAAAAAAAGAGAAAAAAGAAGAGATTTTTCTGGAAGACCCCGAGTGGGCCAGGCGGTTATCTACTAAGTTGAGTCCGGGGGTAAAAAGAAAAGAAGAAAAAAATAGACGAGTGACGGGGTTTCCAAGCTTCTGTTTTTTTCACTATACTAGCTGATTGAGAAATAGCCAAGGGTGAAAACTCGGTTCGCTTGAAGTTGTGTGTTGTGTCTGGAGGATTTGGGATTTGGGGTTTGGTGATGGTTTTGATAGGCGGTGATGGTGATGTTCGATGCTGGTTTTCCTTCTTTCTTTTGGTCGATAAGGAAAATTTCAGTCGTCTCTGGTCGCAGTTACTCGTGGGAAAGCACGACGTAAAGGCAGGCAGGTAGGTACATATAGCTCAGGTAGGTACGAAGTATTCGTAGATATATACCTAGGTAATAAGGTAGGCAGCTGCAGTAAAGTAATAAGGTAGGTACGAAGGAGGCATACCTGCCCAAGATGCTAGTTCTCTAGATGGAGGGGCAGGACTCGCGGTCGTTTCCCCAAGACTAAGAAGTACCGATGACAGGAGAGATACATTTGTCTAAGTTTTCCTCCATGATAAACACAAATCCATCTCGCCCAAGTTTTGGAGAATGGACCACGTATTGAGAGGACATCAGAGCCCCACCAAAGTGCCCGGAGGCCGTTCAAAGTACCCATTTAGTACCAATGACTTGCCCCGCCACCAACGGCAAAGGGTCGTCGAATTCAAAAGAACTTTCTCGACTCGTCTCAGCATCACAAACTCTCATTCGATCTCCCCCTTTTTCTCTGTCCTCTGGCCATCCCAGGCCTTTCCTTCCCATATTACCTACAAAGTACTTGGCCCTTGATGCCAGATCAGAATTTCCAATTTCTCCCCGCCCCAAATTCCCATTTCATTAGCATACCTTTACGTCATCATCATCCGACATTGGCTACCTTACTTACCTAAGGTATGCCGTATAAACAGAGCAATACAGAAGCACATGTTGGGTTTTGCGAGAAGAATGGGGTGATACACTACAGAGAGAGTACTTTGTACGAATGGATTTCGATTGCCGTTCTGTTGTCCCTCTTCATGCTTCACCGTTTCTTCTCTGTGCAGCGAAAGAGATATCCGGAAAACGGTCGAACAGTCTTGTCAAGCCTCGGCGTTTTGTGAAGAATGCGTCTTGTCACGTTAACAACCCCTCCTCTATTGGTGAGGTCGTAGATGTACAGTGTACAGCGTACACTGCAATTCGTTTAAGGTACGGAGGAGTCACCGAGTTGCCCCACCGAGTACAACGTAAGTAAATGTACTTTGGTAGGTACCAGAGTAGGTATTATTCGAGATTATTCGTTTGTGAAACTTGACAACTTCATTCTTCGTGACCCCATCTTCCTTTTCCATGACTCTCCTTCCCCCACGTGATGACTCGACCGTGCTTCGGTTCCGTCCTTGGTCCTCGCACAAACCAAGTCACTCCAAAAAAGGAGTCCATTCGGAGATATAGTGTCACTCCTTCCGCGACAATGGGGAATCGCTAAATCCGGCGCGTCTCAACTCGGCTGCGTCGTGGAACTCGAACACTCTCCCCGGTGGAGGGACCGACGTCCGTCTGGAACCACCGCCGCCACTTCCAGTGCCTCCCCCACTGCCTCTCCCACCGTCTCTCGCACTGCCGGCGGCTCGCCAACGTCCCCAATGCGGTATCGTCTGGTCCCGGGTCGTCTGGTGAAACTGCTGCCGCTGCTGTTGCTGTTGCTGTTGCTGTTGCTGTTGCTCTTGGTGTTGGTGTTGGTGTTGTTGCGTTGCTAGTTCGTATTTCCTGCGATCCTCCTCTCCCATGATGAACCTCTCTATCCGACTCGAAACGCTCCCCGAACTGCCCACCGTGCGCTTCGACTCGGTCCGGTCGACCTTGCTCTTACCCCGCCATCCCGATCCCGATCCCGATCCCGATCCGGACCCGAGTCTCCGGCGGGGGGGACCAACGTCCCCTTGGTCATCGACGTCGTCAACTGCGACGCTGGTGAGAGGCGACTCGTCCGGGTGAGCATACCAGCCTCCCTTTGTCCTGGACCGTGCCACGAACCGCCCATCCACCGCGTCGGGGGGTCGAACCACGCTTCCCCTTCTGCCGAGCCCACCTAGCCCTTCTTCTTCCTCGTAATTATCATCATCCTCATCATCATCGTCATCAACAACATCATCAACATCATTGTCGTAATAATGACCACCATCACCTCGCCCGTAAGGGGAAGCAGCACCACCACGCCCTCCAGCAGCGGCCTTCTCCTGTCGGATGCTCTCCCTCCGTGCGATGGCGGCCGGGATGAACGACTCGGGCACGACGTTCAAGTCATCGCCCGCCTCCTCCGCCTTCTCAATAGCCTGCCGCGCCGTGGTGTTCGTATCCGCCGCCGCCGCGTCGGCCCGGGGCCCACCCCACGTTCTTTGTCCTGCCGTGAAAATGCCGTAGACCATGTAGAACCAGTTGAAGAGCGGGTTGAGGACGAACATGAGCGGGTAGAGCCAGACCTTGAACCTCTTGAGCTTGGCGCCAAAGTAGAGCATCAGCGACCAGTTCAGCCCGAGCGACACGGCGACGAACCCGACCGGCAGGCGGTCGACGCGGCTCGACGTGGTCATGATGGCCAGCAGCAAGATGAAGAAGAGCAGCGCGGTGGTGCGGATCGTGTTCTGCATGAACCGCACCAGCACGAGCAGCGGGTAGCGCCGCCACAGGCGCCAGTCGGTCAGCATGCAGGCCTCGTTGGTGACGAAGCCGAGGAACCAGCGGCGGCGCTGCTTGACCAGCGACCGCGCCGTCTGCACGGCCTCGGTCTTGCAGAAGGCCGACGTGCACATCTGGATCTGGTACCGCTTCTTCGCCCCGATCATGAACAGGTGCGTCAGCCACCGGTCCTCGCCCAGGTGGCACTTGGCAAAGTCGAACAGGTCCTCGCACTGCTCCGCCTTGTCGGCGAAGTAGTACTTGGCCATGCGCCGGAACGCCGAGAACCGCAGCATCGTCAGCGCCCCCGGCAGGCACGTCACCGCCCCGCACCCGGACTCCACCGTCCGCTCGAACAGCTGCCCGTGGATGTACTCCATGTCCTGCAGCAGCGTGAGCAGGCTGTGCTTTTTCGTCGTGGACGTGATCACCCCCGTCATCGCCAGCATGTCCCGCCGGTTGCCCGGGCTGAGCTCCATGTCGTACACGAAGTTTTGCAGGCAGTGCCGGTCCAGGATGCAGTCCGAGTCGATGAACAAAATGAAGAGGTTGTCGTTCCGCCGGAGGTAGGCCTCGTACACCCGGTCGATGAGCTTGAACGTCAGCTTCTGGCAGTGCCGCTTGCCGCCGTGCGGGAACCGCGAGACGGTGATGCGCGCGGCCTTGTACGTGACGTCGATACTCCTGGGGTACGAGTCGAGCGCCGTCGGGACCCCGAGCTTCTCGATGGTGTTTCGGTAGAGCTCGTCGTCTTCGTCGCCGCCGTCGAACGACAGGAAGACGTGGATGCACGACGGCGGATAGTCGCAGTCGACCACCGAGTTGACGGCCGCGGCGAGCACCTCGGGCTCCTCCTTGTAGCACGGCATGACGATGACCACTTTCGGCGCCGACACCTCGTCGAGGAGCCGCTTGATCCGCTTGGTGCGCCCCAGCTGGTGCGTGACCAGCTGGTAGGTGCAGAACAGCCAGGGGATCGTGAGCAGCCCGGCGAAGGTCCAGAAGGCGAACCACTGGAAGAAGTGGACCATGTCGGCCGGCCAGTGCCTGGACACCGCGCTGGGCAGCGGCAGCGTGACGACCATGATGGGGAGGAATATCAGTCGTAGAGCAGTGAAGAAGAAGGCCACCACCACCGACAAGACACGGATGGTCCAGTGTTCCGCTTTGACAAAGACCTTCCAGAGACAGTAGAGAAAAGCAGCTATCCACAGAAACCATTCCAACAAGGCTGCCACCATGATGAGGCCGACGATGGAAGTATATACAATCTTGGAACAAAGTCAGCGCCGTTTGCACGAAAGGGGGAGAAGCCACAGCCATCACAACGTACGTCTTTTACCGGCCACTCGGCCGTAATGTCGTCGGCCATTTTGGCTATATTTTTCCAAGTTTTAGCATTACAAACTTTATTCGGTAGCGATTGCGAGATGAAACATGGCGAAGGAATCTTTGATCGAAACGGAAGAGAGGGAGCGAGAGAGAGAGAGAGGTTAGGTTCAGGTTCAGGTTCAGGTTCTGGGGTGTCCCGATTTGCATGTCTCAAAGCAATGCCTCAAAGCAATGCCGCTGCTACTGCTGCATCTCTCTCCGTGTTCCCTTGGTCTCTCTGGCCTCTTTTGGCGGGTCCGGATACCTGCAGCTCTGTCTGGCTGGGCAAGGAGCCAATACGAAGGAAATATAGGCAAATATAGGATCAGTCTCCTTGTCTTCTTCCACTAAGATTCAACGTACTCCGTACTTCGTATAAACCCCTTTATTGCCCCGCCGTCGCCAATGAACGACATCATTTTTTTTTTCTTTTTCTTTTGAAGCACCGATACGTGGGCCTCTCGGCTCTCGACGGTCCAGGAGTCGTGTCATGATAGACATAAACAGTCGACAACCCGTGGCCCCGTCGTTTAACTAGCCACTTCGTCAACCATTTGAAAGCGAACCAGCTACCTGTATCGAGTCTTGTTAGAAGTTGTAATTATCGCGAAACTACGCAACTGATATAACGACGACTGAGACGCTACCGCTACCGCTACCGCTACCACTACCACTACCACTACCAGACAAACGCCCCTTGCAAAACGCTCGTCCTCTAAAATATATCTTCCCCGTAACGACTGTGATTATGCATTCATACCTAGGTTGGATAATATTGACCACGGACAGAGGCCCACTCATCTCATCCACGCAACATTTGTCACGAAACGAATGGAGGCTGTCGAGTGAGCAGACCATGTCCACAATCCGGGCATGAGATACAGGATAATATGAATACGCATCCTGTCAGATCCCCAACTCTCCACCAAAAATCCCACCGCTGGTCAGGCCTCCACGTTCTTTTCCGCTCCTCCCACATGTCTCTGCGCCAGAAACACTCAGTCCCCTGTCCCTTCACCCGCAACGCCACAACCTCGTCTTGGCACATCGCCGCCATCTGAAATCAAGACCGCCATCGCCTTTTCTCTTTTTCCTTTCGCTGCTTCTCGCTTCTCGCTTCTCGCATTCTGTCTTCCCTGCCTACTATTCTCTTGCTCTGTTGGGGAGAGTAAGGGCAGACGGCACCGGTGGCGTTTCGTGCAAGGACGCCGCCTCGGCGGTAACGGCATGGACCGATGACTTGACTCGACCTTGTCCTGATGAGCAGACGAGGCTCTTTCTCGCGCGCCAAATTCTGTTCTCCACACATAGCACAGGTGCCAGCAGTGTTTCCACCATCTCGGCCTTGCGTTTCGGCTGGACGACGAACAACGAACCGTATCGTCGTAACCGTACCTAGTTCGGCGTGTGCTCGGATGAGAGGTGCGTTAATCTACGCTATACCGAAAAGAAGAGAAACCTTTGCAGAAAGATTGCTGCTGCTGCTGCTGCTGCTGCTGCTGTCTCAAGTCCTGTAAGAGCGGTGGACACGAAATTCCATCCCTGTCAGTAACTGTCCTGTTATAAAACCATGTCACTCGGAAAGAGTTTGCGGTTCGTGCGAGAAACTGCGCCAGGGCCGGCTTCGCGCCTCGGACGGAATACGCTTGTTCCGTCCCATCGCCACATGAGAGGGAAATGGTCGCTTGATATTGCCCTCTCCTGTCCGATGCTGAAGATACGACTGCTTGCGCGCAGGCATTCCGGTTACACCCTCTCTACTACGTCTGCCGGAGGATTCATACCAATCAACGTCGCTGAGCTGAAGTTTACGCGACCGCTGGACGCCACGCTCCTTGCCCCGGTCCATCCGGTTGTAGTGATAACTGCTCGGCTTCTCTTGAACTAGATTGTTGGTCGTCAGTGCTGGGCATTCCGACGAGGAAAGGTCGTTGGCTAGGTGTGACTTCACCGTCTTGTTCTTCGTTCTCCCGAATTTCGTAATTGAGTACGAGGTTCTTGATGCGCTGTTGCTCCTCTTTCTCGGCCTGCTGCTGGTTCTTCATCGCGACAGCGAACGTCGAATCGGATGGCACTTCCACCGTGCGTGTCTATGAATCCACTGTTGTCAGTTCCCAATTTTTCCTTTTTTTCTTTCTCCTTTTTCTTCTTCTTATTCTATTGGACGGGTTTACCTGTTGGCGGTTGCCCTTCTTCGTCAAAAGCGAGAATGCCATGGTAGGGCCAGGGCCAGGACCAGGTCCCGATGCCGCCGGGTCGTTCGAGCTAGAGAGATCCTTGGTCTTGGGCCGCACCGGCAAGGGGACGTCAAACAGCGGCTTGCGCTCAAACTTGCGGGATTCCAGACTCTCAGCCATCATCCTGGCGTACTCCCGCTCAAACTCGGCCTCCTCCTCCGGATCAATGTATTGCTCTTGCCGCGTAACGACGATGGCCTCGTCGTCCGAGTTCGAGTGGGAGTCTCGCCCCGAGCCCGCATGTTCCTCGTCTTCGTGGCCCATCTCGTTCTCGTCCGACTCGGACGCGTCTTCGTCACCGTCCGCTTCGCCTTCGGGCAGATCCGGATCGCCGTCCTCGTCGTCGTCGGAAGACGCGGAAGAAGCGTCGTCCGCCTCGGCTGCCTCGGCTTCGGCTGCGGCCTTCTCGGCACCCGAGAGTTTCTGGTCTTGCGCGATGGCGAGCTGGAACGTCTTGGCCGCTTCTTCCAGATTGGTGGCGAGCTTCCATTGGGGCCGCGTCAGGGAGAAAGTGTCCTGTACGATGAATTCCATGTCCATGGGCAACATCTGCTTGGTGTGGATGTAGTATTGGAAGAAGGACAGGAAATAGTCCAACTTCTTGCCGGCCGCACCTTTGGCGAAGTACATACCGCACGTCTCCAAGATGGTCGCGATCAGTCGGATCCGGAAGAAATCGTCGGGCGGGTCCAAGGGGTTGATTCGGCCGGGGACGGGAGGGCCGCCGTGTCCAAACGTCACGATCTTGTACATGGTATCGAAGATGACCGGGTGCTCCACCATCCTGTAGTTGTAAAGTTCGCCTAGGTACTTGACCTCCGCGATGCGCCGTTGGTAATACTTGTAGTCGTTGATTTCTAGACCGAAGACGACGGACTCGATCACGTTGTCGATGACTCGAATGACGAACGACGCATGGTAACGGTAGAGAGCGCCCATTAGGATGGCCAAGAGGTGGATATTCCCGTACTTAACACGGCCTGGCCTGGAGAACACCTTCTCGAGGATACCTACGACCTGAAAGGAGGGAAAAAGAGAGTTAACAGATGTACGCAGTTTCGGGAGCGACCGGGACAAAACTTACGTCCGACTCCTCCCAGTGCAGCCTCCGGATCTGCTTCAGGATCTTGCTGACGTTTCGTTTCGTCATGTCCATGTAGATCAGCCGGCGAATGAACAGGTCCATGGGCGTCCTCTCTTTCTGCTCAATGGCAGGCCGCTCGGGCGGGTCGACGTAGTACACGGCGTTCTCGATGAGCATGCGCTCGGTTTGGCCGATGTGCTGGACCGACTTCTTCCGCTGGAGGGTCTCGAGGAAGGTGGCCATGCGGGGCGACGTGTCCGGGTTGCGCAACAAGTATCGCCCGCAGTTCTCGAGCAGGTTGCAGATGATCTCGATGTTCATCTTGGAGAAGTCGTCCATACTAACCTTGAGGCAGTGGAAGACAACGTGCTCGGGGACGACGCCAAACTTGGTAAGCTCAGCGAGGTACCGAATGTTGGCGAGGCGGACCTGCCCGAGGAATTCCTTTTCCTTGCGCCTCTGGAGGCTGCGAAACTCGGCATCCAGGTAGTCGACGAGACCCTTGGGGATGTCAGGCATGTACTGGCCCAAGGTGGCGGCCAGCCTCGCCCAACAGGGCAGGAGATCGCCTCGGCCCTTGGGAACTTCGGTCAGGGCCTTGATGAGCCGGTTCCGGGAGGCTTTCGAATTGAGGAAGCAAAAGTCGACGGCCGTTTCGTCGATGGCCTCCTTGGTGGTCAGGTCGGGGAGGCGGGCGATGATAGCATCGACCTGGGCGCCGATGGTCTTGTTGGCGATGGCCAACGACTGCTCGTCCATCGCTTCGGGCGGCTTCAGGGGCTCGGTGCCCTCAGCCGCGTCGGTAGGCTTCTTGCCGACCTGCTGCTCGTCGTTTTCGGGCTTTTTCTTCTTGCCATCTTCGAGCAGAATGGCCGGCACCTTGCCCTTTAGGTCGACGAGGTTTTCGTAGAAGCGTCTCTCGTCCTCGTCTTCCCAGATACCAGCGCCGTCGGCCAAGCCCTTGAGATACTCCCCGGTCTTGAGAAGACCGATGGAGCCGTTGCCTGCGCCAGAATCCTCGTTGTCCTTGAGGTCGGGCATCTCGGCACCGATGACGTCGGCAATGGCCTGGGCATTGGCAACCAGTCGCTCCTGGGCCTTGACTTGCTTCTCAAAGTTCGCCTGCCGGTCTTCGAAGACCTCGCCCGACTTGACGTAAGCCTCGGCGTTTCGGCGAGCTTGCGCGTGGATCGCCTTTTGGTCGCGGATGAGATGGCCCTTGACGTCTTCAAAGTATCGCTTGAGGACGTTTTTGAATTTTTCCCGGAGGTCGGGAGGGGTGAAAGGCTGGTGCGCAGAGTCGGCGTCCGCGCCGGCACCGGCATCAGCATCGGCATCGGCATCGGCATCGGCATCGGCATCGGCATCGGCACCGGTATGGGCATAGGCATCGGTATTATCGGCACCGGGTTCGGGCAGAGAGTCGGTCGCATGTTGGGCCGAGCCATTGGAGGGCATGGTCGCACCATCCTCCTCGACCGTCTTGCGGCCTTCGGAGCCGGCAGGTTTGACGCCGAGGATGTCCCAGGAGAAGGCCTTGACGAAGATGACGAGCAAGGGCAGGTTGGCATGCTCGCGGTCATGGCCAAGGAGGTCCTTCAGAACCTCCAGGGGGAACGGCTCGGCAGGGCCACCCTTGCCGGTGGCCGTCTTGTGCTTCAGCTCGGCAACCTTGCCGGTAGCCCCCTTGGTGGCGTCGTCCGGGCGGGTGACATGGTCCAAGGTCCTCAGCACGCCGACAAGCCAGAGCTCGGTGACGACGCGCAGGAGGACGCGCTGGCGGGTCAGGCGGTCTTTCTCCTCCTTTTCTCGAACATCGGCAGCCAGGGTTTTGAGGGCGCTCTTGTCGGGGGTGGCCATGCCCTTGCCCAGCAGCCATCCGAGATGCTCGGTGAATTCGGCAGGACCGAAACGCTGGTGGAGGGCGCTGACAATCTCCACGCCGGCATCGACCTCGCCAGGGGATTTGAGGCGACACAGGCCCTCATAGCAGGCAGATATGATCTCGGATAGGTACTTGTGAAGGCTCAAAGCTCGGATCTCTTGGAGGAAGGTGTTCAGGGTTGCGGCGGAAATGGCAGTGCGCAGTCGCTTAATGAAAGCTGTGTTCTTCTTGAGGGATGAGTCGAGAGACTTGCTCACGGGGACAAGATCTAGGTAGTTGGCGAGCAGAGTGTCAGTAGCTTGACAGGACTAGGAGTTTATAGCCCATGAGAGAAAGCACCAAGGGGTAGAAGGGGGGTAGGAGGGAGGTAGAAAGACCGGGGGGGGTAGGGAGACGGGGCGCGAGGAGTACTGACCTTTCTCGCCATCCCATGCACGAGAGTTGAGGGAGCGCAGTTCGCCTAAGTAATAGAGTCAATATGAAGTCGGTATAAGGTATCGCGATATAAAGTCGATATAAAGTCGATAGGAAAGGTCGAGGAGGGGAGTAAAGGGGGGACTGACGCTTCCTGGCACGGTCCATGACGGATCGTGAATGGGAAATCTATAGTATAACGTGGTGTGGAGGGGGAGGGGGGAGGGGGGTCCGGGGACCTTGAGATGCTACATCCGCACAGCCTGATGGAAGGGAATTCGCGACCAGAGCTGCTACGGACTCGATAAAGGGCCTAGAGAGAGGTGGCGGTCCGTGTCGATGATGAAGATCGGCATCGGTAAGTCCCCTGGGGCATGCGGTTTGGCGGTTTGGCGGTTTGGCGAAGGAGCAAGACCGTGAGACGTAGATACCTTAGATATGACGTGGAAAGAGGGTAAGGGAAAAGAAAGGCAGGAAAAGGCAAGAAGGTGCCAAAAGAGGGTGCAGGGATCAGAAGCAGAAGCTGAGGACGGGAGTAGTGACGGCTTCTCGCTGCGGCTTCTCGCTGCGGCTTCTGCTGTTGGCGAGTCGAAAATGGTCAGGGACCAACCTCAACCTGTATAGATCCGGTACTTTAGCGGCTGTACGTGTACGGCGGAGTTGGGGTCATCCATCAGGTAGCTGTACGTTGTATGGATACGGACTAGGTACTTTGCGGATGTATGGTTGTATGTAGCAAGATTTGGTATGTTCGGTGTTTCTCGGTAGCGTACTGCCTTATCTGTCATTCTACGTTAGGTACCTTACCTTAGGTAGGCAAGGTAAGGTAGGTAGCCATTCTCTCTCTCCTTGGGAACATAAGGAGGTACCTGCCTGAGTGAACGGACAATGAATTCCCAAATTCCTGAGGCATAGATGATGACTAAGTCACGTAAAACATCTTCCCTTCCTCCCAGCTGTGCGGGGCAATGATCGGAATATTGTTTCTTCGTTTCTCCAGACAAGGAAAAAAAAAAAAACAAAAAAAAAAAGGGCCACCCAGCGGCGCCGTTACAACACCATCAGCCACATCATGAACTTTTCCTACTTCAAGATCCAAGACTTGTGGAATGAGCTGATAAATTGCTATTGAGCTTCCAGATGGAGAAACCGACCCAATTGATTTATTATAAAATTACCCATACAACCGCCCTCGTCGCTGGCCTAATCCTCCTTCTTTCTATTATTCTATATACCTAGTTCTAACAAGGCTGTCAACTCCCCAGCCTCGTGCACTCTTTCTTCTCTCTTCTCTCTCTTCTCTCTCTTCTCTCTCTTCTCTTTCTTCTCTTCCACTCTCCACTCTCCACTCTCGGAGTTCCGGCACTTCCAAGTTCCCACCCCCACCATATCGCACGTCTTTTGCGAGTCCTTCGACGCTATCTTTCTCAGCGGTTGTCGCATCTCCGGAGACTGCACCCTTTAACGCTTCTGCTGGCCAATCAGCCGTCGAGGCCGACCGACTGATAAGGCAAGGCGGAAATGCAGGATGCTGCATACGTTGTATGCCCCATGCCGCCCACTTGGATCTTCCTCGGGTGGCTACGATAAGACGTCTTGTCACTGTCGTGCATCTATCTATGATCTAGATGATCTCGGAGTGTCCCAGCCCCAGTCCCGGTCCCAGATTGACCTTGCTTGCAGTACCGCGGACAACGCAGGGATCTTCTTCACTTCAATGGCCCGCCAATTCACTCGGCATATCATGTACACTTTAATCCTAGTATTTCTATCTCCTCGGAGCTGTTCAATATGCATGATATTGTCTTCTGTCCATGAACCTGAATCACCCTCACCCGACTCCACGGACAGAGAGCCTGAACGCGGGCCCGTGGAGATGTCTTGTCCCGGAATCTTTCGTGTAGGGCGATGGGTTACTCTTTTTGTTTATATTCTCTCCGGGCCTGCCTTATCATGCGTCTTTCCTCCAGATCAGCTGTACGTCGCGACACTCACTTAGACCTTCTGAAAACGAAAACCTCTTGGCCATTTCCCCAGCCATGGCCGTTCTGGGAACCAACTCGTCGTTTGCCCTCCTCCCAACCTCCGTACCGCTCAAATCAGACCTCACCTTCCCTCCTAGCCCGGCAGAAACAATCAAAGGGAGCCGGCCTTCCAGTGTCGATGGAGACGCAGAGGAGCCCAGCGAGCTGTGCCTGTTCGAGGAACTAGATGCCGAGAGGCCCCGGGTGTACCCGCTGCCCCCGCGCTCCCAACCCAACAGCGTACTCCCCGAAGACCTCAAAACCCCCGATAGCCACGTGCCCCGGGATCCAAGGCTAATACGCCTGACCGGCGTCCACCCCTTCAACGTCGAGCCGCCGCTGAGCGACCTCTACGACCAGGGCTTCCTCACCAACAAGGACCTGCACTACGTCCGGAACCACGGCGCCGTGCCCAAGGTCCAAGACGAGGATGTGCTCAACTGGGAGTTCACCGTCGAGGGCATGGTCGAAGCTCCCTTCACCATACCCCTCAGGGACCTCATCGCCGAGTACGAACAAATCACCTACCCGGCCACCCTCGTCTGCGCAGGCAACCGCCGCAAGGAACAGAACGTCGTCCGCAAGACAAAGGGCTTCTCCTGGGGCGCCGCCGGCCTCTCGACCGCTCTCTGGACCGGCGTGTCCCTCGGCGACCTGCTCGCGCGCGCCGTGCCCAAGCGAGGCGCCCGCTACGTCTGTTTCGAGGGCGCCGACAAGCTCCCCAACGGCTACTACGGGACCAGCATCAAGCTCAACTGGGCCACGGACCCCAACCGCGGCGTGACCGTGTGCTACCGCATGAACGGGGAGCTCCTGCACCCGGACCACGGACGCCCCGTGCGGATCATCATCCCCGGCCAGATCGGCGGCCGCAGCGTGAAATGGCTCAAGCGGATCATCGTCACCAAGGAGCCCAGCGACAACTGGTACCACATATACGACAACCGAGTCCTGCCCACCCCGATCGACCCCGAGGCGAGCGCGGACCTGCCCGACGTGTGGAAGGACGAGCGGTACGCCATTTACGACCTCAACACCAACAGCGCCACCTGCTACCCGGCGCACGACGAAACCTTGTCCCTGTCTGACGAGGACGAGGACGAGGCGCCGGAATCCTATGCCGTTCGCGGGTACGCCTACGGAGGCGGCGGTAGACGCGTCACGCGGGTCGAGGTCACACTGGACAAGGGGAAGAGCTGGACCCTTGCCGACATCCGCTACCCCGAGGACGATTACCGCCTCGCCCCCGAAGGAGACACCCTTTATGGAGGTCGCATGGATATGGCCTGGAGGGAGACTTGTTTCTGTTGGTGTTTCTGGCAGCTCGACATTCCCGTCGCCCAGCTCGCCGGCGCCTCCGATATCATGGTGCGGGCCATGGACGAAGGACTGATGGTTCAGCCGAGGGACATGTACTGGAGCGTGCTGGGCATGATGAACAACCCCTGGTACCGGGTGGCGATACACAGACAAGGACGCCAGCTTCGCTTCGAGCATCCCACGCAGCCGGCCCTCATCTCGGGCGGGTGGATGGAGAGGGTCAAAAAAGAAGGGGGCAACCTGTCGAATGGGTTTTGGGGCGAGAAGGTCCAGGGCGATGAGCAGGATGCGGTCGAGCAAGAGCCGCCCAAGGATATCTGCATGACGAAGGAGGGTGTGAAGCGGAGCATCACCATAAACGAGCTTCGACAACACGCCGGGGAAGACGAACCGTGGTTTGTCGTGAATGGGGAGGTGTATGACGGCACGCCGTTCCTCGAAGGGCATCCGGGAGGTGCGGCATCCATCTTTGGGGCCGCTGGTCAGGATGCAACCGAGGAGTTCCTAACCATTCGTGAGTCTGCCTCTGCATATCATTCCATGCATTCATCCATCGGCAGCATGAGCTGACAGTGCGGCGGCTTCTTCACAGACAGCGAGAATGCTAAAGCCTCGATGCCGGAATACCACATCGGTACTCTGGACGAGGCAGGCCGAAAAGCCTTGTCTACAGAGGAAGTCACAACCGACGCCGACGCCGAGGGAGCTCGTGCTATCTTCCTACAGCCAAAGGTGTGGACGAAAGCGATCCTTTCCGGGAAGCGCGCCGTGTCTTCGGATAGCAAGATCTTCACCTTCGATTTGGAGCACGCGGAGCAGCAAGTTGGTCTCCCCGTGGGCCAACATCTAATGATGCGGCTACGCGATCCGGTTACACGGGGGGCCATCATCCGCGCGTACACGCCCATCTCCGAAGGCACCGACAGGGGGAAGCTGCAAATACTGATCAAGATCTACCGAAACACGCCGGACCGCAAGGGAGGGAGCATGACGCAGGCGCTCGACTCGATTCCCGTCGGCCACTTCGTCGACATGAAGGGTCCGGTGGGCAAGTTCGAATACCTGGGCCGGGGGTTGTGTTCCGTCTCGGGCAAGCAGCGCCGGGTCAAGCGCTTCATCATGGTGTGCGCCGGGTCTGGAGTAACGCCCATCTTCCAGGTGTTGCGGGCCGTGATGAGGGACCCGGATGACGCCACTCGGTGTCTGGTTCTCGACGGCAACCGTGCCGAGGAGGACATACTGTGCCGGACAGAACTGGATGCGATGGCCGCGAGCAACCCAGACAGATGCAAGCTGTTGTACCTGCTCACACAGCCTGCTGAGGGGTGGACCGGGCTCCGAGGCCGCATGGATGCCGCGTTGTTTGAGCGGGAAGTCGGGCCCTGTAGAACCACTGAGGGGGACGAGATGGTGCTCATCTGTGGCCCAGAGGCTATGGAGCAGAGCGTCAAGGCCATCTTGTCAGGGATGGGCTGGAAGGAGGAGCATCTGCTTGTGTTTTGAGCGTAGGGTGAATTATTTCATGGGCTGAATAAAGAGAACTCCTCGCTGCATTGCCGCGGACCCTTGTCTCTTTTTCCTATACCATCATTCATCGAGTGAGTAAGATGCCACAACAATCAATATGAGGCAATGCGTTGGTAGATAGATACGGTATGCTACCCTTCGTCCGAGGCGAGGATAAAGCAAAGAGGAAAGCCTGGCTTCATATGGGCCTGGGGGGGTATTGTTTGCTTCAGCTTTTCACAGCATCTCCTTCCTTCTCCATGTTCCCTTGCAGAGCACTCCGGTCCCTCGGCGGCACCGGCTGAGCCACGACGACAGTCTCAATCCCCGCCGGACTATGCTCCTCAGGCCCCATAGGCAGCACTTCCAGATCTATATCCAAGTTCAGCAGGCTCTTCAGGATGACCTGACTACCGGCCTTGCTCATCACCTCGTTAGACTCCATACACATCTCGGAAGCCACGCACTCGACGCAGCCTCGCTCACAGAAACACGCCTCGACCCGCGTCAGGGCCTGCTTCAGGAGGTGGTCAATGTGCTCAAAGGCCTTCGTGCTGATCCCGGAGCCCCCGGCGCCTCCCTTGGCGTCGTAAAACGTCAGCCGGCCCGGCCGCTTCCTCTGCGTCTCCCGCTTCGCGAACTCCTTGAGCGCCACTTTGCATTCGGTGCGCACGTCGCCCGGCATGCTGATGACGAAGTTGGGCATCAGGCTGAGGATGGCGTGCTCCGCGGCGTGGATCGATGCCGCCACGTGCAGTCTCCGCACCGCCAGGATTTCGAGCGCCTGCTTCGGTACGTCGAGCCACATCCCCTTGCCGTAGCGTATAACGGGGGGGTTGTCCACCTGGACGGCATCGATGACGCGCTTCCTCTTGTCTACTTTGAAGAACCCGAAGACGGTTTGCTGTATTTTGATGGTCCCGTAGAAGGCCTTCGAGAGAGACCCCGCGATACGCTTGATGGCCTCCGTCTCGATGGGGTCGATGTCTGTGAAGTCGCGCTGCTGTGTCGTCCATTCCACGTTGACCTTCTCTACGCGAGCGATGCGTCGATCTGGCTGAAAGTCTCGGACAAGATATTTGTTCCCCTGGTGTAAGAAGATGGCCCCGTCGTATACCGTAAACGTAGCCCTCGACGCCTCGAGCTCCTCCAGTACGGTGTTCTTCCCATGTGTGATGTCGATGATGGCAAAGTGCTCCTCCTCGGCATCACGTATAGCGACGAATCGAGAAGGGACGGGACGAAACCTGTCATGGCAGTGGTAGAAACCAGAGACATCCTTGAGCAGCCGCTCATCGCAAACCCGGGGTAGATCAGCACCAAAGTACTGGGCGTCCTCCTCAGGGTTGATGGGCATCTCGTAGGCAGCGCACTGTATGTGCCCTTCCCGCACCAACAAGCTCTCCAAGTCCACCTGGAGCGCAGCATTGGGTTTCGTGAATAGTTCGTCCGGATTCTGCATGTAATATTGGTCCGTCGGGAAACTGTCTCCAACGAAAATAGACAGCGAATCCTTGTTTCTGCGCCCGGCCCGGCCGCTCTGCTGGCGTAGGTTTGCAATCGTGTAGGGAAACCCCCAGGTCAGGACACAATCCAGCGTTCCGATATCGATCCCCAGTTCAAGGGCAGTCGTTGCCACAACGCCGAGCAGCTTTCCCTCGAACATGTCCGATTCGATGCGACGTCGGTCCTGAGCAGTGTAGCCCCCACGATAGCCCATCACCCGGGCCATGCATTCCGGTCTCCCAAGCGACTCCAGTTCCTGCTTGACAGCGTTGACAAGTCTCTCGCATTGTTCACGGACGCGACAGAAGGCAATGGTGCGGACGCCACGGAGAACAAGCTGGCAGAACAACCGGGCGCACTCGAACATGGCGTCTCCGCGTCCACTGGCCGGATCTCCCGGGTCCCGATAGGGGGTGTTCCAGCACAGAAACTCCTTGCGGCCCGAAGGGGACCCGTCAAAGTCGATTAGCCGGACGTTGCCAATGCCGAATACAGTCCTAAAGTGCTCCTCGGGGTTGGCAACTGTGGCCGAGCAGGAAACGAACTGGACGTGTCGGTTTCCCACGGCGGCGCAAATACGTCTCAGTCGTCTCATGATGAAGGCCATATGTGATCCTATCAATCCATTGTAGTAATGCAACTCATCAACGACCACATACTTCAGATTCTGCAGAAAGGTTCTCCATCGTTCCTCCTGAGGTAGAATCGTAATGTGTAGCATGTCCGGATTGGTGAAAATGACCCTGGCTTGTTCCCGTATGGTGTTGCGCTCGGCCATGGGTGTGTCGCCGTCGAATGTCTCCACGAGAAGTTCTTCCATCCCTGGCATGTACGCCATCATGTCTTTTAAGCTCCTCTTCTGGTCCTGTGCCAGTGCCTTCGTGGGGAAGATATACATTGCTCTGGTGTTGAGATCACGTTCGAGGGCGTAGAGGACGGGAAGTTGGTAGATCAGCGACTTCCCGGAGCTTGTAGAAGTTGACACTACCACATGCTTTCCCTGATGGAGACTATTAAGGGCATCGGCCTGATGTGCATAGAACTGGGCGATGCCTTTCGCATTGTACAAAGCATTGACGAGGTCTTGGCTAAGGAGAAAATCCAGGTATCCAATGGCCGCCTCTTGGGCTTCGAAAACCCTGTGACCGTCGGGGACGATCTGACCTGTATACCAGGGGCTGTCTTTGAGCTCCTGCACTATCTCCGGTATGCTTTTCCGTTCGGATGGGATCGTCTCGGGAAGCGTGCCGAGCTCCGGGCCATGAGAGAAATTCTCGGGAACCGAAGGGACGGGAATATAGGCTTCAGCTTCACGTCGCAGGGTCTCGCCGGGATCCAAGTTGTTCGACAGACAGCGATTGAGAAACAGATTGATACTGTTCGCGAACTTCTGGTTCCGTCTCTCAATCAACTGCAGCATTTGCTTCTGACTGTACACCGGCATTCTCAGAGTTTCTTCCCTCAGCTTCCGGTTCGGCTTTGTAGGTTCACCCGTCTTCCTGTCCGGAACCTGACGTTTCAAGTCGCCATCGATGAACTCGATGAAGAGCACCTCCTTCCCACTCTCGACTTGCTCGTCGGGGTGGCGGTCCAGGCTTTCCAGCCCCGATACTCCCCCTATCGAAGCGTCTGGGGCGGGACCTTGTGCACGTAGGCTCTTGGGCCTGCCGGACTTGAAGATTTCATCGCGCTCGCCGCCCCTGATGTCCGTCTGGAGTATGACTTCGTCGACATATGCAAACCTGAGCCCTTCCGGTCTGATTGCAGCAATAGCCGCCACGTCTTCCACAGTTAATGGTTTCCCCGTATGGGATTCGACTGAAGACTTGATTGTGTCGAAAGTCGTGGCAAGATGCTTTCGGGTCCCGCAGAAGGTGACGACCACGTTGACGGCCCGGTGTGTCTTTTCAAGATCCGTGAAGGCCGCCGGCCGTTCAACTGCGGCCTTGGGTTGCTTTCCATATTGAGAGACGGGTTCGCCTCTTGTGGTGGTTACATCATCTTCTTTGCCTGCTACATCCGACTGTTCGTCCAGAGCTTCGTCGGACCCTCGTTTCCGTTTGCCGCACTTTGGCTTTCTTGACAGCGCACTGGCATTACCAGTAAACCGGTCATCCTTTGATGACATTACTTACTAGGGTCAAATCTAAAGTTAGAAAGAAGTCTCGAAACAGCTGAGAGCTGGTAGCAGGCAGTACGATGCTGTCGTCGTTGTCAGCTAGAAACGCCGGTTGCACCCATCGAGCATGCCGCCAAGGATAAAAGAAGCAGGCTGGAGATGACAAGGTTCGTTCAGGCTTCTCGGAGAAGCAAGCCCCATTGCCTGGAAACCAGTCGAAGGGACAAGTTGCGATGCCAACAAGCAAGATGTTTTGCAAGGTTGCAGGTGCAGACCTAAAATGGTGAAATCCACGGTGGACGTGACCTGATATTTACACGGACCACGGGATGAACGCCAAATCACGTGTCACTATTTCCGTACATTACATAAGCGCTTCGAGTCTCCAAGTTGGACACGAATCAAAAAGGGGAACACCATTTTCCAGGTACCTACCTAAGTCGTACATGAACATCTGATTATATTGACTACACTCCGCAGGCCTTCTGCGATGCTATGGTATATGCTGTCTTGCTTTTCTGCCATACATATGGCACCAGGAAGATCGGACAGCTGCACTCACTGTCCATGTCCCAAGTGTAAGCTACACATTCGATGGCTCCTATTAGTAACACCAACCACGAGGAAGCAGAAGCAGACCGACCTGCCATCCCTCGCGATTCTGAACTCCGTACAAGACAGTCAGGAGACAGCCAACAAACAGCCAGACATTGCCCAGTCGCCCAGTTCCCCTTGATCGGAAAACGCGAAGAAACCCTCCGCCCAAAAGGTGATCCCTCGCTCCACCAGCTCGTGCGTATTTTCATAGACCATTGCATTCGTTACCGGACAACTCCCCGATTGTAGACTTCGATTGCGTGCCAGCCCCCGTATCTCCAGTCTCCAGTCGCGTGTGGGAACCAACTTGGAGAGTAGGCGTGTCCGCTAAAGCCCGGTGAGCGGTAGTAGCTTACATTCCAGCTAGTTCTCGCTGAATGATACTGATCTCATTCAGGAAGCTCTTCGCACTTGCAGCGCTCATCTGTGAAATCTCGTAAGCATACGAATTGACTCTTGAACGAAACGGGCGGGCGATAAACTGGGGGTCTTACCCGTGCCTGGACACTGGTAGGCTTGGCCTCTGCCCCTTCAAACGCGGTGAATATGATGCCGACGGCCTTCATTCCCGCCTTTTCCTTGAACACCTGCGCCGGCAACATCACTGTGTTCAACAACACGCGATGCGTGTTGTCCTGTCTCATGAGAAGACGGACCACCTTACGCTTTTTAGTTCCTCCTTCGTTATCCTTGTCCTCGCCATCCTCGTCATCCTCCATGCACGAGGCGTCAAAACTTCCTGGAACCGGATTACCGTCTTCGAAATCGACACATGCCTCGGGAACGTTGATTTTGAGCATGCCCGAGCCCCGTTCCTTCCAGCCGGCTTCCTTGTCTAAGTAGTAGATCTTGGCTCGAACCGCCAAAACAGTCGCTTCGCCAGCCTCGCCATCGTCGACAGTCACTAGTAATCCTCGTCAGCATGACCATGACCCTACCAATGGAAAGAACACGACGGAATTTCAAAAAAGAAAAAAAAAGAAGAAAAAAAGAAAAAAAAAAGCAAATACCTCTGTGTAGTTTCCTCTTCTTCTCTTCGGCTCTTTTAACCTCTTCCTTGTCCGAATCATCCTTGCCCTCTTTGTCATCGGCTTCCGACTTGTTGGACTCGTCTTCACCCTCTTCGCCGTCGTCGCTGGCCTCTTCGGCATCGCTTTCCGGAGCCCCAAACGGTTTAGCCGGTTTAACGCTCTTGAAGGTTTCTCCAGGCTTGGCAAAGCTCGTGAGGGCCTTCCCGGACAGAGCACTACTACCAAATCCGCCACCGCCGCCCAACACAGAACCGAATCCGTTTCCGCCGGTCTTGGCGCTCGCGAAGGGTGACGAGCTGCTTGAAGAACCGAAGCTCAGGGTCGGAATCGGTGCCGGAGCGGCGGGCTTTTGTGGTGAGGCCGATGATGCGAATGGCGAGGCGGAAGCTGCGGGTGATCCGAAGACGCTCGTCTTACCCGCGGCGCCGCCCAATGCGCCGAATGGAGAGGCGGTGGAGAATGCTAGCTTCGCGAAACCTGAGCTGGCAAAAGCTGAGGTGGAGGGTTCTGAACTCCCGTCTTTTCCTTTCTCTTTACTTTCGGCGGCTACGGTGGTGGTCTTGTCGTCATCCTTTTCGATTGTAACGGTAGCGTCCTGACGATGAACAAAAAGAGTTTAGATAAACGCAGCTTCTTTCCAGAAAGAGAGAGAGAGAGAGAGAGAGAAAAAAGGAAGGAAAAAACCAGGGAATCTTACGGAGGGCTTCGCCGACGGCTCAGCAGATTCTGTCTCCGTAGTCACTTCATCTCGGGCTCGCTTCTTCTCTGGCTCTAATCTCGCCGCACGGTCCTTGGCCGAATCCGAAGACGCAACACTCTTAGAATCGCCCTCCTCGAGTGCCCCGTCGTCTTCTACTTGATCGCGCGCTCGTTTCTTCTTTGGAGACGAAAGCTGGTCCATGAGCTCTTCCTGGCTGCTGTCAGGTGTCGTGCGGTCGGTTTGGGCGGGAGCGCCGGCGGTCTTTTCGGAGATGACGGTTTGTTTGAGTTCCTTCCGCGCAGCCGCAGTGTCTGCGTCTTCCTCGGGCTCGATAGGCTGGGATTTGGGGTCGGCGGTGTGGTGATCGTCCGTCATGCTTACGGTGGGTGAGAGAGTGTAGGTTCGCCCCGAAGTATTGCTATCTCAAGGACCAGTATTCGTAATATGTGGGTGGCGACCAGAAAAAAGAGCTATTCAGGCACGAATTTTCGGTTTACAGTTTTGTTGAAAAGAAGTCGAGTACTGTCAGATGCTCTATCAAGTCACCAGCGGTAAACTGAAGGAAGCTGCGACTAGACTTCTTCAGTTCAGGTGATGGGGATGGCTTAGGAGGAGTTGCGTTGTAGCAATGGAACCAATCGGAGCAGCCGTGTTCGCGTCTTTCAGCCCAGTGGGTACCTACCTTATCAAAGATATCTTGCTGATAAGGCCTTCTACCGAAAGCCGCAGGGCAGACTATTTCAACTTTCAAAAATCCCCAAAAATTTCATAGGCAGACGCCTATACAGTGGTGTAAAGACTCGTATATAGTGGTACGCTAGTAGTAGGTAGAGCACTTTAGTAGTATAGCCCTAGGCTAGCTAACTAATCAGAAGCCTAGAAATTTTTTCGTGCCCCTATACTACTATAACGCTACGCTACACTAATCTTAGTTTCCTCTCTAGATAACTAATAACGAGTCAGGTAAATAACCCTACCTACACCCTTATACAGAGCTATAGTATTAAATCAAATATCGGGATTCGATTCTATAGGGTTAGATCTACTAGTATCTTTATTTTTAAAGCTATTTTATAAGTTACAGTTATATAACTTTATATAGGTGGCCTAAGCAGTTAGCTAACTATAGCGAAATATAGTATAGAAGTATATAAATCTAAATAGACGAATATATATAAAATCCGTACTATAGCCGCTAATAATACTACCTCGCTATAGGTATACTAGCTACACGTTATTAATAGCGAGGAACTACCCTCTACGCCGGTAAAATAGCCCTCCGGTATTAAGGGCACGTAACTAATAGCCTACGTACTAGACTATACGTATCTGTGTACTACTATAGGATTAGGAATAAGCTAATAATAACCTAGTAATTAAGATAGGCTACTCGCGTAATATTACTAGATATATAGTAAAGAAGAAGCCTTAGGTATATATATATATATTTCTATATAGTACTGTATACTAATATATAAGATAGATCCAGCGAGGTATCGTACTTTAGCTTAAGTACGAAAAGGCGGGCGAGCTTAAATTACCCGAATTTAATATGAAACGCCCGTAAGCTATCTCGGGTCTTTTTATCCAGCTATTTAGGCAGGAGTAGTATAAGGACGACCGCTACGATAAATACCTCGACGAGCGCGGTAATTTAAAGGGCTGCGTTACCCTAAAAGGCTCTAGTAACGGCGCCTACGGTGACTACTAGAGCGGCTCCGAGGGAGCTAAGTATTCGCTATATAGTACGTTAACTTATAGCTTCATATAGCCCTGTATAAGATAGTACTAATTAGGATATAGTAGCGAAAAATAAGAAGCGCCGCGCCTCTAATACGGAGGATACTAACGGGATTTCAGGCCCTGATATATCGCCCCGTAGCCTGCGCGAAATGGCGAGGTGGCTAGCGGAGGAGGCAGATCGCCGTAAGTTACTATTCCGACCTTTATAGAGCTTTATAGACGTTTACTAACCTATACGTTAAGGGGAAAACAAGTAAATTTTTTTTTAGGGGGTTTTTTTTTATAAAGAAAAAAACCCTATTGTTTAGCTACTCTAGTAAATAATAATACCTATTTAACCTTTTAAAAATAAACCTTTATAAATATATATATATATATATATATATATATATAGTTGTAGATTATATATATATATATATAATATAAGAGAATGTATATATATATATACTATATAGTTAAGTCCTTTATATTTTAATATATTAATCTTTTTTTAATAAAGGATTATTTAGATATACTAATATAGTAATTATGAACTAATAATTTCTATATAATATAAATCTTATAATCCTAACTAATTTTACTAATCTAATTCATAAAATATACTATACTAATAAGGTAATTTATAGCGCTAGCTATAATAGATATTGAAAGGGAATTAGTTTATTAAGTACCTTAGATTTATCGTAAAGTAATAGGACTATAATAAGGTCTTTATAGAATCTATGCCTTACTAAGGAATTTAAACCCTTAGAATTAGGATATAATAGTAGTGGATTATAAGGAAAGACTAAACAGGATTTAAATAATATAATACCTATAATAGAGTCTATACTACCTAAAGTAAGGGTATAATAGACTTACATAGATATAACTTAATATAATCTATTAATATAAGATCTTTATTTAATTAAGGTTAATATAGTAATACTATTTAAATATATAATAGCTATAAGCGCGGTTTATAATACCTAAATAATAGATATTAATACGGCTACTATATTCTATTATAAAACAAATCACGGCTTATAAGTATTCTTAATGAATAACTATTAATATAATTGGAGTAATAAGGCGATTAATTAACTTACCTACCTATTATTGAATATATTAATTAACCTATAACTAAAGATCGTTTTTAATATATCCAAGGCCGAATAAAAGCCTATTACTACTCTTATTAACTAGAAGGATTAGGTAGTATAGGAGCGCGCGATATATAGTAAATTCTTTACCTCCTAGGATAACTATCCTAGTACTAAGCTAAGCGATAAGGAGGCGAATACCTACCTACTACTTAAGCTAATATTACTTAATATCTATAATCTATTCGGCTAAGACCTTATCGTGATTACTACTACTATTATTATTACCGATAATAAAAAAACAAGACGATTACGTATAAGAAGACTATAGTTATAATAAAAGAATAACCTATTTAGAGTATCCCTATATTAATCGGCGACCTATTTAATAAAGTACGTATATACTACTTATAAGCTTATTATATATATTATACTAAATAGGATAACTATAAAGTATACTAGAAGAAGTTTAATAAGGTACGCTTATTTATTCGAATAATAATTAGTATCATATTATGGAACGTCCTTGTATAGCTATATAACGAAGACGTAAATAACTCCTAAGTATAAGTACCCGTCTTTATAGGTAAGTAAAACTAAGCCATATAGATCTTTATAAGGATACCCTAGCCTTATACTAATAGGATGCTATATCTTTAAATATAATACCTAAGAATATTAATGCGTAGGTTATAAGCTAGAAAATAGCGATAATATATTATAAGTATATGGGCGTTTTAAACCTAATAAGCGCTTATTATTAGTTCTAAAATACCCTAAAAGCTTTTAGACTTATCGCCTAGAAATAGAGTATTAACTATATATTAAAAAAGTATAATAAGATTATAAAAAGTAAACTAATAACTAACGACTTTATCAAGACTTTATAGGCCGTAGTTAAGAGTATAAAGGCCTTTAGTTTATTACCGTAAAGCCTAGGACTAAAAGAGGCACTTTTAATATTCTTAGATACCTTTTTAGAACTAAAGATACTACTATAAATAATAAAGATAAAGATAATAAGAGACGGTGCTATAATTATACGCTTATAAGTATTAGATACCTATAGTAGTGGTTATAATATGTCCTAGATATAAACCTATTAGGGTTTAGCCACCTTCGGTCTAAGACCTTTTAAGGTATAATTAAAGTAGTTATTATATAGTAAATAGAATAGCGTCTTAAAGTAAATAAAGTAGTCCTCGAGGAGTAGCTAAGGGTAGTAGAGCGTAGTCTTAAGGAGTAGAGAAGCCTCCCCTTTTAAGAGGGAGGCTAGCGATTAATGTAATTCTTTAGCTACCCTTATACCTAGACCTATTACTTTCCTTATCGTGATCCTCTTATAATCCTATTTAGTTCCTTATCTAACTCTACCTTTTTACTCTTTATAATTACCTATTTAATATAAAGGCTATCTCTTTTATACTAAGGAGACCTTATAAGATCTATAGGAAACTCTATACTATATATACTTACTAATATATAAGGCCCTATATATGTCTTTATAACTAGAAGAATTATAGAAATATTATAAAGGTTATATAAAGAAATTATATACCTATAATGCTAATAGCCAGGTAAAGAGCGTAATATAAAAAAGATATAAAGATATAGCTATTACTATAAATTATAACTATTACTATAAATAGAATAAAGAAGGGATAAGAATAATAAGTCTATAATACTTTACTTATTATATATACTATATTATAAAATTGGCGCGTTATCTAATTTAGTAGCCTAGTAAGATCTATTAAGCTAAATAGCCTCGTTATAATGATAGTATAAGTATTACCTAGGTAGAGCTTTAATACCTTTAATAGGAGATAATTAGGCTTTTACCCTATTAAAATAAGACCACGCTCTTATATTATAAGGAAACTATTACGAATATTATCTCGGAATACTAGTTATATTAATAAGGCTATCGCTAAGATATAATAAATAATACTATTATTAGTACGGTTAATAACTTACCTATCTATAAACTGTTAGATATCCACGGTTAGTATATAATTAAATATATAGTACCTATAGCTATAATCACTATATTTACGATTTTACCTTAGTATCTATATAATACCCTATAAGAAAGACTATAATAACCGCGGTAATTGTAGAAGACTATAATATAAGGGTAGTATGAATGCCTTTACTATTATAGTATATATACCCTTATAAGGCTTATTATCGCTACCTCGGAGGTAAGGATTAAAGGATTATATACCGCTAAGGATAATATATATATATATATATATATATATATAATCGTAAATAGCTATATAAATTTAGCGAATACTATTCCTTTACCTATTAAAACCCTATAAGGCCCTAGTTATTAACTTCTATAATAATAAAGAGGTAGGGACGCGTATAGACAGCCTATATAAGGCTATTATAGATATATTTACTATATATAGAAATAATACCTATATAGAAACAATTAAGGCTTTATTTCTTATAGATTAAAAGACGTTTTTACCCTATTTAAGACCTAGTTTAATATTAAGCTATTTATTATAAAGGTAAACTCCGAAATACTTTAGTATCTAGAAGTTAGTATCTTCCTTAATACTAAGCGGGTAGAATAATAGCTATTAGCACCGTACTTATAAGACTAAAACGGTATTATAAAATAGATTTAAGGTATTATTAAGAGATAGGCGAGGGCTATAAGAAGTAGAGCTAGCCTACTAATATTTATCTAGTCTAAGATCTTTAATACTGCTATTAATTTATATAATAAAACCCTATAACATCTTAACGGATAGAAAATACTATATAAAGGCCTATATAGTAATTACTCTAATCTTATATATCTATATATATATGGCTATAAGGCCTTTATAAAAATATATAATATCTATTAAATAGATAGTCGTAAAGAGTTAAAAGGTAGGGTTAAGTAAGGAACCAGGTAGGATTATAATATCAAGGAATAGGCTACAATACCAGGGAAAAGGTACACCGTAGCAGATAATACTATTAGGCTTCATAGTCGTATATTTCTTAAGACTATAACTTAAGGGAAAAAAGGGGATTTTTCCCTCTACGCTAACGTGGCGATTCTAAGGTTTTCGCCGAATACTCGGCGGCCTAAGCGTATCTCCGACTATATATAGTGCGAATCTATAGTGCTACTCCGTTCCTTACACTGCCCCCTCTTTAACGGGGCTAGTCCCTTAGGCCCGTTTTAGCCCCCTTAGTAGGTCCACGTGATTTAGCCTTATGCGGCGCTTATTATCCAGTTAACGATTTTAATTAGTTCCTGTTATAAGGCTTCCTAACCTCCTTCTATAATATCGTGACTTTCTTCGTGTTAGCCGAGTAATCGATAAACCGTTAACGGTATAAACGCGTGGCTAACTCGCTTACCTATTACGATTCCTATTCTAACGTCCCGCGTAATAGTCGGCGATTACTTACCGTGTTTTCTAATATCGCGCTTATCGCTATTTCTTTCTTTATTATTATAGTATATATTATTACTAAATTTACGGTTACCGTTCTGTATACTTATCTCTTTTTTAGCCGGATTCGTAATTAAGGCGACTATTCGCCGCGTAGATAAATTTTCCTTATTCCCTCTTATAGTTATTTTCCTCTTCTTTTCCTCTTCCTTACATAATCCTTTATTCTTTATATTATATTCCTAACTTAATTATATTATCGAATAATCGCCGTATAACTATTTTTATCTTTATTTTTATCTTTATTCCTAGTTATATTTAGTTTTTACTATTAAGTATTCGGGAATATATCGCTTCTACCTAGTATAACTCGAGAGCCTCGCTCTTTACCGTATAATACCGATATTAGGTTTATTATCGGTCTTTCGTAGCCTTCGGCTACCGTTCTTATCGGGTTAATTAGATATTAGCCCTATACTACGCCTTACCAGTTTAAAATATAGTAATAAGCGTTCTACCCTATACCTACGTCTAAGCGATAGCCTCTAGTACGTAAACTACCTTAGTCGATTCCGTATACTCCTACTTTAGTCGTGGGGGAGTATCTCCGATTAGGTTAATAACGGATTCGTCGGTATAAGGGGGCGTTAACTCTTTTTTAACCTATAAAGTTTTAAACCAGGGTGCCTTATAAGTCGAGTATACTACCTAGTTGGGATTAGTATTAAAAAGGATTATATAATAGACCTTTAGCTTTAGGCAGATAAGGACTACCGCGGGCGTTATCGTGTAGGCTCTTATATAACGGTTAGTATAGATATATCTTCTAAGAAATTTCTACTATCGTTATATAGATATATACAGGACTATATAGAGGCCCTTTTTATATATACCCTAGTACCCCGGTTAATTACATCTCCCTATATCTATATGCAAATTATACTATAAGGTAAAAAAGGTCTACGGTCCGGGTGAATATAATGATTTATAATTACTATTTTTAGAAGTTGAAACAGTCTGCCCTGCGGCTTTCGGTACCTTCTCTCATTTCAGATGTACCTTGGGTACCTGTGACAGAGCCGTCAAAGGAAATTACGAAGTAATTACTTGGTATGACTTCGTTGTGTGGTGACACAAAGTGCGACACGCGAAAACCAGGTGCCGTGAGGACGAATAGGTGAGTACCTTACCTTATACGAAATAGAGGTGAATGACTCCCTGGTACGGATAATTGAGCAATGCCTTGAAGTACAGGGTAGATTCAAGAACAAAAGCCAACAAACAATGTTCTGAAAGCTTGAGAAGTGACAAGTTCTCGTCGCTGAAGGCGGCATTGAGACGTAACATCTGTGGATTGAAATGGAAGCCCTTTTTGGATTGTAAAAGAATACAAGTTGCCCCCCGCCCCCCGGGCAGCAGCAGTGATGTTGCCTCGCAGCAGTAGCCGTGTCATGGTCATGCCATCATACTGGCCATTTCCCAGCTATTCCAATTTGCCTTCTCCGAGGCATTGTTCATAAACGGTAAAATCGCGGGGTCTTTGTAGGTTCTTTAACTGATGAAGCAGAGACAACCCAGGCCAAGGTAAAACACGAGAAGGGGGTAGACTGCGATGGCCACCCTGTTCTTGACCACACCGCTACCGCCCAGAATGCTAACACCAGCAGCCAGAGACCAGGCAACCAGGAAGAGGTAAACAGGGATACGGGCGACGGTGGGGATGCCAAGCGCAGAAAGTAGAGCCGCGATAACGAGAGGGAAGAGCGTGTAGCCGATGATACAAACACTCTGAGCAAAGGAGCTGCGGTCATCATGTCAGCACGATTGGTTTGTGGTTTCAAAGAAGACAAGCAAATGAATCCAAGGAAGAAAAAAAAAGACAAAACATGGAAAGTTCAACTTACATGCTCCCGCCCAGAAGCTTGATCTGCAGGGTAACAACAGCCTCGCCGATCCAAACCATGGCAAAAACGCCACTGAAGACAACATCCTTCTGGTCCGCGCGAGCGTTGAAGCTGAGCAGCAAGCTCAGAAGAAGGCAGAAGATGAGCGGGCCCCAGAGATCCCAGTCCCGCAGGCCGGACGTCATGTTATTCTGCGACAACAGGGCCTCCGAGTCCATGAACCGGTTGGCGAGACCGGTAATCTCTTCCCGAGCGCCCGCCAGCCCGGCACCGCGGATATTGGCGTACGCGCCGCGCAGCCCGTCGGCGTCGAACATGGTCCCCCCGAGCAGGTATTTGGGGTACAGCACCTCGCGCATCTTGGCCCACACGGCGAGCAGGTCGCGGCGCAGCGTCTCCCAGACCGATTCGTCGATGGTGTTCTGCGGCGCCGACCTGTCCTCTCCTGGTATACGGGACGTCCATGCGCTCTGGTTGAGTGGCCGTGAGGAGGAGGACGACGATCCGCCGCCGGGTGCCGAGCCAATGTTGCCTGTTAGGGGTTGGCGGGAGGTTTGGTGTCCGAGAGGGTCGTCGAAATCATTGATGTCGGCTGCATGCAAAGACGGAAGACATTAGTCAAGCAGTTGCTTCATAAGTTGACAATTTCTGTTTCGACAGGAGGTTCGACATACCGTCATCTGGGTCGATCAGGCCATCGTCATCTAGGGAAGGGTTCGCATAGTTGTCTCTTGAGCTGGCGCCTACCATCTTGACGCACAAGACAAAAGGTCGTCGCCAAAGGGTTCACGACGAATTCTTATCTCGGTAGATTCTCACTGAAAGCTCAAGAGAAGACCACAATGATCCAAGCAACGTCGTGTTGAGTTCTGTTGAAATTGTAGCGATTGGAAGCCTGGTGTTGAAATGCTAAAGGTAAGGTAGCTACCTACGTACAGCACTCGCACCTATTGACGTAGCAATTGGGCATGTCTCAAGGCTCCACGGTAGCCTCAACAGGATAAGTTACCTTATTATTAGGGTACATAGGTACAAGTACTTCGTACCTCAGTACGTGACATGTACCGAAATGGCGTTAAGGTGGCCCAAGCTCTGAGGACTTGGAAATGAATGGACATTCCCCAGTCCGTCTACCGTATGAAATTCCCCTACGTCCCATCTCCGAATTTCACTGACCGATCACTTCAAAGAGCATTCAAGAGTTTCAACAGTTAGGATAATTAGCAGTTATACTGATACTTAATTCATATCACTGGGCAACAAAGCGCCAAATACCAACGTTCGCCCTTTCTTCTCTTTCTTGTCTTGTTTGGAAAACATGAAGAACCAGCCCAAATCACTGATACCTTGATAAGAAACGCCATTACGCCGACCACCACAACGCCTTCAACGTCTTGATAACTCTTCATAGCCAGAACGGGTTCTATTCTATCCTCCCAACCCCGTTGAGTCGCAAGTAGACGTCGGTGCCCCAACCGTAGAGGCTCTGCACCGCGATGCCACCCCCGAAGTATTCGGCATAGGCCCGGCTAAGAGGCAATCCGTATCCCAGGCCAGCCAGGGAACTGCCCCCCGCATTGGCGTTGGAAATAGCTGCCAGGCCATCGAAGTTGGTTTCAGAGCCGTACCCACTCGGGAAGTCGTCGTCGACTGTGGTAAAAGAATATGACCAGATGTCGGAGAGCACCTCAGGGGCGATGCCACCGCCGCGGTCCCGGATCCGGATCGTCACGCCGGGGACATTGTCGTCGAGTGGTTTAATGTTGTCGCTTTTAAAGATACCGCGTTCCGCCTTGGGAACTTCAAGGCGGACGGGATCGTCGTATCGGGGTGGCTCGGGTGCGATGGTGACGACGACAGGCTCCTTGTTTGTTCGGTTCTCTGCAGAAGCACGGAAGGAGTTTTTGAGAAGCTCAGTAATGATGTATTCTAAGTGCATGGGAATGAAGGCAAAGGCGGTGTCCGGATCGCCGTCGATCACCACCTGAGGCCGGATGCCGTAGCGTAACTCGCAGATCTCCGCGACGAAGTCCGCGCACGAGTTCACAATGTCGGCAGGACGGAGGGCCGTATCGATGACTCCCACGTACGATGGATGTTCCGGACAAGGCGTGGGGCTCGCGGCAGGGTCGAAATGAGGCTGCGACGAGTAATGGAGAGCAATGTGCTGTTCGGCGATGAGCCTGGTGCCAATACGCGCGTGAAGGTGGTGGTCGAGAAACTGAGCCACATCGGCTGGCGATATGTACCGACGGCTTTCGCGGAAACCTTGGGCGAGTGTTGGAATTGTATTCGTGTGGGTAGTCACGAGCTCGGCAAGCACTTCCGTGAAGCGTATTTCGTCTTCGAGGGTACGGACCGCGTTCTTGCCTTTCTGCCACCAGGGTAGGAGTGTGGTAAAAGAGTGTACATAGTTGCTGTAAATCTTTTCGATGTTGGGGTTCGACACGACAATGAACGGGAGCCTTCGTAACGCCTGGATTCGGTGGGCGAGCCGGATGGGAAGGAGGGAAAGGGTGAAGTTGGCAGAGGACAGAAGGGATCTTTCGCTCAGCGGAGGTCGGCCATGCCTACGGGTTGCCTTTGTTAGCACAATACCCCTTTTTCGAAGACGGGGGCACGAGAAGATAAGGAGAGCAAGGCGGGAGGAAGTAGGCATCCAAATGCTTACTTGACTAGATCGGCGAGACTCAATGGGTGTTGTTTCTCGCTAGCCAGGTGGAGAACGTCGGAAACGTCGAGCTTATCGACTTTAGTTGACAGTTTCTGTCCTGTTCGGTAGAGGGAGTGGGAAAACTGCCTATAACCGCAGTGCGAGCTCCTTAGCAAGCTGGGGAGGCATCGATGCCTTGATGGAGCTGCGAAGCTTCGCATGGCGGCATTGTGCTGTCAAGACAGGACGTGTGGGTGAGGTGTCGGACTTGCTGCGGGATTGGAAGACGGATGTTACTTTGTGATACACGAAGACCTGAAATACGTGTAGAGGAGGGATGTCGGCGGATGATATCATCCAATAAGGTACCATAGGGGTCGGTCGCCTCAACAAAGTAATTGCATCGTATTGGTTATGGGGCCTGCAGAATGACGGGTGGGTGCCGTAAGAAGGTCCAGTGGCTTAATTACTCTGCAGCTTTTGCCGATCTAAGCCGATGGCACCTGGGGGTACGAACTCGAGGCAACCAGGAGCGGGGGGTCGCCCCGCACAGTCGCGGCCCAAGTCTACTTCGTACTTAGCCCGTGTTACAGCACCTAGGACTCAGTAAGATAGTGCTGCAGGCGGCCTCTCCCTTTACCGTGTACGAATCGTGCCAGCTTGATACGATTCGGGCCTTTGTTGTACGGTATTCGTAGGTCTTCCGGGCCTCATTACGGGATCACGGTAATTTCACGTGAGACTAAGAAACATGAGGCGTCGGTGGAATTGTCAATTATAGAACACCAAAAAAGTCACGCCGAATCGTCAGTGTTCAGCAAACACCATGTCCGGGAATGAGGCGTCCTAAGTATTGACACGAAGCAGGAATGAAGCAATATAACAAGAAATTGATTTCCATTATTCGGCTGTGTGGGGTTCAAAGACGCAGTAACGAAAAACCGAGTACATAAGACAGCCGCCCGTAATCATCGCGCCAAGCTGACGGGGTCAAAGGACCAAAATCGGAAAACCAGTCTAGTAGAGCTTGACTTCCTGATCCGCTTCAACTGCATCAATGTGCTCATGCTCCTCGAGAGTCCTGATGGAGTCGCTGTCGAACGTGACACTTAGAACCATGACAAGGGTCAGTCCATGGCAGAAGATGGGTAGGACGGGTGTACCTAAGGTGGCTATACTTACGAAAAGCCCTTGATTAGGGAGTATTCGTGGCCGATTTTGCCGCCCTGATCGATGGCATGCTGCTTCGCACTGAGGGTTGATGTTTAGCGACGATATGTCCGTTCCATCTGGAGGGGGATGATACTTACGCCTGGACCTGCTCCGGGGTGGCATCCTTCTTGCAGGTGACCTTCAGGGACAGGTTAGCCTCCAGTCACAGACACAGCGCTTCTAGTCTGAGTTGTTCCTCACGATGTATGTGTTAGGCATTTTGTTAGGTTGGGGGGGAACTTTAGAAGCCGAGGATATAAGTCGCTGTCGTGGAGGTGAACGTATAGTTGCTAGTTGGTTTACTGGAGATGGTAGCGTTTATGATGGTGAGTAGCGATGGACTTGGGATGTGGAAGGGGCCAAAGGGAACTACTTATAGAGTGCCGACAAGCAGCACGTTTCATCGCAAGTTACCTACTCCTACCTACCTTAGGTACCTAGGTAGGTAGGTAGGTAGGGTAGGTATGTACCTGAGATAGGGGGGCAAACCAGGTTCACTGCGCAGTGCTCAGTACGCGTTAGTTACCTATTGCAACATCCCTTCGTTCGTCACGCAGCTGGACGAAGACACGCTATTCTCAGAAAGGGTCTACTCCATACGCCTCAAGTAAGGTACCTCACAGAGTAGTAACCTGACGTCTGCCCGAGATACTGCTTTCAGGATATAATTACCAAGTCGAGGGGTACTCGAGTTTGAGTCGGCATTCCCAATGCCCCGCCGGTCTCCGAAGCTCTACGTCATGAGCCGATGCGGGCATTTCTTGCAGACTACGCCATCTTCGATAAGCACGCGGCACCCTTGAATTTTCTGTCAGAACCAGCTACCTGTAGGTAAAACTACCTATCTCTGCTGCCTGCGTGTGGGTCCATACATCACATCACGTATGCAGGTAGGGTGAATATCGTTCTACTAGGCCAAATCACATGAAAAAGGGTGTGAGTAAGACCCCTCTCCCTCCCATTTGCCGCCGAAGCTCACTGCGTAATCGTCTCTCTAACGCAAACAAAATTTTGGCCATGAGAGCAGTCAACTGGATGCACTCGAAGACTTATTGGACTGACATTCCCATGTCCTGCCGTCCTGTAGATGTTACGTGCCTTGAATATTTGGGGTGAAGAGAGTGCATGTATTATACCTACATACGTACACACAGAGTGGAAGAGATGAGGGGGCGGGGCAACGTCCATGCAGCCGACGATAAGTCAGCAGAGATAAGATAATGGGACAAGTTGCGATAAGATAAGATAACATTCCTATCGCAAATTTTATGGACGCTCTCTCCAAGAGGAAAAAAAAGTACAAGGTTCATCAACAATCGAGTAGGCGCATCCTTAGAATCGGCTCAACATCTGCGTGCAAAGCTCTGACACTCTTGTCACCATGGAGCAGCAGGTGCATAAGCCCCATAGGAAGGCGAAAGAGAAGAAGAAACATACGGGCGGTAAGTCAGCCTACTGCAATTGTCTTTAGTATGGCTTTACTAACCCGAGAGTGCCTCCAGATCGCAACCCCAAAGCTTTCGCCTTTAACGCTCCTGGAAAACTCCTCAAACAAGTCGCCCGATCCTCTGATGTACGGCAAATTCTGAGGTTCCGGATTGTTGCAAGCATGAACATGAGTCGCTGACGCATTTCTTGTCTAGATCAAAGAAAAACGCCTCCATGTTCCCCTCGTCGATAGATTGCCTGACGAGCCGCCTCCAAGGCTCGTCACCATCGTTGGACCCCCCGGAGTGGGAAAGACGACGCTGCTGAAATCACTGATCAGAAGATATGCCAAGGAAACCATCACAGACCCTCAGGGGCCCGTGACGGTGGTCACCTCCAAGAAGCAGCGGTTAACCTTCGTCGAATGTCCCGGCGAACTCGAGGCTATGGTCGACATGGCCAAAATCGCCGATGTGGTTCTACTCATGATCGACGGAAACTATGGCTTCGAGATGGAGACGATGGAGTTCCTCAACATCCTCGCCGCGACCGGCATGCCAGGCAATGTCTTCGGCATTCTCACACACCTCGACCTGTTCCGCAAACCCCAAGCCCTCAAAGAAGCCAAGAAGCGACTGAAGCGCCGGTTATGGAGCGAGCTATACCAGGGCGCCCACCTCTTCTATCTCTCCGGCGTCCTCAACGGCCGCTATCCCGACCGCGAGATTCACAACCTCTCCCGCTACCTTTCCGTCATGAAGAACCCACGTCCCCTCGTGTGGAGAAATTCACACCCATACACGATTGTTGATAGTTACCGGGACGTCACACATCCGACCAAAATAGAAGAGGATCCCATGTGCGACAGGACGGTCGTATTTTCAGGATACCTGCGAGGCACAAACTTTGCCGCGCAGGGACAGAGGGTACACATTCCCGGACTCGGCGACTTTTCCGTCTCCACCGCTGAGGTCTTGCCGGATCCTTGCCCTACCCCTGCCATGGAGCAGGCTGCTGCCAAGCTCACCGGCAAAGCCCCGCGACGCCGGCTCGACGAGAAGGACAAGAAACTACACGCGCCCATGTCCGACCGCAGCGGACTGAAAATCGAGGGGGATGCCATCTGGATCACGAAACAAAGGGGCTTCACATTCGAAAAGGATGCCGACGTGGAGCGGGGAGAGGGCGAAGAGATGATCATAGATTTGCAAGGAGAGCGGAAGCTTCTCGGCCAGACCGACGAAGGCGTGCAGCTCTTCAAAGGCGGCGAGCAGATCAAACGCGTGGACGACGAGGACGAGCAGAATACGGGGAGGAAAACCCACCGGAAACCACGGTTGGCACAGCGCGACGACGACGACGACGGCTCGGAAGGAGAAGGACCTGAGGACGAAGGGTTTGTCAGCGGGGACGACGAAGGCGACTCGGAAGTCGAGACCGAATTTGACGAGGCGAAGCTGGGCAAGCTCTTCAAATCGGATGCTGACAAGAACGGCGCCGACGAAGATGTCGCTTTTGCCGAGAGTGATTCAGACCTCGGCTCCATGTCGGGTTCGGACAACGATTTCGACGACGAGTGGGACGGTGAAGATGACGATCTCGGTGACGATTTGGGCTCCGACGAAGAAGCCGCGGCGTTGAAGTGGAAAGAGAACATGGCAGAGCGGGTGAAGAAACTGCACAAGAGACGTTCATACTACACCCCGGATCTCGCCAGGTTTCTCTACGATGATTCTTTGACCCCTAAGGAGTTGCTGAAGAGGTGGAGAGGAGACAACGACGACGAGGAAGCGGAAGAGGAAGACATCGAGGCCTCGGACGATGAAGAGTTCTTTAAAAAGGCCAAGCGCGAAGACGAGGACCTGGTGGAGGACCGGTCGATACCCCAGTATGACTACGAGGATTTGGCAGCGAAATGGTCCTTGGAGGAAAACGTCGAAGCGCTACGAAAGAGATTCACCTCGACAGCGTTATCGCGAGAGAACGGGGCGGGGGGCGGCGACGAAGATGACGAATTTGAGGGCATCGAGGACGAGGAAGACGGGGACGAGGACGACGAAGGAGATGGCGTGTTCGAAGACCTCGAGACCGGAGAAAAGCATGGCCCCGAAGCGTCAGCCGCCGAGCCGGCATCGCTCGAGGACGAACGCGCGAAAAACGCTCGTCGAAAAGAAGAGCTGAAACTTCGTTTCGAGGAGGAAGACCGCGAAGGCTTCTTGAACGACAAGGCCAATGCTAGACGCGAGGCAGGAGAGGAGCAAGAATTCGGCGAAGACGACTGGTATGATGCGCAGAAGGCCATGATCCAGAAGCAGCTGGACATCAACAAAGCCGAGCTGGAGAACTTGGATGAACGACAACGGGTCGGCGTTGAAGGATACAAAGCGGGCAAATATGGTAAAATCGTCATCGAGGGCGTCCCCGCAGAGTTCGTCGAGAAGTTCCAGCCGCGGATGCCCTTGATTCTGGGCGGCTTATCGGCAACCGAAGACCGGTTCGGATATGTGCAGGTCAGGTTGAAGAAGCATCGCTGGCACAAGAGGATCCTGAAGACGAACGATCCCCTCATCTTCTCCCTCGGATGGCGGAGGTTCCAGACGCTTCCCATCTACAGCACCACGGATTCCCGAACGCGGAATCGGATGCTGAAGTACACGCCGGAGCACATGCACTGCTTTGCCACCACATACGGGCCCCTTGTCGCCCCGAATACGGGTTTCGTATGCTTCCAGTCTTTCTCCCCGGAAAACCCGGGCTTCCGGATCGCCGCGACGGGCACCGTCTTGAGTGTCGATGAATCTACGGAGATCGTGAAAAAGCTCAAGCTTACCGGTACGCCGGATAAGATCCACAAGAACACGGCCTTTATCAAGGGCATGTTCAACAGCCCTCTGGAGATCGCCAAGTTCGAAGGGGCTTCCATCAAGACGGTGTCGGGCATCCGCGGCCAGATTAAGCGCGCGCTGTCCAAGCCGGAGGGTCACTTCCGCGCGACGTTTGAAGACAAGATCCTCTTCAGCGACATCGTCTTCCTCCGGGCGTGGTACCCGATCAAGCCGCACCGGTTCTACAACCCGGTCACCAACCTGATCGGGTGGCAGGCGATGCGGCTGACGGGGGAGATCCGGCGGGACCAGGGCATCGCGACGCCGCAGCTCAAGAACAGCCAGTACCGGGCCATCGAGCGGCAGACGCGCCACTTCAACCCGCTGCGCGTGCCCCGGGCGCTGGCGGCCGAGCTGCCGTTCAAGTCGCAGATCGTGCAGGCCAAGAAGCAGAAGAAGGACACGTACATGCAGAAGCGGGCGGTCGTGTCCAGCAAGGAGGACAGGCGGGTGAAGACGCTGATGCAGCAGCTGGCGACGATTCGGAACGAGAAGGTCGCCAAGCGGGCGGTGAAGAAGGAGGAGCACCGGGCCAAGTATCGCAAGAAGGTGGACGCGTCGGAGGAGAAGAAGGAGGCTCGGGAGAAGAAGGAAAGCAAGGAGTTTTGGAGGAAGAACGGCAGGAAGCGGCAGGCTATGGAGGAGGGGGGTGGCTCCAACAAACGGCGCAGGTAGGCTGGTCGTCGACTGTACATGAGTAAGGTATATAGGACCGGGTTTGAAATGGCCAAGGTACTACAACAACTTCTTTGGACTCGTATATTGATCCCATCATGAATGGTTTGCATTGTTCAATGCCAGTCACAGTGCTGGCATGTCTAGGAGTGTGAATTCTTATTTTGAAACTGATTTCTCGTGATCCCTAAACTTGGTATCATGTCCTAGACCCAACGCCTCCTATCCAATGCATTCCCTCTTATCCCGCGGTCTTTCGCCTCTCCAGTAGATAACGATACCCTCTCCCGGGAAAGAAGGAAAGAAAGGGCCAAGAACTCCCATATCGGTTCCGGAACTCCAATACCCATCCCGGAAAAAACCACCAAGACTTTGCTCGTCCATTCTGCGTAAGGATGAAAGCAACCCGTATCCCAGGCCATTGGTCAATAAGCTTGACCGCGAAACACTCCGGAGCCAAGCTCTAAGGTACTAAGCGCCCTCGCCAGGCTTTTTAGCGTTGCAGCTCACGATCTTGACCTTATCCGCATGGACGATCTGCCCTCCACTATCGAGCTTGAATTGTACATTCTTAATGAGGAAGGTCCACACTTCGTCGCAGAAGCGGTAGGTAGATAGACTGCCCTGTAGCAAGGGGTCGGACGGGCGCAAAGCAAGAGCAGCGCCCCCCGTGCAAATTAGCCATCGTTTGATCCTCATGAATCTTTCTTGCGCTTCGGTCCCCGGGGTTTTCCCCTCCACGTGCACAAGTAGGCTTGCCAAAACTGAGGAAGAAGGGAAGGCATTTGGACTTGGTTCCGGCGTGCCCTGGCACACACAAACTTGCTTCGAGCTTACCTTGAAGGTCAGACGGGCCCGCACGGATTTCTGCAACGCCTCGGTAATGGCCTGGTCAAAGTTGGCCAGGATTTTCATGGCCAGCTGTGGGTAGATGCGCTCAACGCTGATGAGGTCGTCGAGCATGTCCATGAGGGCCATGCCAATACTACGTACGGAGACAGCCAAGGCAGCCATGTCCCTTCTGGTTAGCTCATCTGTAAAATGTTTGGAGCAAAGAGCTAGAAAGCATTCAGCTGTACCTGCTACGGCGATACAGCTCGTAGAAAGACTCGGGATTCGACGCCATCTTGACGGCTTAGTTTATGCGTTGTTGTATGGCGTCGTTCGAGGTCTCTACGCTGGGATCGTAGGCGGGAGGTTGAGTGATGTCAAAGGAAGCAAAATGGTATTTATAGGGTCTCGGCTGGGGGATATGTCAAGCCTCTGCTGACTCAGCCCACGTTTAGTCACGTGATTTAAATGTTTCGGGAGTAGCTCGGATGAATTACATAAGGTACTGCAACGTGAGGCTACGACCCGTCTACCTTACGGTATTATGTTGGATACAAGGTACGACGCCCTTTTTGAGAGCTTGACGAAGCTTCATCCAGGAAGCCCGATCCGATTCGACGCATTTCCCATTCACCAACCGAACCCGAACTCGAACCCACCCCTATAGTCGAACGACAAACCACGGGAATCTTTCAACATGCTGGGTCTCAAAACTGGCTTGGGGGGAATTGGGGGCTTCCTCACGGTTGTAGGAGCTTGTACGCCTCTCAGCTCTCAGCCCCCCCTCCCCGCGATCCCGACTCTTCGCGATGACGTTCGATAGCTGACCAGGCCTCTTCTTTTCTGTCCAGATATGCTCTTCACCGGCTCCGGCGAGTCCTTCAATGTCGGCGCGTTTCTCGAATCCATCTCCCCGTACGCTTGGGCCGACATGGGCATTTCGCTATGCATTGGTCTATCAGTCGTTGGTGCCGCGTGGTACGTACGCGCCCTTTCCTCGAACCCGGAAAACCCATCATCCGGCCTGGAGCGATCACCCGAATGCGACAATGGTTGGGCTAACACGGGCAAAAACACAGGGGCATCTTCATCACCGGCTCGACCATCCTCGGCGGTGGCGTAAAGGCGCCTCGCATCCGCACCAAGAACCTGATCTCGATTATCTTCTGCGAAGTCGTCGCCATCTACGGCGTCATCATGTCCATCGTGTTCACCGCGAAGCTCGACCTCATTCAGGGCGAGGAGGCCTACGACGGGAATAGCTACTACACTGGATTTGCCCTCTTCTGGGCTGGTCTGACTGTCGGCATGTGCAACCTTATTTGCGGCGTCTCTGTCGGCATCAACGGGAGTGGTGCTGCGTTGGCGGATGCTGCGGACCCTACGCTGTGAGTCGCGGCCCGTTGTCTTCTTCTTCTTCTTTTTTGTTTTGTTTCCCCTTCAAGCCAAACTAATACCCTCAAATCAGCTTTGTCAAGATCCTCGTCGTCGAGATTTTCAGCTCTGTTCTCGGTCTTTTCGGCCTCATTATCGGCCTCCTCGTGTCCGGAAAGGCGGCCGACTTTGGCAAGGCATAAAAAGGCATCAAGGGGAGCAAATAAATTGGACGCGAAATAGCATCACATGTTCACAACACAACATGCAAGGGCTTTCCAGGGCCATCAGGAGGCAAAGGCTACGTCTACCTAAGGCGGAACTGGAAAACGACGTTGGAAATAACCACTTTGCAGAAGAGGTTTTCGGCCGCCGAGCGGCATATTACGGGAGGGGAATACCAGCGGTACCATGCATCACACCAAGGGCGACTTGGCCGGGCGTCTCGGGATATACAGGTCATTGGGGAGGATGTGCTTTTATACTGTAACATCACTTTTGATAATGGGCATGTATTCGATCGACTTTTGCAGAGCTTTTTCGAATTGGACGTGAGACATCGTGTGTGCCCTGGAGCTAGCTGAGTGAACTGTCACCATGACCCCCGGCGCATCACAACTCGGAACGGACATTGCTCATCAACAAGGCGTCAACCTCGCTGCCCTTCTTCAGAGGCTCAGCTCCCTTGGGCATGCAGAGCAAAGCATTGGCAGACCGTAAGCTCCCCACCCTGGAACTCCGCTGCCACCCCGTGCTGCTCGCCGCCAGCTTCCCGTCCCGCCCAACCGCCACCACGGCCCGGTGGTACTCCGGCCGGCCTTTATCCAGCGGGAAATCGTGCGCCAGCGTCACCGGAACTTTCGGCAACCCCACGGGCGTCACGCCGGCCAGCTTATGCAGCGCGGGCAGCACGAAGAGGTGGAACGTGACCAGCGCGCTGGCCGGGTTCCCGGGGAGGCCGAAGAGCGGCTTTCGCACGCGGTCGCCGGCGTCGGTCTTGACCGGCACGGTGGCGAACGTGGTCGGCTTGCCGGGCTTCATGTTGACGCGGCCGAAATGGATCGTCCCGCCGAGGGCGCGCTCGACCGTCGGCTTGAGCAGGTCCAGCTCGCCCATCGACACGCCGCCCGTGGTGAGGACGACGTCGGCGCGGCGCAGGGCGTCGCGCAGCACCTCCTCGAGGGCGCCCGGCCGGTCGCGCGCGATGCCCAGGTCAACGACGGTAAAGCCCTGCTCGCGCGCCGCGGCGGTCAGGGTCGAGCGGTTGGTGTCGCGGACCTCGCCGAGACGGAGGGGCCCCGGGCGGAGGGGTTCGACGATTTCGTCGCCCGTCGAGAGGATCCCGATCACGGGCCGTTTGTACGTCTGGACCTCGGCGACGCCGACGGAGGCGAGGAGACCGATTTCGCCGCCGACGCCGGAGATCTGCTCCCCTTGCTCGAGGATCGTTTCGCCTGCCTTGACGTCGCTGCCGACTTCGCGGATGTTCTCGCCCGGCTTGACGCCGTCGGCGAGGATCTCGACCTCCTTCTCCTCCTGGCCGTCGTCGGTTTTGGATTTCAGCACCGTGTCCTCGACCATGATCACCGAGGTGGCACCGGGAGGGAGCGGAGCGCCGGTGGTGATGCGGGCGATCTCTCCCTCTTTCAGGGCGCCGATGTCTCCCGGGGCGGCATGGGATATGGCCGTGACAGGGTAGACGCCCTTCATGTTCCCGCCTTGGGGCACGACAACCGCGTAGCCGTCGACGATGCTGGCGCGAAAAGCCGGCACGCTCTCTTTGGCCGTCACATCCTCGGCGAGAACCGAATGGATGATGCTGGAATCGACTTTGGAAGCGACGACCTGCGGCTCTGGTGTGTGCTCTTGGATGAGGGAGAGGGTTTCCTCTACGGAGAGCATTGGATATGGTGACTCCCGATGACGGCGGGTCGGTCCAAGACTAGGATCGTTTGAGATGGGGTTCTCTCCTGGTTTAGTGTGTCGTACCAGACCGCCGCCGCCATGTCCGTGGCTGTGGTCGTGATAATGGCCATGGCCATGACCATGACCATGACTGTGGTGATGGTGGAGGTGTGAATGGTGTTCCGAAGCCTGTTGGCTCGAACCAATCCCCGCATCTTCTTCCAACTTCTTGACGCCCCCTGCATGCAAGGCTCTGGAATCCAACCCCTTCGCTTGGAGACAAGCATGAGGCAGGGTTTTGAGTATAGCCTGCAGGTTCTCCTTGGCGCCCTTGGGAGAACCCGGCAAAGTGACGATCACGGTATGATGCCTGACACCGGCAACAGGCCGAGACATCATGGCAACTATCCGAGAGTTAGAGCAGTTTTGTCCAAGCCTTTCCGGGCTGGGAGGGGGGGATTCTGGAGGTTATTTTGCGCCTACAAGGGGTGACGGCCAAGGAAGATGAGAGCATTGCGTGGACCAAGCCTGGGGCGGTCTTGTGAAGCAAAGCGCCAACAGCCTACAAGTGAAAGAGTTTCAGCAAAAGAAAAACAGCTTCCCAGCTCGAATGTCAAGTGATTGCCATAGTGATACCTCCGGTGTATGGTCCGAAACTGCGAACCCAGTGCCGCCAGTGGTGAGAATCAAGTCGACGGCTTCGAAGCCAATATCCGCCCATAACATAACTTGACGCTGGATATGGGGAACATGGTCGGAGACGATCTTGGTCTCTACAACATCCCATCGGCCTCCGCCTTCGCTATCGATGACATCTTTGAGGATGAGCTCGGATTTATCTGTCGAGGGGTCCTTGTATGCAGTGGTCGAGACGACCAGAATGGCTACTTTGAGTGGTTTGCTGTCCATTCTCTTTGTCTCCCTTTTCTTGTCTTGTCTTTTTTTCAGTGATGTTGTGTATGAACAACCAGTCTGTGTGAGTAGCAGCAAACACTCGCTCAACTTTAACAGCTAATTATCAGCCATGATGCTGTCGTCATCTGTGAGTGTGGGTGGATGTATTATGTGGATGGAGGATGGAGGATGGAGGGGGAGGATGGAGGGGTCGGTGTTCGGTGTTCGGCGTTACAGTGTGGAACTCGAGTATTACGTAATACTGAGTAGGACCTGGACCCACAGCATCACGTAACGTCCTCAACGCTTTTAATTGATACGTGATGATGACTTGATACGTTCTACTGAGCAAGAGCAATGGCCTCGTACTATATCGGCTGTCTCGTACCCATTTAGTTGTCTTCTAACTTTTCATATGACCAAACCAGAACCCGAACACGCAGAAACAGCACGAGAGCACGAGAGAGATCAGGGGGGTCTGTTTCCAAACCCAACACTCGTAAATGAAGCCTGCCCGTCCAGCGGGTGAGACTGACTATCCCATGATTGACCATGATTGATGGCCAGCGGGAGTTGGGCCTCGAGCGTCGAGCGTCGAGCGTCAAGCCTCGAACCTCGAACCTCGAACCTCGAACCTCGAACCTCGAGCCCAACCCCTTCTTGCAACACATCAATCATCTCCGAACCGGATATCTCATCGAAATCCTCCTCTCATACTCCCGGTCGCCCGGTGAGTTCCCGACCGCGTGTCGCGATGCTACGACACATCTCAACGCCCGATTGGCACGCTCCAACTCCCTTACCAACTCCGCGACCGTTTGTTCGTGATCCCTCCACATCGACTGCAGCTGCCTCGTATGGCTGGCTTCCACCATCGCCACCATCTTCCTCAACCGCTCGCTCGGCGACGCCGACTCATCCTGGGCCCTGTGCGACCCGCTCAGCTGGGTTTCCAGCTCACCAAGCTCGTCCAGCAACGACTGAAAACTGCGCCACGAGCAATTGAACCGGTGTCGCATTTCCTCCTTCTCCGCTGCCAACTCCTCCTTCTCCTTCTTCAGGCGCTGTCTTTCCCTTATCAGCTCATCCCTTTCCCTCTCGAGACGCCGGTTTTCTCTCCGAAATTCATCATTCACTCGTTCGTGATGGTACAAAGTTCGGTGCCAGTTTCCCGGTAGGACGTTGTTTCTTGGCGGTTTCAACTGACTATCATCCCGGGCGCTGTGCGACTGACGCGTGCGCTTCTTCTGGACGTCCCTCGATGTCTCGGGATCCGCTCGACTTTCTGAAGGCGGTGTTACCTCTAACCGGAAAACTGGCTTCTGCGAGCTTGAGCTTGAGCTTGAGCTGCTCGGCGCGGTACGGCCCTGTCGAGATTTTTCGTGACTTCTTGTCGATCGGGGCTCAACCAAGGCAGGATTGGAGCGCAGTGCCTCGTTGAGTCTCCCCAGTTTGCTTCTGTCGAGCTGCGTCCCAACCTTTGGTTGCGCCGGATGCTGGGCTGAAGAGAACGTTGAAGTTGATGGCCGAGTCTGCGGGCCAGACTCGATGCCATTCCGCCCGTCGACTCTCGTAAAGTGGGGGTGTGAGACCAGATGCTCCGGGCTCGACGACGGGTTATGATGGGCTGTCTTGAACAAGGACAGCAGTTTGTCCAGTTTGCCCTTCTTGGTCTCGGTTCCGAACGCGGTAGCAGCCCGCATGTCATGGTCGTAGATGCTGTGACCTGTCTGGCCTAGGCGCTTAGGTGAGTGATTTCGACGTCTTTCCCTTTGTCGCCGACTTTGGTCCAGGGCCGATTGCGAGACCATTATGCGATGACTGCTTCGACCAGGCGGCCTTCTGTCATGGTGAATTTTTAACCCGCGGTACTCCATTGAGATCTGTCTGCCGCTTTTTCCCTTGGGTGCTGGTAGGCTGGGTTTATTTTTTGTTGGCTCTTTTTTTCGTCTGGTTTTCTGTCTTCGTACCTCCTCGAGTTCTGCCGACTTAGCTATTCATTCGGTTTGTGGATGTGGGATGAACATCTTATACCTCGAGTTCATCGGGCCATTCTCAAGAGAACAGTAGCTCTGTTCAGATGAGCCATTCGAGACGTTTCTTCCTGTCAGCTTTCTCGCTTTCTCCTCCGACCTGACAATGCAATTGTTCAGCGAACATTATTAGGCACAGCATCCCAAGGTTGAAAGAACAAGGACATCTTCCCCTTGACTGTGTCAAAAACAACCTTTTAACAAAGAACATGACTATATCCCACCTTTCCTCCCCCTCGTACTTCGTGATCCCTTTGCCTACTACGTCTTCTCTTCAGTGTGCCTAATGTAGTTTATATGGTTGCCTTTCGGCCAAAAGTCGATGTCGGAAGGATTCGGCGTTCTGCATCCATGTGCGGAATTGCCATAGCTGTATCGATGTCAGAAGTCCATCGTCAGTCTGGCCGAGATTGTGAATGACACTGCAGCGACTCACCTGAAGGACCGGGCAAATGCTCCTCTCCATACCCGGGTCTAATGGACGTGGGACCCGCGGCTGTTGAGGCGTAGTTGTGATGATGCACCTGTGTTCTCGTCGCCAGGCTGTCTGGCTGCACGCGACTCGGTCCATGCACCTGCTTGGGGAGCACGCCGATGCTTGACATATTGGCACTCCGTGCTCCCGGTGTCGCGCCCAACCCTGTCGGGGACATGCCGACTGATCACGTCAGAAACAACTCTATACTCGAGCCAAGGCATGCATCCATCTCCACGTACCTCGTGATGGAACAGGACCTCTCCCATACACAGCTGCATTGATGGAGTAGCGCGGCGACAACCCACGGGCGTGTGCCAAGCGCTGGTTCGTGGCGTCGAGACCTCGACGCATATTCTCGTCGAAACGAGGTGGTTCCGCCGCTAGGCTTTGCTGTGCCTGCTGTACCTGTGGTGCCTGCTGCTCAAACAAGCCCGGGGCCAATCCGGTTCGGGTGCCCTGGAAGACCGGGCCATGGTGGTGAGAACCGTGAGATCTAGCATCACCGCATGCCGCAGCTTGTATTTGGCGCAGTTCGGCTTCTCTCTTAGTCCGGTCAAACAACTCCTGGGTCTCCAAAAGTTTATGGCTCTTTTCCTTGTATGCTCGGCCGAGGTCCTCGTTTTTTTGTCGCATAGCGCCGCATGCCAAGTTCAGTTCTGCAGACCTGCGTCAGCGGAAAGGCCTCAAAATATCGCCGGCTACACTAGAGCCACCCAGCACTTGCCTTTTACTTGGTTCTGCAAGTTTTCTATTTCCGTATTGGCACGTTCAACCGTGCTTCTTAGGTCGCTCTCGAGCCGTCTGCAGGTCTCGCTCAAGGTCTTCTCGACATACCTCTGATAGGCGCTGGACAGTATGCGTGAGCAAGGGAAAACAAAACCATCGGACGGAAAAGAGTACAGGGGAACTTCGACAAAGACTCACATCTCCTGGGTAGTTTGGTAGCCCCAAAAGCTCAAAGCTCGACCGGCACATTCGATGATGTCGTTCGGAGCAAGGCCACTGAGCACAGTCGACTTGAACTCATCGGAAGGATTGAGATGGACGATGGAGGTAGCTTGAGGACTCGTGCCCGCTGGTAGACTGCCTTCGCAAGCCGGACAGCTTCCAAAGGGCTCCGAGACCAGCCTAAGCAGCTCGGCACACTCTATACAGTAGATATGGCTGCATGTCGTCACGACGGCACGATCTGTGAGCTCCTTGCGGCAAGTTAGATAGTTACACTTGATCCTATGATCAAGAGACATCGTGTCACGGGGGGTTGACGGCGCGGATGGGTCGTGTATGGATCGAGAGGTTCTCAGGTGCTCTCTTTCTTTGCTGCTCTAGTTCTTCTTCCTGCTCCTGTTGGTGTTCGCCGAGATAACGGCATCTTCGAGAACGCTGGCAATATTGGCGTCCGGCGTGGGAGCTCTTTCGTTCTTTTGGCGCGTGTGGCTGCATCTGCATCTTTCCAGATGAAGATTTGAGAGCAAGAGATTCAATGAATATGTTCCACTTGAAGCAGGTCCCGGAGAAAGAGCCTCCCACGTCCATATGACAATCTAGTACTTGTTAGGGATATGTTTGCTATGGGCGAAGACGATCGTTTCCCGTGACGGATATGTCACTGATGTGTAGATACGTAAAACAGTCATGAAAAAGTAAGGTACCTTACCTTACCTAAGGCAAGGTAAGGTACCTAGGTAGGTACTGTAGACGCCTTATGTCGTCGTGTTGATGGTCACTTCCTCGTACATTCTTGCGATAACCTCGACATCGGGTCGTTCCTGCTCTCAAGAGCCACCGGCTGCAACACGTTTGTCACGAGTCGACTCGGGAGGGAAGCGAGAACCCCAAAAGTACCTTGACTTAGATGTCTTTGCTTAGTATCACCTCCTCGAATTACATTTTGTTCATTTTAGTCGGTATTTCTCTTACTTTCATTCAAGTCCGGAAAGTCCCCTACTCTGATGTCAAGCGTTACGGGGTAGTTGAGAACTTGAGCCTCTTCAGCTACGCAACCACAAGCATATACTAACCTAATTGTCAGCCCATTTTAGATGCCTTGGATAGATTCAGAGATTTTGATATCGGCCTCTCCGGGTCTCTTCCATGTTTCTTGCTCGCAAACATCATCTTCAAAGTACAAGGTCAACAATTGCCTCTTTCCCCTGATTTCGCGATCCCAAAATTCCATCCTGTTCGCAACCGTAAATCCCATTTTATCGTCGCAGTTTCAATTGCGTCTCCCATCAGGAATAAACGATCGCGAATGGCAAAGAAATGTGGCACGTCTCGCTTAGTAGTGTCGTCACACTGGACTTTCGGCCGCGAGTCATGACCAACGACCCTTAAAGTGTATCCAAGTCCATGGAGTCGGTTCCGCGCTTTCTTGCGTGGGAGATCACTGGAACCGAGATGTTAGACCAAGAAAACGAGACGAAGCGAGTCGGTCGGTAGTTCGCAAGTCGACGCTCCAACGCAACGGTTATGAAAGGGAAGACCCGCTGAGTCCCAACAAGCAGGGTCGCTAGCAGACACCGGTCGAAAGCCTAGCCCTAGCAACCCAGAACCAGGGAAAAGCGACTTGGAATTGATGCTGTGTCACCACAACACTGCATGAGCTGCAAGGACAGCCTGGCCTTTCCACTGGGACAAGAGTGTTCAAAGAAACTCCCAAGATTCCGGCCTCTTGGTTCCGTGGAACCTCGACAAAGCATGTTGTCCCACCGCAATCAACAAGAATACGCCGAGCGTCCTTGTCTTTGACGGCTCAGAGACCCTTTTTACAGTAGTCTCCGATCCACGTCAACGGCGTCATATTGGGTCACTTTCGCTTGTTACTTAACGACTGCTACCGCATTACTGCGATAGACGATCCGTTGTGCTGGGACAAGCATCCAGGGTTGCGTCAAGCCGCAGCTAATTTATAATCCGCATGTTTAAACCTGCTATATGTGTCCGAGCCCATGAGGCTGTAAAATCGGGCACCTTTAGCATGTGTAACATCAAGACCTTCCAATATTTGGCCAGACAGCACATTTGAGGGCTAGCTGACGGAAAGACCGACCCAATTTGTCGAACGATGGCAATCTGTTGACGTTTAATGTTCTCTCGGGATACCGATACCTTCATGGTGAGGGAGCTCCAAACCTATTAAAACCACGGATAATTACGAACCACATCCGTCCTTCGTATGCCTGTGCGAGCTGGCAACTGCGCCGGAGTTCGGGAACGAAGGCCCGCCGGCCAAGCGGGACCTGCGTCGGGCGTCAGCCCAAAAGTCTCGTTGTCCCATCTACACGTACTTCATGTCGTGGTCGGGTGGACCTAAGAAGATGCGGGGAAGTGATACAGAATGCAGAGGGTCGACGCAGAGAGACTGGTCGAAGGCCTACAAAGTACGAAGCACCCACGGATACCTACTCCGTAGTGATCAGCGTTGGAGTTCATCAAGTTGGAGAAGTGACTTCGACAGAGGCCATCCCAGCTCAGGGACGCATCTCCGAGGATGCAAGGAAATTCCAGCCTCCTGGGCACGTATTAGCGTCGAAATCATACATACGTAGTGTGTCTGACCATTGTCGTAGGAATTTCCTTCGGTTTTCGTTCAGGGGCCTACGTTGTATGTTCATTACCCCACGTTTAGAGAGCATGGCCAGGATCATTACCGAAGACGGGGGCAGTCTGATGGAGGTGGCTTGATGATGGTGGCGCTGACCAATGTGCGAAGTGCGTAATTAGCGTATATGTAATTACGGATATTCCGTACATACACTGCGTATCCCAAGTCCTTGCCTACCCATAGGTAAGGTAGGCACATGATTACGTTGTACAACGTACAGACAGACCAACTCCACGACGAGAAGAACTACCGTCGATAGCGCGTTCCAGCGATTTATCCAAGTGTCTGAGGAGGAAGCGCCATTGGTTACAACTTACGAAGGGAGCACGAATCATTGAACGGCTCGAGCTTAGATGCCGGCCACATATGGATGGCACTACGCGTATGAGGTATGGATCAGCAGGCAATTGAACCGGCTAGGCAAGGTTTCTCTGTCTTCGACTTCTTCCCCAGTTCGCCCTTGTTCTCCAACTTGCCCCTCTTCTTGCAGTAGCCACTTCCCCGCACGAACGGATAAGCCAGGCGCCCCACCCCACCTTTTCTCGAGGGGTGTGAACCCCTGTCTGGTCTAAAAACCTTCTAGCGCAACCTTAGCTCAAAGGCCCGTGCTTCATGGGCCTAGAAAGTTTCCACTTTCTAGATACTTTGGACGCCGTATCGCCAAGAGCTGCTTGCCATGTCCTGATCCGGCCCAGGGTCCCGGGCAGGTACCCGAACGTCACTGGCTGACCACCTTCATCGTTCGCTACGGCCCGAAATCCCAAATTAAGACCAGAAAATGACCCACCTTTCTTTTTCCAGCCAATCGTGATGCGCAACCAGATGCGTGTACGTATCTACGTAGCCACCTGGTACGTACGTTTTGCGAGCATGTCTCATCCTGAATGCCCTTTTTGTCTACAAATCCACGCAATCCAGGCTGCAATCCTACGACTCTTACCTCTTTCTGTATACCTGATAATAAGGGAAAAGAGAAAGGGGAAAGGCTGTACGAAGTAGAAAACCGTTTGGGCGAGGAAAAAAACAAAGAGCCCAGCGAGCGGGAGGATTGGCTTGGCTCCACGAAATCGATCGTAGCTCCAAACGCCAACGCCCCGAAGGTGCAACTCCTCCGGCTTACACTTGACTTACACATCACGGCCCCAGACGCCCACCCCCATCTTAATCGCCCAACATGAGCCATCTACCGGCCGGGGCCCACCCTAAATCATTGGCAGCCGAAGGCTGAAGAGGCCCTTCCGGGGGGGGGGGGGAGTGTGTGCAAAGATGGAGCCTCCGGGCAAGCCCAAACGCTGGAGAGGAGTATGTACTCCTGGAGAGAGAAGAGAACCAACACAGCCTCGGCTTCATTTACGTTTTCATGCCAGTGCCGTTAATATCGACACGACTTGGTCAGGTCTCGTGACTACGGGGTAGAGGGGGACTCGCTTCGTCAGCGGGACCAGACCACGCTGAGCTTTGAGTGGCTGGATGCGTCTCCATCGACCTTTGCTGATACCCACCCTTTCCCGTGTCTGCGTAGCCGCGCGACTTTTTTTCTCTCTTCTTTTTTCTTCTTCTTTTTTTTCGTCACTTTTCTCAGCCGAGTACGACTCTGGCTGGGTGGTATTGCGGGAAGAGGGCCACGAAGTTACGTCGTGGCAGTGGTTCATGCAATAGTTTCCAATATTTTGGGGCATTTTGAGGCCTCCTCAACGTCACGTGGACCACGTTACGCACTCTGGGACAGAACGCGGTGGCGAAGTCGAGAGGTTAACACGAGAGAAGAGTCAAAGTGAGCGGGTCGATGATGTCTCCAGTCCCATTTCAATGTATTTCTCTTGGGAGATTTTGTACTTGGTTTTTTGTCTCTCATCTGCACGTGATGATTCTGGTATTGGCACATGAAGGTGGTAATACACGAGGAATTTTCCATATTCATCCACTGGGAACTCTGAGATGTCGTCCTGTCCCTGAAGGTCTGCAGCCGCCTGCTCCCTGTCCCGTCCTCCCAAAAAGCTGCCGTTATCGTCGTCATCCTGGGTATTTCATCCTTTTCGTGCCATATCATGCTCCCTTCCTTTCATTTACAGGTAAAGCATAGAAAAATAAGAAAGGACCTCCAACCCCTAAATGCTGCTTGAACCATGGAAGTTTCAGAAATCCGCCCCAATCATCTCCTGCGTAACGCCCAAAATATGAACAACCCCTGTTCACGGTTTTTTTTTCTTTTCCCGGCTCCTTTTCCCTTGCACCAAGAGTCTTTGGTGGGTTGGGGAGCAAGACCAAAAGCAGAAGACCTAGCGAACCCCAATGTAACATATTTGTGGCAACAACCCCACCCAAATAAGAAATAGGAAAAAAAAAGCGGTGAAAAATATATGACAAGAAGTGAAGAGAAAATAAAAACATAGACGGCAGGAAATTTGCCCAGCCAGCGTAGCGGGCGTCCTGTCGACCGGGAAAAAGCGGGAGAAGAGGGTGTTGGGGAAAAAGGGGGGGCCATGCCGAGACGGGTTGATTGCCAAGCCCGGAATATCAGTTAGACAGGGCCCCTCCACCCTCTCAGTGAACGTAGAAACCAGCGTCCATGGGTGGTGGTTGGGCGCCGAGCATGCCGTACTCCATTTGGATCATCTGCTCGTTGACATTGAAGGCGCCAAAGTCAACGCCCCCCGGGGGCCCGGCCTGGGGCGATTGTTGTTGGGCTTGGTGCTGGGCCTGGGCCTGGGCGTCCTGAGAGGCATCACCCTCAGCCCCGTTGCCACCACTCCAGTACATGCCGTCCAGGTCCCACAGGCCGTGCTGGTCCAGCATGCCCATCATGCCCATGCCCTCGGGCTCCAGACCGATGGGGGACATGTGGAGGTCGGCGGCCTCGGCGGCCATGATCATGGTGTTTTGCTCCGCACCCATCGCTTGCAGGACGGGGCTCTGGCTCTGGCTCTCGCTGCGGAGGTTGGGGTGGCGCGAGGCCTCGTACATGCGCCAGACGACCTCGCGGCTGCGGCGTGCCGCCATGGACCAGTCCTCCATGGCCTCGAGCAGGTCCAGGATGGTCTCGATCTGCTTGTTCCACTCGGGCACCCGGGGGCTGTTCCACTGCCAGAAGATGCTAACGAGGGGGACCATAGCCGCCTGGTACAGAAACCACACGGCATTCCACCCGGACATTTGGTTCCGGGACCACTCGCGCGAGACGTCCTCGATGGTCTGCTTGGCAAGCTCGCGGCACGTCTCGATGGCTGCGATATCCTGTTCGGCGACGTGGGCGAGCACGAGGCCGCTGTTGCTCGTGCTGTTGGCCAAGCTGAGAAGCACAGGGCGGTGCAGGAGCATGCGGAGGTTCTGGTAGCGCCACTTCATAATGCACCGGGCGATGTACAGGGGCTCGGCGCAGGGGTCGGTCGTCCGCAGCAGCCAGGGGAGGTTGCTATACCAGTTGACCAGCTGGCCGTCGAGGTTGCACCTGTCTTCGGTGTGGAGGAGCGGCGAGATGGCGAGCATGTCCTGGATCTGAGTGGCGATTTTGCAGAACTTGATGTTCTCAATCAGGGGGAGTACACCCGCATGCTGGGCAGAATCCCGGGCCTATTGTGGGGGGTTAATATATTTCTTGCCTTCTCGAACCATCCAATGCCCACGATTTATATAGGATATATGGGGACCGCGGGTCATGTGTTCGATCGTATTGCTTATGGGTCATGTGAATTGCTTACCTGATTAATGCCGAACTCAGGGGGCCGAATGTTGATCGCAGGGCCCCATCGCCCAAATGATGGCCGCCCCATGGTCGTAGTGGCCCAGGTGTCTAGGCAGAACAAGCTCCACCAGGTCCGCCTCCGGGTTTCGGCAGCAGCCACGTCGTTGGAGCTCTGGGCCAGGCTCTCCCGATGAAGGCCGAGGGCACTGGCCATGCGGACGGCGGCTCCCAGAACGGCGTTGGCCATGTTGGGGCGGTTAATGTAGTGCAAGTAGTAACCGCCGATGATGGCGAGGGCCTGTACTGTCTCAATATGGCTGCTTCCGAAGGCATCCATTGGCAGGTGCTGCATGGCGCGATTGTAGTAGTTGACGTGGTTGTAGTCGTCCGACTTCATGCCGACAATGCTGCCCATTGCAAAAACCATGTTGAGCAGGGCGAGCCAGGGAGGGTCGAAGCGCTGGCCTTCCAGGTAGTCGGCGCGGAACGCCGCCTCGTCCAGCATGGGAATGAAGACGTGAATTCGCTTGAAGTAGGCATCGATGAGAGTCTGGCCCTTCCAAGACCACGGGATCCGCTGAGCATCATTGGGGGAAGAAGCCAGCGGCTGGCGGACTGAGAGGTTGTGTGCTGGCTCGGACGTGTTGAGCGGGGTGGTGAGTTGAGTGCGCAGTGCCGGTTGCACTTTGAGCATGCACATCAAGGCGGCCTTGATGGAGGACGCACCCAGATACGATGAGGAGCGGTCAACGGATAGCGAGAGGGCATTGACGTCGTCGGCCTCGATGGGGATGGAGTCGCGGCCGCGGCGCTCCTCGTCCCACTCGGTGTCGCGGTCAGGCATCTGCTCGAGGCTGGAGAGCGGTTCCGAGCAAGAGCCGAGAGGAGATTCGAGATCCTGGGAGATCGGAGAGGTGTTAAGCGGAGGTGATGGTAGAGCTGTGGCCGAAGTGTCGATAACGGGACGCTCGACGAGATTGAGAAGCTCTTGCCGCGAAAGGGGGAGGAGTGATTGAACTTCGTGGTTGGGATAGAGGCGCCTTAGAATAGACCGGCACTCTTCGAGGGACTGGGATAGTGCCTCGAGAGTCTTTCGTGAAGGAATAACACGCTGTCTGTGCTTGTCGTAGAAACATCTCTTGGGCGCTCTGCTGGATAGGCACTGTCCGCATGGTTGCTGGCCATCACATCGGCTGTGCAGGGTAAAGTTTAGCTGCTAGTCCATGGCACGCTTGGGGCGAGCACAATGCTGGAGGGGACTCCGAATAGAGCGAAAAAGGGAGCGGGAAATCAAGGCTGATTACTCACATTTTCCTTCTCTTGCACTCGGCACAGGCATGTGGTGTTGTGATTCTCTTCGTTGCGGTGGCTCCAGGTGCCTTTGCGTTTCCTTGGGAGTCGGTAGCCGGCTTCCGGGGAGTGACTCCTTGAACTGCAGTGTGCCGTATGAGCGGGCTGGACTTCGATACAAGAGCCTCTCGGGGAGGAAGTAGCACTCACAGGTATGGAACATACCACCCTGAGTAGGGATGGGAATGGATGGCGCCATGATGATGCCTGGTTCGCGGCCTGTGGCCAGATAGAAGTCCTAAGGGGGGGATGTTGCAATGAAAACGGACGCTGGAATGTGAGAAGAAGTGTGCCGTGGAAGAAAGAAGATGAACCGAGTTATAGATAGAAGTCGACGGCAACAATGAAGAGTGTGATCTCAAAGTTGGATAGAGAACCAGCCGGCCTGTCAGAGCTGATGATGAAGGGGGGCGGATTCTAATATATCTCGATATAAATAACAGCCATACGGGATATGAATCTCTTGACAGAAGGCTGGTCGGCATCCAGAGGGGCGTCTTCCGGGGGGCCGGCGAGTCCAGGTGGATACACGGTCATGACCAGGGGGGCGACCTATAGCAGACATGGTATAAGAATGGGCAAGGGAGATGGCAAGCAGTGGGATCCCGTACCTCGTAGATTGGCCAAGGGGGGCGGGTCCATGGCTTGTGTGGAGATTGAGTGCCGGTTTGAACCAGGGCGGCCTGGGGAGTTGTGGGGAAGAGAGACGACATGTTGAGACTGAGAATCGGCTTCCCTCTCCTGATTTACCTGGCCAATAGGAAAAGGTGCTCTTTGGCCGGGAGCGGCTACACGGGCACGATTCGATTCGACGGCCGTCTATTCGTGGCGTCGTTTCAAGCTTGGGTCGAGGACAGGGATCCAGGCAACCTGGATCCGTTAGCCTGTCCCACACTGCGTCAGGCGTCTTGCTTCGACACAGCAGCAAAGCTCAGCACGCACCAGCGCCAGCAACCAGCATCAGCACCATCTGGGGGGTCCAATGTGAGCCAGTCTGCATCTGAGGTCAGAGCCAGACTCCTCACGATGAGGGGGAAAGAGGGAGAGGGCGAGATGCTCAGCCTCGAGATCACGCGCATGACGGTAATTAACAAGCACCCATACATCACACCACCCTGTGTCACGCACCACGTAGGTACGGAGTCCAGGCGGATAGATATATATTACATGATGGACTGGATGATCCGGGGGAAGCGGGTTTGCGAGGAGAACTCACACGAGGCAGAAGCGTGGATAAAGCTTGACGGACACGCCCATTGGCGAAGGCCGGCAGCCAGCTTCTGGAGACAGCGGAGACTCAGACTGTCATATCAAAGAGAGCGCTTCGGTAACGCGGGCTCATGGGCTGTTCCGATATTCGCAGTCTCCTTTGTCCTGGGGAAGCACCTACACATGACGTGCATGATATGATCTTGGTAGCGTGAAGCGGCAGTGGATTGTATTAGACGACGGGAACGCCGTCGAGAGGTCCGAATAGAGGACTACCGGAATACCTCGTACCTAGTTGAGGTGGGGGAAGATGCCATGATGCGGGATCTGTGGGGAGAGGAAGAGGAAGATGTGGAGGGACAAAGGCGGAGAGGGAAGCTAGGGAAGCCGGGTGCATGTGGAAAAGGTCCACTAGCAGCGTTTAGTGAGGGCTAGTTCAGGTAGACGGGAATTTGTGGAGGGAGATGATGGGGAAGGCGGGGTGGCGTGTGTGTGGATGCTTCATGTGGTTTTGGTAAAAGGTGTGGTTGAATGGTGGTTTTGCATTGTGAGAAGTAAGAAACGGGCGACGAGATGAGATCAAAGGGGGAACGAGTCGAGTGGAGTCGTCGGAGTCGTCATGCATAAGGTAAGCTTGGGAGTACGTACTCAGGTACCGTTGCACGAGGTGCCTAGATGTGGGGAAATGACCCACTCCTATGCAGCATAAACGGCTGGGATCCCCGGCCGGGGCTTGTGCGGGGCCACCGAGGCACCGACAAGACGGGTACGTACCCCGAAGTACCGCACTGAATCCCCTCGCTTAACCCATGTCAAATTAGCGTTGCGCACAAGCGTACCGATTAGCCGTTGCATATTCGCCAGCTGTTATCAGATGTCATCCGTTAATATCCCAACCATGAAAGTCATTTTCCCCCGAAGCTCTATGCCTTGTTATGCAATGAAATTGGGACATGTGGAAAGGCCCAATGGGTACACAAAATAAGGTAATCAGGACGACGTACGAAGTACTTTTGTAGGACTAAGGTACGAATTAGTACCCGTATACCTACTGCAATTGGATGCGAATATTAACTAAGCAGTTTGAGATACCCGTTTTGGTCTTGGCTTGTGTACACGGAGTACGAATACGGAGTGTTCAGATCTGATTTGTTGTGCCTTCCCTTGGCGCCCCTTTCCCCGTGCGGTGTAGTCCTTTCTCCGTCTTCGGCCTTCTTTCACTTCTCTTGAAGAGTTCGAACTTCCATTGTTCTCTTTGTCCCCGCCCCATAATTACCCCTCCGCCGCCACCAAAATCTGCCACAGATCGTGGCCCCGAGACCGCCTTCCCCAGCCAATCGCATGTTTTATACTGGAGGATGGCTTGCGATCGTTCATCGTTCAGTGCCGCCTTAGTCCCTGTACCGCTGATCTACGTTGTAGGGACACTGTTCGTGGCGCTCACCTTTGTACGAAGCACCTAATTATTCGTACATCGGACCTACGCCGTAAGTCTAATGTTGAATCATATCAGAGTTTGTCCTCATCTCATTTCTCCCTTTTGCCATTTCGCAATTACGTTGTACGAAATAGGCACGGCCGTTCTCCTTGCTGTTGTAACTTATGTAGGTAGTCTGCTGTGAAATTAAGGTCCAGCAACGTGAGCACCAGGGGCAGTACATACATAGGCTATTTTCTCCACCGAACGACGGCGTCACGCCCTAAAAAAGGCACGATTCCGACAACGGCAATGACCCGTCCTTGGAAGGGCACTCGAACCGCCTGCGACAAGGCTCTGCCCTGCTGTGCTCAGATGATTTGATGACTTGTCTATGCGGAGACCTCAGCCGTCAGTCCTTCCCATTCGGGAGATCGTCCCACTGGTAGACACCAGTTTGTTTTTCTCATTTCCTCCCCGCCATGACTTTTCTTTTTCTTTCTCGAAGACGCGCTACTTTGTTCTGGCGTGCACGTCTCCAACAAAGACAGTGTAGGGGAACCCATGTCTGTTGATCTCTTATGGGTACGTACTTCGCACACCCTCCTCTAGGTACCTTATGTAAGGTACTTGAGACGATCCCATTCACCGGGTACGAAGTCCTATGTTAGGTAAGGTATTTGTAACTCTTTCTCGCCATTCCCTTCATTGTTTCATATTAAAGATCGGATTATTTTATGGAATTTCCGCCACCACTGGGCAATCTACCTCCTACTTCTACCTCCTACCAACTTTTTCCGTTCTTAATTTCCCAATCGCGCTACGCAACATCGACCTGTATTGCCTCATCTACTCCGTGCTTCTAGGCCCAGCCTGATGGTCCTCAATTTCCCTCCCCACGCTTCTGTGGTCCTCGGTTACGGCCGTACGGGTCGTCGTTAACCTCCCCGCTCTTCATTGCCTGGGCCTGACAAGGCTGGGGCACTTATTCAATGGGCTTCAAACTTGGCTGGAACTCGGCTCAAAACCATGGTGCAAAAATCAAGGAAATGTTACCGTAATTAGTGCCTGAACTGATTGTGGAACCCAATGTCACACCAACACCACATGTTTGTTTTGTCTCACACCTTTTTCCTTTTTCCTTTTTATTTTATTTTACTATTATTATCCATTGCCTTCATTCTCGCTTCAGGGCGCATTTTAAAAAGCCTCGACGCTCTTGTCTCGTATGCGCATTGCAAAACTGTATGAAACGCTGCCTTCGGTTTCTTAGTGCATGATGGTTCGTCGCTTGCTTCATGTTGGCTAATAACATGAAAGAAAAAGAAAAGAGAAAAAGTGACCATCTCAGATTTCATACCTCTAATTACCGAGTATTATGTATTGATACACATTAGCATTCAATTTGGACCTCGTATGTATGTAATTATACCTTTTGGCTGTCCGTAGTGTACTTCGTCCTCACCGACTTCCCCACTTTCTCGGCTTCTGATCATTAGCCCCAGTTGTGATTGTGACATGCATTCGTGCCTGGCGTGAGTACCTTGCTGATCCATTGCCCCCTACCTGGCTCGGTCTACAACAAGATCTAAACTCTTATAGGACGTCCCGGGCTCTTTACATCCAATACCGGGGCGTTGAGTTCCTAGAAAGGTCGAAGCTCTCCGAAAATTGGCGCCGGGTTTCGGATAATACGAAGACTTGCCAAGAGTCCAGGATGAACGCATGCAAGCCGTACCCTGGGCTTTTATCCTTCTCCCCGTCTTTGGATGTACTTCGTACCTATTCGTAGGTACGTGATTCTGCGTAGCCAAGCTTACTCACACATTTATCAGATCGAGACCATTTCCCTTTTCGTCAATATAACCGGATTAGGGTGGTGGTTCATCAAAAGTTCTTGGTGACTCAAATGTCAGAGTGTCCTGACTCCTCCTGGCATGTACTCAGTAGCGTTTCATTGCCAACTCATGAGAGAACCCGTAACGCTTTCCCAGCTCCTTGGCTAGGCGTCCGCAAGTGGCAATAATATCATGTCCTTGCATTAACCCTATCCTCCTCTCGTGCCTGTTGCATGACACTCAGGGTACGGACGAGGCACTGTCACATGCGCTCGCACACTAATTTCTCCAGATGCTCCGATTTCAATGAAGAATGGGCAGAAGAAAGAAACAAAAATGAGATTTCCTGCCCACATGGCACCGAACCAGACTTGCTTCTGGTCTGGGACCTGGTACGTTAGCTCAGGCGAGGCTCTACTCGGTACCTTCGGACATCAGACAGCACCATTACGGGGTACTTCGTTTGTAACGCGTCCTCGGGTTACCTTTGTCAAGGAACCCCTTCATAAAGGTACTCAGGTTGAGTCTTCATTAATCAAGGTACGCTCCGCCGCTAGCCGCTTGGTTGCTTTGCCCGCACGTTGCCTGCAAAAAGTCGGTCTCCCGGCGTCGCAGTGTCCCAGCGCATAACGCATGGTCACCTTCAACCTCGTGGTCGTAATTGAAAATCTCACCCGTCACGCTCTCAATTTCGCTAAATCGAACAGCATTTTCCCCGAATGTGATGCTGACAGCATCCTTAATGCCACTTCCTGGGGAAGTCAGAAGTATTCCCACAAGCGAAGCCGTACGCCGTACTTCACATGGCCCCCTCAATCCTGGTTCCCCAAATATATTGACTGTGGCAATATAGCCCTCTGCCGGGGTACGTTGGTCGCTCCATCTCTCGCCTCTTTTCCCCGCCAGGGTCTCATTATCTGGATCTGACAGCACATGGAGTCTTGCTTCTGGCGGCCGTCTGCTTGTCCCCGCTCCCATACGTGCCTTGGGGAACACTCCATAATGGACCCTGTCGAGTCTGACATGCTAACACATGACTCGAAAGCTTACAGTCGTTTCCCCGCGGCACAAGGTAGGCGGATCGCCGTAATACATTCTCTACAGGGTAAAACACCGTTGGAGAAGTGGGAGCTCGAAGACCGTCTCCAAAAGGATCTGCAAAAGAAGACGGACGTCTGAATGGTCACGGGCGAGAGCCTTGAGCCACTCAACACGTGGCTGGTGGAAAGCCAGGAACGCTCGCCCCATCCTGTCGACAGCCCCTCGAAGGTCACGGATCAACGGGATCGCTCAGGAACCTGGCTGACTGGAACCACAAACCAACATTCGATATCTGCACCTCTACTCCCTAGACCTCACCCACTCAACTGACTTCGTACACCGCCACGTATAGTACGTCTTAGCTTTGTCTTCTTCTCCGTAATTACCCCAGCTTTAGACCATCAGCTCGAAGCTCACCTGACTGACCCCAGTGGCTCGGTCACGACCATCTCCCCGGCCTATCCGAACTCGGTTCCTTTCCGTACGGATCCGGTCCGTGCTAGACTCGCCTCTGACCACACATAGGTCATCTCAGGTAGAAGGAGGACCTAGGGACACCACTCATTTCTCTTTCCGGACTCCGACTCGGCCCTAAAACTTGCTGTCTGAAAATTCAGATGAACCACTCTTTCAGTCAGCAGTTTGTCATGTGTGCAGAACCTGGTTACCGATATTAATTATATTAAATTACAACTCTTTTAGCTCATGCTCCCCGTTTCGACTGGGCTGGTCGAGGGCCGCGGCGGCCGCCCGTCATAGGGGTCACTATCACGGCTCGGCCACGCCTATGCCACGCCTAAGCCACTCTTCACCTACAACGTACAGCGAGATATTTGTAGGCACGATGACTCCGGTGGCTTAACATCTATACATACATGGGCGCCCTTACCAAGACCAACCTTCTACCAAGGACGTCTCAGTCTCAGAAGCCAAGACAGGCAGCCGCGATGAACTCAGCGCGAATAAGCTAACAGCCGATGACACGTACAACGTACTTATCCGGGCATCAGCGGGCGCACGGCACCATGCAGTACGTGTCACCCGCCAGCTACCTTGTACGTATTCTTTTGACGCGCTTTCTTCAATGCTCGGGATACTTCCCGAAGCCAAGTCATTTCCCGCAGAAAGATTGTCAGGGGGCGGGCTGGCTCCGAAAGCCTCGCATTTACTGGCTGTCCTTCAACCCGCCCCCGCCCGGCGTGGGCCCCCAGGGGGAAAAGATGGTGAGGGGCGCGAGGCTGCCCTGTTTTGCCGCTGAAAAAAAAAAGAAGAAGGAAAAAAAGGGCACTCAGATGTAGACTACGTACTTCGTACGTACCTACTCCTTCATGTGCCTGTAACCACAACGTGCACGCACTGCTATTGGGATGACGTCGTCTGCCAGGCCAGCCGGGCCAGTCTGATGTCATCACATCGACGAGAAGCCCCTACTCTGGAGATTGGTCTCCCTTCGCTACCTAGAACTGAAAGCCGCTATCTCTGAATATGGCCACCGGCATAGGGCTGGTTTGCCCATGACATTTTCGCAATGCGACGTCTTCATGTCCGCAAAACTCGAACTCGTCCATCAGGGGAACACATGATCTTACCTGCTCATCGTTCGTCTCTTGCCTACCTTAACCTAAGGTAGGTAGGTACCTTACTCTTCTTATCACTACCTTAGGTACGTCCTACTAGAAACACGTGACTTGAAAGTCAGTCAAGTCATGTCAGTCGCAAGTCGAGCCGTCTTCCCGACGGGAATGATGAGAAGTGACCTCAGCCTTCACCCAAGGCCAAGCACGCGGCTAGATCGTACATCACATCTATACGTTGTACGTGGTTTCAGAGCATGCATGTGAGGGCTCTTCCCCCCATCACACACTTCCCAGAGAACCTTTAGACCATCCCCACGAAGTCTGAGCGGCAAGATCTGGGTAGCGTCAAGCACGATGCGACAGGGGAGGAAAAAAATAAAAAGAAAAGAAAAACACGCAAAATACCACGGCGATTTATGACATGTCATATCAACTCACCTCGTCGGAGGATTACAACGTACAGCGGTGAGAACGGGACCAATGCAAGACACAGACAGGCTATAGGCCTAGTTACGGCATCTGGCTTGAGTGAACCGCTTCGTGTGGGGTTTCTGCGGGGCCCCACGGCGAGTTGCCAGCATCCCCTCGGTAGGTACGTACCCTACCTATGCGTACTGTACTCCGTACCCTCAGCTCTCCTTAGGACTTCCACTTCGCTTGCTACGCCCGTCCTCTCTTTCAGTACTCCGTACGTACCTTAAGTAAGTACGAAGTACGATGCGAGACTTGAAGCGGCGCCAGTTGTCTCTGGGTCTAAGGCACCTGCCGGTCGAAAATACCCGGCCGTCGGCCTGTGTCTCGTGCGGCGTGCCGGTGTCTCCCCGATGTCCTCGGCTCAGAACCCACCTGCTACGAAGTAGTCACCTCGTGCAGTATCGGCGGCGTTGAGGCGTTCGTGTGCGTGTTCCGGTCGCCAAGGTTCACAGGAATACCTACCTACTCACAGGGGAGGGAAGTTTACAACGTACATACCTTACCTTATCTAAGAAAGGTACTTGCTGGGAATACCCTCCCCCCCCCAAACAAAAAGCAGCGTTACATTCTGCAAGGGCCACCGGTCCGATACGCGATCAGAATGTTCCTATCAGGTGACCAGTGCGCGCAGGATGCCGAAACTCAAGCCACTCCGCACACGGGCGACGATCATCTCTCAAGCCAGTGCTGCACTCCTTTCACGCTTTTTGACCATAGACGTTGGGCGGCGTGCTGAAACGGCAGGATCGTGAGTCTGGAGTACATACGTACATACACGACAAGGGCTTCCTTCGTGAATGAACGGCGGAATGAAGAGCGGGAAGATAGGAAAGTGTGACAGCCGGCATCTGAGTGCATCGGTGTCCATCCCGGTGACATTCCAATTCGGCCGAGGGGAAAGGTGAATGACAGGACGCACGTTGTAACCCTTCTCTCCCGCTTCTCGCTTCTCTCGCGCTCTCTCTCGCTCTCTCTCTTTCTCTCTCTCTCTCTCTCTC